GCTGTGGATCCTGCTGTTCTCACATCTTTGCCGTCTTCCACGACCGAAGTCGACTCGCCTTCTGCAGATGTCTCGGTATCAGTATCTGACTCACGACTGTCGAGTGCTTCTGTCACCATATCCGCGATCTCTCAAGGCGCAGAACAAGTGTCTAGCGCCTATTCTGAGCCCACTCCCGGTATCCTGTCAACCTTGATGAGTGATCAAAGCTCTTCGTCGGCCGCACTTTCTGTTACGACCTCACTATCAAATGTCGTAAGCTCCTTCGAGTCTTTGGTTCAATCTACTACCTCAAGCCTTGTCTCCACTGCAAGCATCACACAGCCGGTATCTATCTCTACAGCTGTTAGCGATGTTGTCAACGTCAATGCCGGAAGTAGCGATAGCGGTATCCTCCCAGGCGTTGGTGCGACCTCAATATCTTTGTCGTCAGCGAGTTCCACTGTCACACCTTCTGTCATCTCGAGCGAGTCTTCTCTATCCGCAATCTCCCTGAGCTCAGCAGGCATCTCAAGCAGTGGCTCTGCAGACATGGTGTCTGTCGCCCTGACCAGCTCCACTGCTGATCCTCCACAGCTCGCGAGCACCCTACCATTTTCTAGTCTCTTGCCTTCGTCGAGCACTTTACAATCATCCAGCACATTGCAACTATCTAGCACCTCTTCAACGTCGACCGTTCTTCTAGGCTCCATTCTCGACTCATCAACCACTGCTGCATCGTCCTCGCCAACCAGTAGCTCATCAATCTCGAGCAGCTCCGTTGGATCAATCATCACAAGCAGTCTGAGTGTACCATCATTGAGCACATCTGGTATCGACTCGGCAGTCATTGCTTCTGCATCGTCGAGCTCTGTCTCCATGGTACTCTCTACTAGTCAGGCCGCAGGGACCACTATCAGTGCAGTCAGTGTCGAAGCTGGTTCAGTCAGCCCATCGATCAATGTTGGTACTCCTGTGGCAACATCTGCATCGCTGATCACTCAGAGCTCTTCTAATATGGTCCCAACGACTGTAATCTCTGCATCTTCGATCACCGATACCCAGGCTTCGTCCAGCCAAGCTAGCACTTCATCCTCGATCAAATCTAGCACTTTGATGTCAACCTCAAGCTCTGTGTCAGCCGCGAGCTCGTTTACTACAACTGGTTACATTGTCAACATTGGTGTTGGTGACACAAGTGTGCGTGTTGTCCAAACTGCTGGTGGCAGCAATCTCGCCGATGTTGGTGCGGGCTCAGTCGCCTCGACCCAAGTCTTTGCTAGTGCTGCAGATTCCGCCACTACCGTTGGTGGAGGAGTCGTTAGCAGCTCAGGGGCTGGAACCACCGTATCTGTGTCCATTTCAGAAAGTGTTTCCAGTGCTTCAAGTTCAGCTCAGCCACTAAGTATTTCAACGAGCCAAAGTGCTTTGTCTTCTACCCTGGCCAGCGCGTCGGTGGTCACCTCGGCTTTGATCCCAAGCTCTTCGGCTATCAGCATATCATCGATCGTCCCGAGCACTTCTTTGGTCAACGCTGTTACCAGCGCCCTTGATACTCATCAGAGTTCGCTTAGCTCAAGCATTGGGCTCACTACAACATCTCTAGCCCAAGCGAGTAGCAGTTCATCCAGCCAAGCTTCCTCACCTTCGACTACTGTATTGGCGGCTAGCAGCACATCCAGCTCTCTACTTACCATTGTCTCAACGACCGTTAGTAGTACTGTGGTAATCGGCGTCGCTACGAATGTTCTGCCCGCATCACAGAGTCTTTCGACTAGCTCGAACATCGGAACCTCGACGATTTCTTCCGATTCTGCGAGCAGTACCTCCAGCCAGGTTGTTTCGAGCTCTGTGTCCAGTCTTACACCTTCGGCTACCATGTCCTATGCATCGAGTATCGTATCGTCAGCTCTGACGTCCTCTGTGTCGGGCACTACGTCTTCGCTGGTCGCATCCTCTAGTAGTGTCACTCCAAGCACTGTGATCGTGGCTAGCAGTACATCGAGTTCCTTGTCCATCGTCGTGGCCACACCTTCGACTACTATCCTCGCAGTCAGTAGTGCGACGAACAGTCTTTCGATACCTCTGAGTTCCTCAACAAGTTCTAACGCTGCGTCAAGCTCATCTGCCTCGATCCAAGCGAGCAGTTCATCAAGCCAGATCGTTCCGGTCTCTGTGTCCAGTTCCGCATCCTCGGTTGTCGTATCCTCTAGTATCGTGACTTCGAGCACGGTCGCCGTGGCCGGTGGCTCTTCGAGCCCCTCATCCTCATCTGCAGTCTCGACTGCTTCGGTGGTCAATGTCGATACAAGTGTCCTTCCGGTGCAAACCTCTTCGCTGAGCTCGAACGTCGGATCTTCTACGACTTCTTCGGCCATCTTAAGCAGTTCGTCCAGCCATGTTCTCTCGAGCTCTACTTCCACTGTCGTATCATCGGGTATCGCATCTTCTGCGTCAAGTGTTACATCGTCGGTCGTCGCATCCTCCAGCATCGTGTCATCGAGCACTATCGTTGTGGCTAGTAGCTCCTCGAGCCCGTCAACTTCTCTTGCGACTTCGTCTGCGTCAAGTGTTGTAGTGGTCAGTGTGACCACCATCACTTCAGTCGCACCTCAAAGTAGTTCTGTCGCGACGAGCGTAGGTTCCTCGACCACAGCCTCGACACAACCCGCTTCGTCAAGCCAGATCACTTCGGCTTCCAGCTCAATAGTAGTTTCCTCAAGCGTCGCAAGCGTGACCAGCAGTTCCATGGCTTCTTCGGCTGCCACTGTTACCTCCAGCGTCTCGAAAGCTTCATCTGCTGCCTCGGTTGCTCCAAGCACTTCTATAGCATCATCTGCTACAAGTACCTCGAGCGTTCCAGTTAGTTCCGCAGTGACAACCACGGCATCGAGCTCAAGTGTTGTTTCCTATGCAACAACCGTTACCAGCTGTGCATCTGGTACTAACAAAGCCTTGCTTAACTTGGGTGGTGCCGGTATTCTTGGTGGCAATGGGTGCACTGGCTATATCTTGGCTATCAGCAACACTAAGAGAGACGAACCCACGACTCTACAGACGATCTATGGACCTGTTTCCTCGGTGGTCAATGTCTAGGACACATCAGTTGCTGGGCAGCTTAGATAGTTTTCCTTTGTTCATTGGTTTTATCCTTGTATTGAAGACGGGAAGGTTCAATTTACCTCTCTTCTTTTCGTATAATACACTGCAATTTATTTGTTTGTTTGACCTCGCATGATAGATAGATAGATTGATTGATCTATTCAATATCTAAGTTCAAGTGGTCGTAGCCTCACATGCAGAATAGCTATGATCCAAGGGTAACCCTCGAGCATAGACAGGGTCATCCTCATAACATTATACAATCCTTCCATGAATACTAGCGGCTGTATCATCTACTCATCCTTACCTTTTAAAGGTACCCTCCTTGGACTGATGCAGAACCAGAATCATGGCTTCCAAACACACCTTTGCTGGGTTACCATAATTCTTCACCTTCTTCTCCTGAGCTTTGCGTTTGAAAAAGCCCTCTCATCCCCTTCCTTCTTTTCCCCAAGCATACTCTGGTCCAACACAGCAACACAGCTCCTCCCTCGTCCTCCTGTTCCCGTCCCCTCCACAGAATCATCACACGAAGGACACAACCACCCTTCATCCAACCCCCTAACTCCACTCACAAACCCTTGAGCCTTTAATCTCGCAACCCCGAAATCCAGTTTCCTTTCTTCGCAATTGGATGCACAGATTTCCGGTTTTGGGGTCAGGATCAGGTGGCCGCAGGATAAGCGATGGGTCAACGAGCCGGAAGTACAGGAGGGAGAAATGTGGACTTTTGCAACGTAAGGGTGGAGGAGGGAGGGAGATGGTGGGAGGGCTGAGGGGGAGAGAGGTGGTGGGTGTTTTTGAAGGGGTGAGGTTTGGTGGTTGATGAGGTGGGGAGAGGGAGTCGCGTTTCTCGGTGTCCTCGTGCTCTTGCTGGGGTTGTGTTTTGGCGATGGAAGTGGAAGTGCGCGATGGCGTGAAAGTGGGAGGAGCGCCATCAACATTCTTTGACATTGGTGATGTTGGACCAGAGACATGAGAACCAGATCTCGGAATCAAAGAGAAGGGGTCCTTGAAGCTCAGGCCCAATCCTTTTGGCGAGGAAATCTTTGTCTCGACGACGAGTTTTCTAGGCGCATGTGCTATGAGACTGGACTTTCGCCTGGGTAGTTTAGAGCTGGCAGTAGGTGTATGTTCCCCATCGACATCGATCTGGCGTAACAGTGGACTAAGTGTTTTTGGCGCACTCGCACACCGAGGTGTCTTCAGATATGCAGGAGCCGGAGGAGTAAGTCCCACATCCTTCCCATTCCTACCCATCGGTTGTGAAGGAGAAGAAGAGCAAGATTTCCTGGCCGATGAAGCAAAAGTTGGCGCGGGTATATGCGTAGGTGAACAGTATTTCCTAGGTGGCGCTACCCAATCTGGTCGCTGGGTCGGTGGAGACTTCAAGATTGTTGGCTTTGGAGTTGCGAGCTTTGGTGACAGCGTTGCACTTGATTCACTCGAGCGGCGAGGCGAAGACGGCGAGGATGTTGATTTTGGCGAGAGAGTCGATGAGCGCCTGGTGATGGTGGGTTTGCGCTTTGGTGGAGGAGTTTTTCTTGTTGTGTCGTGTTTGTCTCTTTTCGTTGGCGGCATTGTGGTTGTCTTTTGCAATTGCATGGTTGTGACGGCGAAGCAGAGTAAGGCGCAAGAGCTGGTTTTGAACTTCTAATGTTCTAATGGGATAGAAGAAGCATGGCCAATGCAAGAGAAGAAGACAAGTGAATGTCTCAGCACATGTCTTGGGCGTCTCTTGTGTTCTTTTGTTGTCATGTTCATGCTGAAACTCCAGGGTCATGGGCAGGAGAGTGAACAACGTCTCACACGTTGAAGGAAAAGTGAAGAAAGAATAGAAATCCATTATGGACATAAAAAATAGAGACTCATTACTTATCTCAGACACAAGCTCGTCATCCGAGTTTCTAAAAAGGTGTTTAGGCCTTGTGCTCGTGGTCCTTCTTGAAGGCACCGGAAAGGTCCAAGACGGGAAGAGGGCAGGGGATACCGACAGCAGCGCAAGCAGTCAGAATGGCCAAGTACCAACCCGAGAGTAATCCCAACCAACCAAATCCACCTCCAATCTTGAGAAGGAGACCGACGTGCTCGAGATCGGCAGCAGTCTTGACGTTGGGGACAGCAAAGTCTGCGGCTGCGATGAAAGAGAACATCATGACCAGACCAAAGAAGGTGGCGACGAAGAAGGCGTTGACACGGAAAGTGGCGACGAGGAAGGTGAATGACACGAGCACCATGGTGATGTTGTGGAAGCCCTGAGAGGCATTCCATTCGGCTCCTGCGCTACCGCCAGTTCCAAAAGCGGAGAGCTGGTTGTAGAAAGGATCTTGGGTGTATGCGAGACTGCCCCAGTGGCATCCGTAGATGATGAAGACGGCCATAGGGAATGCTGTGATGCTTTGTTAGTGTTTCGTTCCATCATAAAAGTGTCATGAGTTCAACATACTGTTTCCAAGAATGAATTCTGCAACTCCGGCGAGGTTCATCGCAATGGCGCCGAGGAAGTAGTAGTCACCGTTCAAGCCGATGAGACTGGTGGGTGCCACGGCACCTCGCAGACCACAAAGGGTGAAGATGGTGGATGTGTATGGGATTAANAAGCCAAGCAGACCAAGAAGAGTAGGGTTGGCNTATGTCGATATTAGAAATGAAGACCACACAAAGGTAGCATGCAAGACCATACCGAATCTTTTGGAAAAGTCTCCACGTTTGGGTCCTTCAGGCTGGAAGAACAACCTTTCGTATTGTTCGGGTGTGAGTGCGACAGTCATTTGACGACTCAATGGCGAACCATTGCCACTGTCGCGATCTTCGGTCATGGTGTGCTCAATCTTCTCGGTAGACATGGTAGGTATGTAAAGGATCCTCGAAGATGTTGTTGTGAAGTTGAGAAGAGACGTATGGGAGAGTAGGACAAGCTTTGTAGACGTAGAGAAGAATCGAAAGGCCGTGATGTGTAAAGGACGATCAGGAGGACCCACGGCCTACTTATACACGATCAAACCCCCTTCCGAAGCGCCTTTCCTGGTTGACTGTAGTTTGCCAACCGTCACCCCAGACTAACTCAAACCCCGGATCGTCTATGTGGGGATCTCCGCTCAGAATTGCCCCGGATGTTGGCGCTAGAGCACGCGCTGGCGTGGTGAACGGCAGGCATAACGTCAAAGGCGGCTTGCAGGATGCATCAGATCAGGGGAACGTGTCGTGTACGGAGGTACGAGGTCGATGGCCAGACTTGATCTGCATGTCTCGAGCAACCTGACGATTTGACTTGTCACTCTCAACGACACTCGGTGAGATTTGATATCGAGGTCGGAAATGATGTTGATATGATCGCAATTCGACACTCATGCTATTTCTTTGCGGTCGTGCAGCACCGACAAGTCACCTTTTCGTTTACACAAAAGGTCGACACTGGAAACCCTCACAGCCGGCGCCGTGCACTGAGATTGCTTCTGCTAGCTTCCCAGCATAGCGGCTCAAAAGACCAGAACCAAAAAGGCAGGTGTTGGATCGAATCGTCAGCAAGAGGTGCCGAGGCCTGTAAGAGTTTTACCGAGGTGAAATCCAGATATGGAGTATCCCCGCATTCTCCTCGAACCGTTTTTGTCTTGATTTCTCCTCCAAAAGTCTTGGAGTGTCTTGTTTCCGACGCCTCTCGAACTGTGTTTTGAAAACGAACTGAAGTGTGACAAGGTGTTGCGTGGTTTTGCTGGAGAGGGGGCGTCGGAAAGCGCGAGGGCTAGACCCAAAAGACCCAAAAAGCATCCGCGGCTGCTTTCGAACGGCGAGGTTTCGAGGATGTTTGCAGGTGCCAAAAGCTTTGCAACGCCCACAAAAGCCCTCGGAAAGCTTGAGGGGGTGTTGTGACTCTCGAAAGGTTGAAGAAAGAGACGGATATACTTTTGATTCCAATTCTCTACGTATCCCCGAAGCCGGGTTGCTCCCACTTCGCACCTGGGCCCCCTGGCGCCGCAGCGGCTACTCTTGCACCAGCTATCGCGGCGTTGCCAGCAGCAACAGTGTGGGCTAGGTGTGGTGTATCGCTGCCGCCCATCCAAAACAACATGACAAAGACCAGAAGATGGAGTCCCACAACCCAGACGGCGAACATGTTCCTGCTCGTCCGCGTGGCAAGTACAAGTCTAGAAGCTTGCAAGACCGCTCGCTCGGGCAACGAGAGTCGTTGAAAAGCGCGGCTGGTCTCTTTGCTACGGAAGGCAGCGAATGGAGATATTGAGTTTTCGTAGGCTGACTTGTAGCGGGCATCGGTACCGGGGTTACTGCGATCGATTGTGATGGTGCTTGGGTTCGTGGAAGAGTATCCAGATGTTGCGCCACCCTTTGTGTTGTAGCTGTTTACATATCTGCTCTTCTCGTACAAAGATAGATTGTCCTTTTGCAGACTGGCAATCTCGGAGCGCAGAGATGACACGAGAGAGTATTGTTCTTGTAGGTTCGTCTCCAGCTCGCGAATCTTGGCCTTGAAGCGATCACGTTGAGCAGTGACCATTGGCAAAATGCCAGCATTGGGGGCCTCTGGGCGCAGCGAATCCAAGCCTCTGGGCGACGAGGTGCTCGTATCGAAGCCCGAGATGATGGAAGAGGTGGGCGAAGTGTTGGCACCGCGACGTATGGAAGCGGCATACGAGGACTTGGGATAGCGAGAGGTATATGTGCCTGCTACCGACATGGCCGAGGGGTCGAAGGCATTGCTGGCTTCGTTCTGGGCTTGCAGCAAATCTTCCTCGAGCGTCTGTGTCAGGTTGCGTGACTTCTCCAACTCCATGTTTGTGCTAGACAGGTCTTCTTGCAACGACTCGAGACGAGATTGGAGGTCGTTGTGCGAGACACGGAGAATGGTGAGCTCGTTGGAGAGCTTCTTGTTGCGAGCGAGAAGGAGCTTCTCCAGCGATTCGCCCTTGTCGGTGGAAGGGGCGGTATCTGTCTCGTGGTCCGAGTCGTCTGCGTCGCCTGTCGCGAACTCGATCGANCTGGTTCTTGTCAGCAATGCGACCTGTAAACTGTGGGTCGTCCAACATACCTTGAGCATGTCCAGCTCTTGCTTGACCTCGTCATAGTCGCTGCACTTGTCCAACTTGCGCTTGATGCTCTCGCGATCCTGCTTGAGAGATTCCAACTCCCTCTCGAGTGTCCTGACGTTCGAATTCCACTTGGTCTTTTCCGAGTCCTTCTCGTAGCGTTGTGCATCGAGCTTTCGCAGGAGTTGAGAGTTTTCGGAGCGTAGACGGAGAAAGGCAGGGTCATCTTCGACCGAGGTGGCAGTTTGGGATGAGCTCTGGTTTGCGGTGGATTGTGCGAGGTCAAGGCGGAGTTGCTCGTTGCGGCCCTCCAGCTCAGACAGGCGTAGGTTTGCCTTTTCGAGTTCCTGGTTGACCAGGTCGAGCTCCTGCTGCGATGCGCCGTGGAGAGTGTTTGATGTGTCGTCTTCAGCCTTGCCTAGACGTTGGGCGACGTCGTAGCTGGCCTTGAGCTCCTTCAACAGGCGGTCTTGGTTGTCGACCTTTTCTTCCAAGCTCTTCTCTCTTGCGTCCCAGTTGTCTTGCTTCTCTTTCAGGACGGCGTTCCATGATGCTTCGACTTCCTTGATCTTGGTGTCCTGACTAGACTGTGACGATTGTCTGGTAGAGCGCTCTTGTTCCAACTGGGATTCCGTCTCCTCTAGTTGTGCTGTCAATTTGGCGACGGTTGACTGAAGGTGCTTGTTCTCGGATTCCAGCTTGGGAACGACCTCTTGGGCGGTGACGAACGAATCAATGGAGGCTTCGAGCAGTGGGTACGGATCGGGGGCTTCGGAGAGCGGCGAGTAGATTTGGAGGAAAGCAGACTGGGTCGACTTTGACTGGCTGGAGATGAGGTCGATGAAGGATTGGTACGACTTGAGCAAGCCCTTGATTTCACCCAGTTTGGCGGCATCTTCAAGTTTGCGAAAGTCTTTGGTCTTTTGGGCGAGCTCTTTGCGTTGGACTAACGTGTCGCGTTGGTGAGTGACGAGGTCCGAGGCGGCTGTGTCGAGGGTGGAGATGAGCGAGGACAGGTCAACATCNTATCCAAAAGTCAGTATCTGAGGTATGAGAAGCAGGAGAGGGAAGGAAGACATACTCCGCCATGAAGCGATTGCTTGCTGGAACTTGTTCTCCTTGTCCTGATCATTCGGGGCGCCCTGGACGGCCTGAGGCTCTACTGCTTCGCTTGCCATGTTGACTGCCTCCACTCTCTACAGTGCATGCGACGATGAGTGATACAGGCGAGAGCGAGCTTATCGTTGGAGCAATGTGTTCGTCTGTTGACCGACTCGGAAGGAGCATCCCACGGGTTACGTGGAGATTCTTGGCGCTTTGACATGTGAGAATGACGCCCGCCCTAACCACCTTGATTGCCAATAGATATCAACTAGAGGCAGTCGCGCCATGAAGAAGAATGGAAGCCGTAGCTAATGATGGCGCATACGTGTTGCGCGACTTGATGCGCAATGCCCCACTATCGCCCGACGGAGAAGAAGAGCACGATGTTTACATAACCTGCGTCGATGCCTGGGGTGAGTCGCGCCTTCCGAAACCACCGCTCTTGCCATTCTTCTGACTTCCAGCAANNGACGGCAATCTATACATTGGCACATCGGCAGGAGAGATCCTCCACTTTGTCTCAATTCCTTCCCCCGACTCGGACCAACCCACCTACATCCTCGCTTCTCGCCTACAACCCGAACACTCCAACAAACACAATGATTCCCTACCGGTCGTTGAGCAGATCCTTCTGCTACCATCCGTCGGAAAGGCATGCGTCTTGTGCCATGGTACCTTGACCTTCTACACACTACCCGAGCTCAGTCCGGCTTTCGGAGGCAAGATCAAGCAGAGCGATTGCACATGGGTCGGAGGGCTGGACCGCGACCTGGAGGGCCAAGATCTGGATCCTGCTGATGGCTGTATCATTGTCATCTGCCTGAGGCAGAAGCTGCGAGTCATTCGTATCATGGAACAAGGCTCTCCTCGCAAAATCAGAGACATTGAGCTTGGAAATTGTCTGGACATACAACGAAGAGCAGACCTTGCTTGTGTCGCCGATGGCACATCTTATGCCTTGCTGGACATCGTCAATCAGCGCAAGATCGATCTCTTTCCCATCTCGTCTTCCTCCGACTTGGCTTCCGGTCGTCAGAGCCCAAATATTGATCCTCCTCCGATACAGCGCCCACCGTCAAGAAGCTTCTCAGCCACCAGTCCCGTCCGTAGGCCCGATCTCCGTGCTCAAGACAGAATAGCCAGTGTGGGAGGCGCGCCACAGACTCCTGGTCGACAGACTCCAGACCGTCTCCATCCCAACGACTCTCCTTTGCCATGGCCGCATCGTGCTGCTTCTCGTCAGGCTCTTTCGCCCAGCCCGACGAGGCCGCTTGCTAGTCCATCACTGGACACTGACGGCAAGGTTCTGCCTCCCACTCCCCAACTCGAACAGCCACCACCTCCACCTCCAGTGTTACACTTCACGCTGAAGCCTCACATCTCTACCCCCACACCGAACGAATTCCTGTTGACCACTGGCACTTCTCCCGACGACCCTGCTGTGGGCATGTTTGTCAATCTCGATGGTGACGTTGTCAGGGGGACGATTCAGTTCGAGAGCTATCCCGACTCTATCATCGTCGACAGTCAAGCTTCAGATCCCTCCATGCCACAAATGCCCGGGGCCATGTCTCAGGAAGGCTATGTGTTAGCTGTCGTACGACGCGAGAAGGATGGCGTTGTCGAAAAAACTATCGAGTACCAACGCTGGGATGTCGATCCTACAGACAACCAGTACCATAAAGACTACCTCGGTCTCCCAGATCCTGACATGTCGAGAGCTCATATGGCACTACGAGAAGCCACTACTTCGACCAATTTGAGCTTACCGTCTGTTGGTAAAGCACTTAGTCTGCGCCGTCTCTATCTCCACGAGGCGACACCAGACGAGATCGCGTCAGATGCCAAGCGTGACAATGACGAGGACAAGCTGATTGACCGTTTCTCAAGTGTTGAAACCAAGGTGTTGCTGTTCGCGAGTGACTCAATCTGGTGGCTTGTTCGAAATCCTCTGGTCGTGCAGCTCGAGACACGGTTGAGCGCTTCTGTCAATACTGCGGCCGATACATTTGCTGTACAGCGCAGCCAGGTGCAAGCTGTCATCAACAGCATCCGTGGCAAGGAAGCCACGAACGAGTTCGAGTTCTTTGGCTTCAACTATGTCCGTCAACAAGCCTCTCTATTGTTGTTGGTTGATCTCATCCTCAAAACAAATCAGGGCGTCATTGCTTCCGAGACCGACAAACGTGCAACTCACGATGCTCTTGTAGAGGGAGAGATAGACCCTCGTATAATCTTATCCATTATTCCAGTCTTGTCGGATGAGGTTGTCGAAGGCCCACAAGGCCTCTGGATTCCCGGTGGTCTCAAAAACGCCATTGATCAGTTCAAAGCTCAGTATCACGCAGATTCTATCAACCAAGATCCACAAGGTCCATATGGAGACAATCTTTTGCAAGTCACAAAGCATTACCTTCAGTCGTGGAGAAGGAAANAAGGCTTTGGCAGTGTTGCAGATGAGAAGCAGGTTTTTCATACTGTGGACGCCGCATTGTTATCTTTGCTCTTGATGCTCGACGGCAATACCTTCCCAGGACCAGCAATACCAGGATCAACACGCGCTGAACTCAACGACGTGGTCGACCAAGGCGTTGAGTGCTTCGATCGCGCAGTCGAACTTCTTGAACAATATAAGCGCCTCTACGTTCTCTCTCGTCTCTATCAAAGTCGACGCATGGTAGGTCAAGTACTGTCGACCTGGCGTCGCATACTCGAGTCATCTGAAGACATGGGAGGAGAATTGATTGACGGGGAACTCGACGTACGCAAATATGTCACCAGGATCAAAGACGTCGAACTTGTCAAAGATTATGGTACTTGGCTCGCGAATCGTAATCCTTCCCTCGGTGTTCAAATCTTTGCAGATGAAAACGCAAGAGTGAAGTTCACGCCTGCCGAAGCTGTTGACCTTTTGAAAGAACGTGCTCCAGCTGCTGTCAAGGACTACTTGGAGCACCTCGTTTTTGGCAAAAACCAAAATCAATATGCCAACGACCTCATCTACTTCTATCTTGATACCGTCACCGAGGCCATCTCGGACCCTTCAACGTCTGCAAGGGACACACTTCTCACAAGTTATCACACCTATCGGGCTTTGTTCCCGCCAAAGCCGACGTATAGTCAATTTATCTTGGACAATAGTCTCTCCGATACATGGTGGCAGAACCGACTTCGACTTCTTCAGCTCATTGGTGGTTCATCGGTCTACGATGTGGAAGCTCTGAGCGGCAGACTAGAGCCCTTTTCAGAAGTTCTTGTGCCCGAGATGATCGTCCTCGCCGCTCGCCGAAATGAGCATGAGAAAGCTTTGAAACTGCTCGTCCATGGCTTAGCAGACTTCGACACCGCTGTACGGTATTGTCTCCTCGGTGGTAGCAGCATCTTCCACCCTGCTTCATCCTCGTCTAACCTTCCTTCACCATCAAAAGAAGAACAGCAGGTTCTCTTCTCACATCTGCTACATTGTTATCTCGATCTCGACGACCAGAACCAGAAACTTGAAAGAGTCGCAGAGCTCCTCGAAAGATTTGGGAGCTGGTTTGATGTTGCCGAAGTTCTGCCTTTACTCTCACCATCATGGCCACTCGAGCACTTTGGCACATTCATTGTGAGTGCCATGGGCAGACTTGTGTCTGAACGGAATGAAACTGTCATAGTCAGAGCACTTGCTGGTGCACAGAATCTCAGAATCGCTGTTGATGTGGTGGAAAAGATTGAGAAAGAAGGGGCCACATGGGAGAGTGTCAAGAAAGATAGTGGCGTTGCTTAGGACTCCTTGTCCTTCGATCCGATCCAAATATTTTTCTGCTGATAGTCGGTGGTGCCGCGACATGTGGAGTCCTGTGTTTCGTCGCTCCACATTTTTTGGTTTTCTCCTCTCTTGCTTGACTCGCTCGACGCGTCGAGTAGGCAGCACCTCGAACCTCAACCTTGGGACATAAAAGACCCAATCTCCCAGCTAGCTGTCTTTGCGTCCACTCCTCGTTCAAGACATCATATAAGTGAACCCATCCATCATCGTACCAGCAATCATGACCATCACCCATTCACAGCCACGCAGCAGCGAGCTTTTCGACCAAGAACTTCGCGCAGCTCGTGCTTCCTGGGGGATCGCGCTTTTGGATTACAACTACCCTTTGCCGCTACTGAAGATATGCCTGCTGCTTCCGATGTCCGTAGTCCTCACCAATTGGGTCCATTATCACAAGATCAGGACGTACTACGACATTACTCGTGGCGATATGCTCGGTAGTATGCACGGCTTAGAGATCGTGACTGCGCTTCGCGCACATCCGGACAGAAATTGCGCAGTGCTTACATTCACCCTTCCGTCACCTGTTTGGGAGGTCCTTCGGCACTCAAAGATATCGAAACATATCACGATGCTTGATACAGTCGGCGAACCAGATGTTGTCAACAATACCCAACTCTCTGACCTACAACGCCAACCTATATTCAATGAAGGCCCGATCCTCCTAAAGACCTTTCTCGAGGATCTAGAGCAGATACGACAAGCTTGCTCCAATAGTCTACCTCTTCTACCACGAGAAGAGTATCCTCTGTCATGCGTCAAATTTATGGTTGTGACCCGCTCGGATGACTTTGGTATTGGAAGCGGCTTGGAATGGAGCAAACTATCCGAAACTCGCNTTTTTTATTTTCACGTTGAACTCCTGACTGTAAAAGGTATTGACGACAATTCTGTGGGACAGACCTTTGTGACGCCTAAACAATACTGGCCATACCTGGAAGCCACGTCGAAAGTTTATCGTTTTGTTCGATACCTCGATGAGCAAGCATACAACGGAGAAGTCTCGAATATGCAGCCGGAGATCGATCTTGAAGAAAGCAAAGGAGAGCAGGAAGAGGAAAGTGAAGAATACTCGGGAGAAAGGGGGAAAGAAGAAGACAAGCTGGAAGCTGCTGACGAGATGATGGAAGAGTCGAGGGACGAGGAAGGCTGGGAAATGGAGAGCAACATGATTGAGGACGAGTCGACCAGGCGCGAAGTACGGGAGTGCTTCCAAAAGAGGCAAAAAAGGCCAAGAAAAAAAGAGAAGCGGGTGTCCAGGGAGAAACAGATGAGAAAGGTAACGAAGGCCGGCAAGAAAAGCGCTAAGGAGAAGAACATGAAATATGCGCAGAGAATTGCTGAGCTATCTGCGCAAGCAGATAGCTCGCAAGCAGCGAGAACGCAAGAAATCATGATGCTATTTACGCCAAAATCCAGAGAAGAAGAAAGGATGAAGGCAATCCGGCGTAGAATCCAAGAGAAAAAGGAGGAGAAACGCGTGGAGAAAGAAGAGAGACAGAGAGCAAGGTTGCAGAAAAGGACAGCAGAGCTGGGAGCAAAGGCCCAGCGACATTCCCTGAATGAAGCATTCCCCAGATAGAAGCTTCGCCATACTTCTAGAGCTTTATCAAACACGCAAGCACACGGCACCAAAACAAGCTCTTTGTCGCTCACCTAGGAACATGTTCTCTCGCATCATCGAACCTCTAGGTGCGGAAGTTCTCACATGTTTCTAGGCACGATGATGCTTCCCTAGCAATCCTAAACCATGTTGTAGTATATCGTCTCGCTCCTGCGCAAAATGCTGCTGCCTTACGAAGCCATTTGTACATTCCCACTTCACGAAAATGCAGAGAAGAGTCATATTTTCCCAGCACGACTTCTATCCAACATTCCATGTTGTGAAGCACGCTCAATAAGGACGTTGATGCGACTGTCGCTGTATGAAGAACGATGACTACCGTGTCCACTCAATCTCCAAGCTTCGACGAGTTCATCGATACCATATATACTGCTCGCCTCTCGATAAACGAAGAAGCCGAGTACAACCATCCTCTACCGCTACTATCGATCACCTTCTCTTTAACTTCCACGATCTCACTGGCAAAACATCTACACGACTTTACCATCCGAAATGAAGGACTGACAACAGGAAGATCAAGCTGACAAGAATACAAAACTGAGACGATCTATGGCATGGTTGCATGAGAAGTACACCTTAAAGACCTTTGCTATAAAACCTGCTGCGAGCCCCCTCTATTCCTCTGCAACCACCCACCCCTCTCCCTCTCCGCAGCAATCCTCACCTCCTCCATACTCCCATACTCCCCTCTCCAACAATTCTCCACTACGTCCCCCAGGATTCTCAGATTCCTCGTATCAGGAAACCTCCTTCCCGCAATTCTCTCTTTGATCTCTTCATTGTCCAACTCAGGCCAAACCTCCTCTCCCCTCACCATACTCCACACCGCCATCCCAAACGCAAACACTTCCGTCTGCACAGAAACACCGGTCCTCGCAACGACATCAGTGCCATTGCTCGTAAACAAGCGATACCCATACCGATACGAACATCGCGAAGCCTTGCCATCAACAGCCGCACCACCCCAATCCCCAACTTTAAGGTGCAAAGATCCTGTGAGGAAGAAATTGAGCAAATGGATATCTGAATGTAGGATACTCTTGCTGTGTGCAAAAGCAAGTGCTTCAGCAGCTTGAATCACCCAATCAAACAGCATTTCCTCAGATGGCGGTGTTTGCGTATTCCTCAACCAATCCTGCAAATTTCCCTCCTCTGCAAACTCCAACACAAGTCCAGAAGGTATATCCTCATGCACGCCATAATAGTTCAACAAACTCTTTGGCGTATCGTTTTCCGCAGAAAACCTCTCATAGACTTCTTTTTCGGTGACAAAGAGCGTGGGTGCAAAATGTGGGTGTATGGATTTACACACCACCGGTGCAGAAATATTGGCGTAAGAGGAAAGTAGATAGATTGTAGAGGTGTGGCCATGGACATCAGGCAGCCGCGTATATGGTGATGTTGTGGTAAGGGAAAGAATGTATAGACATGCTATACCAACAAGAATTTGCCATAGCATTGCAACGACACGCCAAACACAACAATCATGATTGCAAAAGTCACACAACGACTTGTTCGGTGTGTGGGCGGGGTCTAGTATTTATTGCATGCGAACAAGAGGGGGTCAAGAGGATTGTTGGTTGGGCGCAACGAACCGCGCGTCTTTCTTTGGGATCCTTCTGCTCGTACCACCAAGACATGATACCAAGCAGCCAGTGAGCTTGTTTTGACGACACACCCAGTCTCCATTCTTGCAGCGCAATGGCGTTTCTGGGGCTGCTCGTAACTGCGAGCGTGTGTGTTTTTGGTAGGAGGGTCGATCACGCGTCTGCAACACGAACCTAGCGCCAACGTTTTCAGCCAATCAGAGGAGTTCCGTCCCAATTGTACGCTCCCGAGTGTCTGGCACAACTAAGATGTTGATTAAAAGGAAAAGAGAGATAGAGCGATGTATGGGTTTTCATGTTTCTGGTTCTTTCGATGTTTTTCTTTGACAAGACGATGTATCATATATTGACATCTTCGTATCGCAGAGCTTCATCAGTTCTCAACTCTCTTGACAGAATTTCTGACATCCTCAGGCAACTCCTCCTCGCTCACGATTCCTAGACTCAAGGCATCGCCCCAGAAGAACATGGCTCTATCTCTAGCATAAGCCAGGTAGTCAAACTCTTCCTCCGCTTGCTCATCATCTTCCTCGTTCGGATCAGGTCTCTTGTCGCTGATATCGTCTTGCAACTGCTTTGCCTCTGCGTCAAGAGGATCAGAAAATGGTTGCTCTCCTGTGGGTGTAATCTCATCTGGGGTCTCCGATAGAGGGATGGTCGAGGATGGAGCAGAGGGCAGACCAGGTACTTTGGCCTGCACGATACCCCAAGCTACCCATTGAGTAGTGTTTGCAAGTCGCCACATGTGTGTTTCGCGGAGGAGTGAGCGTACTTGAGCATCTTCCTGGGCTTGATATTCTGCATCTTGCTTTGCGGTTGTGGCGGCCGATTCGGGAGGTCCTCTTGCGTCCAACATGAAGTTCGAGATGCTGCTCGTAGGACCAGTCGGGCGCTTGGGCTTGTCCTTTTCCTTTTCTGCGGCAGCGCCGTCTTGAGGTCCTAGCATGGGAGTTGCAGCGTTGAACTGAGGACGGTGACGCACATAGGCGCGAAGGAAACGTTCCTGTTCTTCAGGGGTGGGGTACAAGGACGTATTGCAGCGCCAAGGGACTTTCTCGTCGTGGTAGTTGTAGCACCACTCTGTAAAGTGGTTGGCGAACTCAAGCCCGGGAGTGTTTGCATTGGCGTACTCGAAGTCGATGACGATGAGTTGCTTGTGCGTGTTTGCAGGGAGTAGGAGGGGCGAGGTGCCTGAGGGAAGGAGACGGAGGATGTTGCCGTATTGGGTCNNTGTAGGTGTTAGTCAGGAGAAGGGGAGTCAAGGAAAGGTAGAGCTTACATCGTTGTGGGCAAAGACGTAGCGAGAACGCAATTGGCCGGGCTCAGTGTACTGTGCCTCCAACCATTCGCGATATTTCTGCACTGTTTTCTTGAAAAGNGCCCATTCAGTACCACAGACAAAGCCACGAGCCTGCCATCCTTCCTTTGAAGGGTTTTTGCTTTGCTGGTGCTTAAGCACTTCGCTATCAAGCCACATGGTCACATCTTGAACACGTTGGAACCATTTGTCCCAGTTCTGCCAGACAAAAGCACCCTCGTCACGCTCGCGCTCAAGCAGGTCGATACCTTCGTGAAGTTCGCGCATACGCTTAGCAATCTGCTTGGACGTGTCCGGGTTACGCAGGTCTTTGGGATCAAGTGCTTTTGCATGGAAGTACTCCTCAAAACGACCGTTGCTGAATGTACCCAGCAGACGAGGTCCTATACGTTTGCGGGCCAGACGGCGAAGGATTTGGAGCTCCGATTCGCGATCAATGAGATGCTCAACCTGAGGGCCATAAATACGCAGAAGAAGTTTGGCGGGTGGAGGGCGTTGCAAGGGTTGTTTTCCATCGGCGCTTGTGGGACGAGGAGGTAAGACGCTTGGTGGTGACACAACGTAGACGGCATTGGTAAGGGCGCCACTAAGTCTTTCGACAGTGCACTCGTTACTCATATCCATGGGTACACGACGCCAGCCCTTGATGCGCAGCGTATGAGTAAGACGAACAATCTCATACTTGAACGATGACCAAGCTTGACGAGTACCAAGACCGAGACTTTCTGTCGACTCTGCTGGGTCTGCAGCACCTCCGACACTAGCCAAAGTCTTTGTGTTATCAAGCCAAGCTTCGGCAGAGGGTACGAGAGCGTCGCCGTCAAAGTATTCAGTGTCAGATGATTGCCCAGCATTGGAGGAAGACTTGTGCAGGCGAGTAACTGATGGGCGCTTTCGGATGCTTGGGTGCAGAAGGGATGGTCTACGAGGCTTGTCGAAATCAATGCTTTCCTTCAAGATTTGCTCCAGTCTGCTGAGGTCGACACTTTCGCCAGAGCTACGACGACGGGATCGAGATGCCGTATCGACATTTTCATGAGAAGTGCCTTCTTGTTCCTGAGAGGCATTGGCAGATTTGCGCATCTTACGCGCATCACGTTTCTTTCTCTCTTCACGAAGCCATGCAGTTATCTGACCGACAAGTCCACCAGTGAACAGATGATGCTCCTCATCCTTATCAGCCTCGGATGGCTCGAGGGTTGGCAAAGAAGTAACGGATGCGTTACGGGAAGGTCTTCCTGACAAACGCTTCGAGTTGGGACCTTTGGCCTTGAAGGTACGAGGACCGCTGGGCACTCTGTCAAGTTCAAGATCATCAACATCTTTGTCCTTTCCAAGCATCATTGGAGAAATTGTCTCCGCATAGGGATCAATGGAAACAGCTGACACATGATAAGCGATCTGAGATAACATTGAGGATTTGAAAGATACGAGTCGTGGTTGCTAGCGATTGAACACCAACTGGAGCGAAGATTGGAAAAATACTGCATCAAGTTGTGAAGGCAGATGAAAGAGATACGTACATTTCGGACCCTCTCTGGGTGACTGCGCGTAGCGAGATTCAACAACTGCGACGGCGAGACTGCCTGACCATCTTGAGGGGCTTGAGCGTTATCGTCGTTTTTCAGGATGCCCTGCAGCTTCGGCGAGTCGCGATGAGACATGACAGTAACCCCAGGAGGTGCCGTTGATGTTTGTGCGTGAGAAGGAGGTGACAGGTTTCCAACCGAACGGATTCCGTGCACAAAGCTGTGGTCGGGCAGGCTTGGCACAGTGGTTCCTTCCTCGACGGTGTTGCGAAAAGGTGTCGTTGATCTTTGTGTTTGAGATAAGAAGGAAAAGGTGATTCCAGAGGACACGATTTCAGGAAATTACCTGTTATCACGACCGGCGTGACTTTTTTGTGGATGCTCGAACAAACAGGATTATTGTTGCAGATGGCTTGCATAAGATGTATAAAGTGCCCACGTGTTGTCGGCTTTTCTTGGCAGTGGCCGCGGTCTCGACTCCGAGGAAGGAGATGACGACGGTGACATCCTTCTCCAACGTCCTTCAAAACATGATTTTGTCGCATCGCAGGAGTGATACAAGGCATCATCGAACCAGAGCTGCCGACGACTGCCGACATCTCCCTCCGGTCAAGAATGCGTCGACAAGAGAGAACCACGAACCGCAAGCCCGTGGGTTACTATTCCACAGTCTGTCTTTAGACCTTCACGGACATCCTTATTCCCGGGAAGCATCGATGACAATGTTTATCGACGACGGATGCTAGCGCTTGCATTTGTAACCTTTATTCGATGACTTTCCAAAGTAGAACGAACGATAGGCGTCGAGCAGCCTCACCTTCGTTGGTTGAGAGCGTATGAGTTTATTATGGCCAACACTACCAAGCTTCACAGAGACTGTATCTTCGATAGGCAGCAGCCTCTTTGCTATAAAGCGCCTCGCTGCGCCGTTCTTTGAGAAAAGTTTACTGCTGAGCCGAATTTCGCAGAAAACTCTCGTCGCCATGTCTACACAAGCTCCTGACTCCGCGGATGCTGCGCTCATGATAGCGCTGGAGTACGAAATGTTTGAGCAAGAGCTTCTTCGAGCTGGCTTCCGAGATCGTATCATCCCGTTCGACCCCAGTGTGGACGTACCAGCGTCAATGTGATCCTGGATCTGTTGATGCGAATCAATAGAGAACAGTAATATTGCGTCCGCCTAGAAACTGCCTGTCTCTCGAAACCTTTGTGCATTCTTACAGGCATAATGGTACATGCATTCATATGGAAAGCCCACTCTTTTTTTGTTCCGTAGCCCCTACCTCCTGTGACCCTTTCTCACTTCTCTCAATAGGATAAAGCGAACATCTCGACTATAGGAATGCAAAGTTATTATAGAATCAGTAGCCAGGGTCATGGAGAGTCGATGGATTCTCGCTTCTCTGTGGACACCACCCTTTTCCTTCACACTTTTCTGCAATTCTATAGTCACATATATTACATGCATCTGCATACGGAGAGACCACTTTTCCTTTCCTCTGTAGCCCCTTGCCGTTCTTATTGTAACCCTCATGCTTTTCTCCCAGCGTCGATAACAGAGATGTATGATGATTATAAAAATACATAGTAGTTTCCAGATCAGAGATCATGGCCAAGGAGAGCTGATAAAATTCGGCTTCTCGGTGGACATCATTCTGTTTCCTTACACTTTTGTGAGCTTTCAGTCATACACGTTACATACATTCGTGGATGGGGAAAGCAGCAAACCATGGCTGTTAATTTTGTGCAGTGTCAACATTCACGCTTTCGTGTGCTTTGATTGTGCTGCTATACAATGGTGCTTTGACTGTCATACGATATATGGAGTTACATCTTAGAACGCAACCCTCGTTCTCATCTCGCCAATCTTCTTTTCCACTTCTCTAACCGTACGATCCAAGTCACCAGCAATCCTCTCCTTCTTGTCTCTGCTTAGCAAGAAGAATCTTTCGCAGAGATCGCCATCGATGCATCCCTTGACGGGAATGTAGTAACTTCTGTACATGAGATGATCACGTCCGCAAATCGGTGGGTCTTCGGTGCGCAAATGTTGTTCCAAACTGCCAAAGAAATCTACGTCTTCTCTGTCCATGAATGGCACAAAGATACCAAGTGTGCCTTGCAGACCAGCCCAGAAGATGACTTCTTGGCCACCAGGAACCAGTGTTGTCTTTTGCATCGACATGGGGATATCTTGTACGAAGTCGTGGAATTGGAGTGCGAGACGGTGAGGTGTACCGCCGAGGTATGCTTTCTCGTTGGCAAGGAAGGATGCGGCACCAGGTTCGTCTGCTTCGTCTGACGCTGACTTGGGGCAACGCACAGCCCATACGTTTCCGAACTTGTCTCCTCCAGCCACAGTGTCGTAGTCGAGCATGGTGAAGCAGGTAGTCCAGCGAGCGATGACGTCGTCAGCGAAAGGTGTGAGCTTGTTGTCCTTGTGGTTGTACACGACGTAGCAGACGGATTCTTGCACGTCTCCAACAACGATACGTGAGCCTTGCGTCTTCATACCGATGATCTGAGTGCCTGGTACACGACAGCGAGCCTTGCGCAACAAAGCCTTCATACCAAGATCGTAGAGGAAGACTTCGTTGCCAACAGCGAGCGCAAGACGACCCTGGAAGGGCATCAACGCACGGATCGGCTTGTCGAAATCGGTCTTGTGGATCAGCTCAAGCTCATTGCCAGGATCTAAGACTCGATAGACATGTACTGAGCCAGTAGACTTGGGCGAACTTGGTGTTGGTGCTCCAGAGGGAATGTTCTTGCCGGTACCGACAAGTAGGAAGGTTTCGCCGTCTTGGTTCTCGAAAGGTACCATATCACAGCATAATGCAGCCTCATTTGAGTCCAGATCAACTGTGTATGCAATCCCATCCTTCTCATCCTCAGCTGTTGGGTCGACAACTTGAATGCACGATGCCCAGCCAGGACCCCGTGGCCAGCCAAACTGCTCGCTAGGACCCATCTGTTTCTTCTCTTCTTCTGATCTCGTCGGGTCGGCAAGTAGCGTCTCTCTGGCTTGCTTACTAAGTACGTTTTGATCTGATTGGATGACAGAGAAGTAGCGGTATTCTGGATGCCTACAGAAATCACGAGGAGTGTGTTTGAGGGGAATTGATTTTGTGAGAATGTTGTTGGAGGTGTCTCCGATGCTGAAGACGAAGATCTCAGCTCCACGTAATGCGACGATCGATTGTCTGACAGAGGTTTGTCCCTTGCGACCCGCGACCTTGGACCTTAGCATGCTTGCGCAGTTGAATGAGTGGTAGTCGAGAGGGGTGAGCAATAGCTCCTTGGTTTCAGGGTGAGGGTAAGAGAGGAAGGTCTTGGCACCGCAAGCGAGCACAGCAGGACTGTTATTAACAGCGACTGGATAGAGCTTAGCCTCGTCAGCACCAAGGAAACGTGATCGCACATCGCCGAGTTCGCCAGTGACATCGTCCAAGACAGCACGAAGGTAGAGACCAGAGAACAGACCAACGTGGACGAATGTTGTCATGCCTGTTGAGTCTTCCATAGGTAGAATTTCGATGGAACGAGGNGGTGATGTGAGGGACTGGATGGATTGAGATTTAAGCATCTCGCCACCAGGGTCAAGAGAGTAGACACGAATGGTCGAGTCATCACATCCTACGACCAGGAAGGGCGCTCTTACACGACCCTCGGGAACGTCACCCATGCTCATGGCTTGTATGACGCCTGATACAGTCAAGACATCAGCACCCTGCTCATACTCCTGAATCCTTCTGCCGTCTTGTGACACCTCGAAGTACAGAAGCTCGCCGGAGCTGAGCGCCAGACACAACTGTTGGTGATTGTTTGTAGCCTTGATGATGGTGCGATGGGCAGGGCACTTCCAGTCTTCTTGCGGGCTGTCAGGACCTGTATAGAAACGGAAGCCTCTGTCCCAAACCTGCAGAATACCAGTATCACCCATAAGACCCATATGAATAGTGGTGACTTCCTTGTGCAGTCCGTGGTCAGACACTTCGTGGGTGTTCTCACCGACCTCTAGGAAGAGTGTGGCATCGCGGAAACCAAGTACAATGTACTTATCTGCCTCTGAAAAGCGATCGTCCGAAACCACCCAGAGATTGTTGGGTTGATCGGGAAGTTCAGCACGCGTCTGTTCGCTGACGCTCAGGCCGTGGCTGACAACCTTGAAAGAGCTGCGAGTACCAGTGCCTGCTGTAGTATAGATTTTCCAATCATCTCCACCTGTAATATCCTGCACCACGGTCTTGCGCTGAGGATGCATACTAGCGACGGTAGCTGATTGATCCACGTTATCATAGTCGTGAGGGAAGAAATATGAGACTTCCTGGGATGTGCTGTCTGTGAGAGAGTCAATGTTCATGCCGAGGTTGAGGAAGCGGTAGAAGTGGCTGTCGCCGTTTTCAGCTGCGACGAAGAGATAACCAGACTTCAAGATACACATGGTCGAGGCAATAGGGAAGGTATCAAAGTAGCGAAGCTCAATGCTCGCGACTTCGCCAGTCTTGCGACCTTGATCATCCTCGACCAAATCCATGGTAAGCTTGAACAAGTCGCCATCCTCAGTCTGCAGCAAGTGGAAGAAGCCAGCCTTGAAACGATGTACCACACCAGCAACAATGCGCCTCTCGCGATCAGGGTTCTCCAGACCGCCCTTGCGACGAGGGATGACCAGTGTGTGGGGCTCTTGCATGGGGTGTCTGTATGTGATCTGTCCCAATGAACAAACAACGACACCACTGGGACCATCGGCACCACCAGGGACAGGGAACAGCTTGTTGGCAGAGTAATCGACGGCATCGGCCCACTCGCGGACAACGTGATTCAAGCCGAGATCGACACGGTAGTAGACGAGGAGCTTTTCGCGGATGTCGTATGATTCGTTCGTCGGGTCCTGGTCGCTGTCTGTGTAGTCGACCTCGAGAGCGGCAAAGACGGGGTTCTGGAAGTTTGTGTCGACAGGGCAAATGTCGAAAGTCAAAGTCTGGGGACGGTTGACTTCTTGGGGCGAGGAAATGGTGACTTGCTGCTCCGAGTTGCGGTTGAGAATGTAGACGACCTTGTTCTTCTCGACCGAAGCGAACATGCAGCATCGACCGCGCGGGTCTGAGGCGAGGTATTGTCCGGGGATGGTTCGACGGACGCCCGACTTGCCGAAAGTCTCGAGATGGACGCGCTCGAAGCGGTTCTTCTCATCGTCGTACTGAAGGAGCGAGACACGGCCGGAATCTGAGGAGACGATGATCAAGTCGCGAGGAGTACCGGGGACTCTGCAGGACGATAGGTTGCGCAGGATGCCGAAAGCGTTGTGCGTGAGAATGGTGCGAACGTGATCCGTGTCCTTGTCAATGGTCAACAGACTCAGTCTTTCACCCTGAGCCAGGACGACTTGCTGCTCTTTCGGCCTGCTGGCGACAAAGTTGCCGACAATGGCGTGGGTGATGACTCCAGCGGGTTGCAGGGTAAGCGAGTACATGCTCATATTGGATGTGATGGACATGATGGGCGATAGGTGGTGAGCGACCCTTGTGGGCGCTCTAAAGGTCTAGAGAGAGCACTGTATATAATCGTCGAATCGTCAAGGTCGTGGAGAAGCGCGCGAGCTGGTCCTGAACGTCGCGTTGATAGATTGAGCCTGGATGTGACGTGCGGTCGCAAGAAGAAGCATCCAGGTAGCAAGCGACGGCAGCAGTGCAGAGAACAGGCTCCTCTTCTAGATAGCTGGGAGCTGTGGAGTGGTATAGTGGCACAAAGTGAATGCTTCCATAAAAGTCGATGGCCGCAATTGCAGCAACGCCCGAGCCAAGACATCCAAAAGTCGGAAGCTCGGACGTTTTGATGATGCGCTCGAAAGATGGAAGTTGCGTGACAGACGAAACAAGAAGGAACGACTCTCTCAAGACACCACAGACATGGCCTCCTTGTCGTCAACCTCGTCGGCGTGCAGGCAATGCCTCGCGCGTATCGCTCTCCCGCGCTCAAGGCCGTTCGCCCGCCTCTTCTCAGCATCCACATCGGCACAACCGGCCCTGTCGTCGGCGAAGAGAATCACAAGAAGCAGAAGGCGCCTGTCGACCAGCGCTCCCAGACCTCAGATTGCTCAATTGAGCCGTGACTCGCCCCAAATCCAACACCGTCCCGAAGACGCCGCCCAGGACCGCAGCCGTGAGCTTCTGCAACCCGAAAACCTGTTCCACTCCTTCACCGACTCGCCCTCCCCTGTCATCCGCAAGCGCGCCGCCTTCATCAAGCAGAATGCCTACTGCCCGCATCCCGACCACTCGGCTACCCGTCAACCCACCAGCCCCGATGACATCGAGGTCAGAGAGACAGGCACCATGCCTCCCGCACATGTCCGCTACGAATGTCCGGATTGTGGTATTCCAGTAGCCTGCTGCGAAGAGCATCTGGCAGACGACTACGAGGCTCATCTGGCCATCTGTGATACCCTTCGCGAGATCAACGAGGACGACCACGATCTTGTTTCGGGGCGCTTCTTCCCCGAGTTTGAATACCCTGGTCCGCAGCTCGACGAAGCTCAGGTCAATCTGACCAACTGGGATACCATGCTGTACTCGCGCGAGTTCAACGCCATCAACGACGAGCGCAGTCTTCGCCAAGCCACTCGTCTACTCACATACCCTGCCACTGTCGCTAGTGTGCTCCACGAACTGAGTCCCTACAACGTGCGCAACCGCCTCACCCCAGAGGGTCTCAAGAGTTTGACTGCCCTCCAATACACGCTGCACCCTCCTCGTTCCGGTGCTGGCGCCGGCATCAAGGGCCTGCGTCCCACAGCGCCTCCAGTCCGCTTATTCTGTATCGGCGCACGCGCAGAATCGTCCTTGCCGCGCGAGGTATGGCAGCAACTAGCCTGGCTCTTCNCCCGCTCTACCTTCCACCTGATCTTCATCGGTCCGGAAAGTATGGCCAACCGAGATGACGAATACCCTCTTCCTCCCCGCACTCCTCAAAACCCCTTTGGCGCCATTGTCGAAGACCGCATCAGCTCGCAGTTAAAGGTTACTACTTACGTCGAGTATTTCCACACCTTGCACAACGCCCAAGCCTTTTACCCATATGACCCCTACTTCGACGCCTTTGTTCTGTTCCATCCTGGTCTAGGCCACCCTGCCAGCTCTCACGAATGGCAAGACACTATCCGCCCGCTATTGGACACTAAGGTGCCAATTATTGCCACGGGATACACCGACTACGATATGAAGCGCGACATCGAGTGGGTGCGCAACACCGTTGGCGACGAGATGGATATTCTGCTCCAGCCGGGCGAGAACCGTTTCCGCAGTCTTCGCTGGGACCTCAACGACCTCGATCCTCAAGACGTCAGCGCCGGCAACTGGGGTGTCTGGGCTTTCAGAGGCAAGAGATACGAGACCCAAATGCGCGACTCGTAAAAAAGCTAGAGCAGGCGAAATTGTGTATAACATCAACTTCTGTATATGACTGTATTTTTACGTTTGACAGGGAAAGAGAACCACTTTTCCTTTTTCCTTCTTCTTACCATCCCTGTACTGATCAGAGTACTATTCATCTTGTTCTTCGGCTGTGCTGGAAGAGAGAAACGCCGCTGACAAAGATGCCGGCTTCTCCTTCGATCTCGACATGCTGTTTAATCAGAAGAGGCGCCAGGCGAGACCAGTTTACTAAATTGTTTAGCACTGGCGGCGGCGTGCCGGCCCGTCGAACGTTTGAATTTCTCCTGCTTCTTGCTTCTCCTTGGCCCTCTAGCATGACTTGCAGATGAGGGGCAAGCAAGGAATCATGGCCATAACTTGCACGCGAGATTGAACAGCTGATATTGACAGCGTCGACTATCATACCGAAGCCGAATAGGCAGAAGTTGAAGCGGTATCCGATGGGCCAGTCCGGGCGAGTGCCATATGAAACAGAATTCCCCAGAAATCTATAGATGTGCCTGTGTTTCAGCCCCATATAAGATTGCGCCACTCCCGCTGCTCGCTTGCAGAAACAAAGAACCACGCATCGGTGCTTCGACCCACGAGTGGAACCGACCACTCTCCTGCAGGTGCTTCCTGTCATTTCGGACTTTTGCCTCTGCCATGGGTGCTGGTGCTTTGAGCCGCAATGTATAGCTACCACTATGAGGTCTTTCCTAAATCAAGCAATCACGGCTTGCGTCAAGCGTTCGACAATCTCATCTCAACTCACTCCTCCGAGACATATTGCACCATTCAAGGCGTTTCAATTTTTCCACGCGATGCCATGCTCGTCAGGATCCTCGACAAGGTCCAAACTCATAGCGCCAAAAGGCTTGTCTGGTCTCTATCACCATTTAGGCTTCTAGGGCTTTAGCCTGTACCGCTGCACAGTAGTCTTCCATCACCCCTCTCTAGATCTTAGCGTTGCTCTGTTAATGTATTCCAGACAATCGACCCATGCTTGGTGAGTTCGTAGTCGCCATGTCCAGCCGAAGCATCCACTCTTGTAGCAGCAAGCATTCTTATATAAAGTCTTAGGTCTGTCTTGTTTCTTTCATCTTTGATCAACTTGTCCTTCATTCGTTCTTCTCACCTTTCTTCACAACCCTAGCGTGCCATTCTTTTCTCGCTATTTCCATTCTATATCAAGATGAAGTACTCCACTTTCGTCGTCGCCGCGGCAGCCGGTTCTGCCGCAGCTGCTTCTGCTCCTGCTTACGGCCAATGTGGTGGTAACGGATGGACTGGTGCCGTCGACTGTGTCGCTGGCTACCACTGTGCTGCTCAGAACGATTGGTACTCCCAGTGCGTTCCTGGTGCCGGCTCTAGCTCCAGCGCTCCTGCAGCCACCAAAGTCGTGACTTCGTCCAAGTCCGCTGCCACCTCTCAGGCTGCTACCACCAAAGTCGTGACTTCGTCCAAGCCCGCTGCCACCACTAGCAATGCTGCCGCTTCCACTGGCAAGGTCAAGGTATGTTTCTCGAGATTTTATGCTGTAGGAATGTCATACTGATGTTCTCAACAGTACGCTGGTGTCAACATTGCTGGCTTCGACTTCGGTATGGACACCAACGGTGATTCCACTGGCTCTTACGTCGACCCCGGAACCACTGGCCAAAACCAGATGAACCACTTCGTCAAGGACGACAAGCTTAACACTTTCCGTCTCCCCGTTGGCTGGCAATACCTTGTCAACAACCAGCTCGGTGGCAACCTTGACAGCACCTTCTTCGCCAAGTACGACCAGCAGATGACCTACTGCTTGAACTCTGGCGCTGCCCTCTGTATTCTTGACCTCCACAACTACGCTCGCTGGAATGGCCAGATTGTTGGCAGCAGCGGCGGTCCTACCAACGCCCAGTTCGCTTCCATCTGGAGCCAGTTGGCCACTAAGGTAAAGATAAATCTCCTAACTTGAAGCCTCTTGGACATCATACTAACGTTTTGAACAGNNTACGCCTCCAAGCCCAAGGTCGCTTTCGGCCTCATGAACGAGCCCCACGACCTTCAGGACATCAACGCCTGGGCCACCACCATTCAGGCTGCCGTCACTGCCATCCGCAAGGCCGGTGCCACCCAGAACATGATTCTGCTTCCCGGCAATGACTGTGAGTCTAATCTTTACACCATGCTAAGCCTTCCAACGTGCTAATCCTTTTCGCAGNGGACCCACGCCAGCAACTTTGTCGACAACGGCTCTGCTGCTGCCCTCAACAAGATCACCAACCTCGACGGCAGCAAGAGCAACCTCGTCTTCGACGTCCACCAGTACTCCGACTCTGACAACAGCGGCACCCACAACACCTGTGTTTCTTCCAGCTCAAACATTGCCGGTTTCAGCAAGCTTGCCTCGTGGCTCCGCACCAACAGCCGTCAAGCCATCCTTACCGAGACCGGCGGCTCCAACGACCAGAGCTGTCTTACTGCCGTCTGCGATATTCTTAACTACCTCATGACCAACTCTGACGTCTACCTTGGCTGGACTGGTTGGTCTGCTGGTATGTTCGCTACCGACTACGTTCTCTCTGAGGTTCCTACTGGCAGTGCTGGATCCTACACGGATCAGGCTATTGTTAGCAAGTGCATTGCTGGTGTCTTCAACTCCAAATAAGCGCAATCTTCTTGAAGCATTTGTTGGTGGATGAAGGGGATATTTTGAAGTAGAGGCTTGTAGCAATTTTTCGTAGGGAGATGTGGTGGTGATCTGTTTCTATCTTCTGTTGCAGGACAGAGCATATCTTTTGAATTCTATTCTTTTCATGACCCATTGTTGTCTTCGTACCACGTCTCTTAATTCGTGTGAGTATGCTGTAGAGAACTTCGCATGATCATCCACTTGCCTCGACCGTTGAGTCGATTGCGTCATGGTATGAAGACAGGGTTGCCCCCGATGCAAGCCATCAAAACATGTATCTGTCTTTGATAGCCGCACCACATAAGTCCTCATGGTCTAAAGTGCTTGGGGGCATATAGATACACGCTCGGGACTGTATAAAGCTATTTTATGGTCTCCAGACGTGATTTGAGGGCGTCCTGTCGGTCTCTAGGAAATCATGTCATCATTTCTAGATTTGCAGTATCAACTAAATGATTTCAGGTCATTGATTCGTAGAAAGTAAGCAACCGCCAAGAAACTTCTTGGATACATCAAAGCTCGTGTTCACATACATAGATCGGATCAGTGTTGACATAGGCTTGATCTGTTCTCAAAACCCCTTCAGGCTCGACTTGTAGAGCAAGAGAATGGCATCGTCGACGACTGCCAGGGTGCTATTGCTTGCAATAAAGTCTTGGGCGGCTTGTTGTCACAGCAACGCCACTTGCGGCTTCCAGATTTTGTCTTCTTCCGGTTGCCATTTGTGAGAAGCCCGCATCGACTTGAGACAAAATGCTCGACAAGCTACCTTATGAGGTCCTCCATCTGGTTCTCCGGAACCTTGCGACCACACCGGAATTGATCCACTATGATGATGAAGAACAAAATGACTATCATCTCAGCAACTGGAAGACCCTCGCCCAGCTATGCAAGGTCTCACGACAGTTGAGAGTTGTTGCGGAGCCTCTGCTTTATCGAAGCTATGCGAAACCTGATTCCAGCTCGGATCCCGAAGGACATTACTCTTTTCGCAAATTTCTTGCTACGGTACTTGGACGTCCGGAGCTTTTGCAATGTATTCGCTCATTGTATATCGGTGCTTGGAGACACTATACTAGGTGTGAACTACAGCATGCTGCAAAGAGCAAGTATAAGGCTTGCAAAGCTCGAGTCTGTGATGTACACTTTCCTCCTGAACTGCACAGTCTCTATGATAAACACGCCAAAGCGTCGGTTCTTGGTGACGCTTGGAAGGAGGCGCTCGATGCTGGTGAGGAAGCAGCCGAGATTGCATTACTGATGAGCTTGACACCCAACCTGGAACGGATCGAATTTTGTATGCCGCATTTGAGCTTCGGGGCAGATACTGCGCCTATGTACTTTTGGCCGAGATTGCTCGTGGCTTCGGCGGATTGGGAGCCTTCGAGTCATTTCCATCGACTGGAATCTGTGATGATACACAAAAAGAGCTTGAAACCTGGTATGCGATGGCCCCAGCCACATGAAGCTGGCTTCGAGATTGATCCCTTCTTGCCTTTTATTGGCCTGCCCCAGCTAAAGACCTTCTACAATGAAAGCGACGGCCGCGGCTTCTACCGAAAGCGTCCAGAAGAGTACCCGATCAATGAAGAAGAGTCACATCTGACAGAATTGACCCTCGGTGCTTCGTATATCAACTCGCTAGAGCTGACACAAATCCTCAAGCGCTGTACTAAGTTGGAAGTGTTCGATTGCCATTTCGAGCAAGAACGCTCATTCATTCCAGATTTCTCTTGGAACACTGTTGGAGAGGCTTTGAGCAACAGTCGTCACACTCTCGAAGAAATCACGTTGAATGCCGACCTGATGTCCCAGATGGTGACGGAGGACAGCACTCCTTCAGAGGGAACCTGCGTTTCGATTGGATCGCTCCGAGCATTTACCTCACTCAAGAAGCTTGATGTTCTACAAACCACTCTCCTTGGATTCGAGAACATGATCGACCATATCAACCTCGTCGTGCCTGCACTGCCTTTCGAGGAGATCTTGCCAAGCAGTCTTGAGAGTCTTACGATTGATTGGTGTAGTCTAACCCTTGTACCTTATCTGGAAGGCATGTTGACCACGCTCAAGGAAAAGTTTCCACGCCTCCGAGAGATACAGCTCAGTGTTATTGATCTCAACAGCTTCAATATGAATCACGACCCATGGGACCAGCACGAGGCTTTGATGCAGGAACGAAAAGATCGTGTGGAGCGTCTAAAGCAGGGGTTTATCAAGGCAGGTGTCGAGTGGATAGGCGGAGCTCCAATGGTCGCATCTGCTACTGACCATATCCACGAGACTTGATACCCAAGTCCAAGCAGTCCAATGTTGACCTTGGGATGAAACATTCATTCACGAATCATGCTTTATCCACTATACATGCATAATGCCGATCAAAGTGGGGCTGATCCAGTTGGACAACTTGCACTTGTGCACATGAAGCCGAATGACTTTCCCACGAATCCTCAGTCGTACACTGCTTCATCAGTCGTCCTGAGTACGGCAACAAAAACCCGACGCAATGAGCTCTGATACTTATGGTGGTGTCGTCGTGCGACCAGCGAGAGACCTCAAGGAAGCGACGGATCTATGGTGGCCGTTAATGACATCTCTAGGCTGGGTAATCATCTTCATGTTTCTCTGCAGCAAGAAAAAGAAAGAGTCTGACTGTCAATCACCTCCAGNNAACCGCTCACATCATGATCTCGAATCATACATATCAGCATCAAGATCTCGAGGTTTGCTTGTTGCAGTTCCTGACGGATCTGACAAACCTGTGGGGCACTGCATGGCAACCATGTATGACAACTCGGCCGGGTGGGTAACTTTGTTTGGTATAAAAGTCGTTTCCCGCATCTAAATATCTTGCTAACAGATTGCAGTGGTGCAGCCTACCAGCCAAGGAAAAGGTTATGGAAGAGCTCTGTTTGATGCAGTGTTGCAAGAATTCAAGGACAACGACACATCCATTATCGGACTGGACGCAGTAGTCGAACAAAAGACAACGTACGAACGTCGAGGTTTTGTTGAATCTCCGCTCGGCAAACTTCGCTGTATGTCTTGGAATATCTCGACCAACATTTGCCATACCACATCATATGACCTGGATACGAGGTTGCGACTCGTCGACATCAAGGACGTTCCACACCATCTTCTGGCAAAGAGCGATCTCGATCACACAGGATTTGAACGCAAACAGCTCTGGAGTGAAAAGTTTTTCAGCAGATCTGACTTGTTTGGGTTTGCCCTGGTCAATGAAGAAGGTGCCAGCAAGAAGGATGACATCCGTGCTTGGACGGTTGTGCGTCAAGTTCCTCAAGGATATCGCTTAGGTCCGGTGTATGCAGCAGATCAAAAAACGGCATGCAGGATCATCATTGCTGCGATGGAGCAAGCGATGCGAAGGATCGAAAATGCCTCAACCACATCGGCAATATCGCAAACCAGAATAGCGGACTCGGCAATCTATACTCTAACGGCAGAAATCTGGGATGGCAATCCTCATGCCGTGAGACTCTTCGAGATGCTGGGGTGGAGCCTGCTTGGTGTGGACTACCATCGTATGTGGTTGCACGGCAAAGCTACACCACAACAGTCTGAAGGTGGATTGGCAAATTCTGGCATGTACGCCATATTTGAGGCCGCCATTGGTTGATGGGGTATATTGTGAGCGACAACAACACCAAGGTCCGCGACTCAGCTTGCGACTATGGACAGGTTTCCCGTACCTTGCACCAAGACTCAGACCTCCATGTGGAGATCGACCACACTAACGAGGACGAGGGACACAAGAATAGACCCAATACAAACAGGAATAGTGTATCAAGATGGCTCAACAAGATGATCCTGCTCGATCATCAACTCGACTCAGCAGAAAGTGCATGGTGGAGAGCGTCATTGTCTTACTCAACTGCTTGCGATAGGACGAGCATGCCCGTAGCAAGCAACAGGGCAAGCGGAGCCGCATCCTACGCCTGTACAGTAGTGTGTCTGTTCCTGCAGCGGGACAAGAGGCAAAGAGCTCCAACGATGGAGCAGGAACCAATAGTTGGGGATCTGCAGGTTCGTTCCTGCCGTAATGACGCAGCAATCTGAGGATCGACATGTGATTTTGCTCGTTCCTTGCCGTAGTACGAGAGATCGGAGGATGGAGGACCCATGTCAAGAAACAATATAATAACGTTCTTTGCCAAGCTTTCAGACATGGCTGGGTTGACAGGGCGGGCGTCGGGAGATCTGCCACGAGCTGCTGCAGGGTTTGCGTGCTTCTCTGAACTCCACCTCGTGCTGTACTTCTTCTATACCACATCATAAACTTTTTGACATGTACAGGACAAACTCCTCTTGCGCCTTGCGTTGCTGTTTATCGTTGCGCCCCTTTCAACAGTCATCTTGCGGCGCAGCAAAATTGTGTGATGGCGGTTATAGGGTTGCGTATGTTTTGCCTGTCTCAATCTGAAAGCTGCAACGTCGTCGTACAAATTTATCGATTTGGCAACGGTCTCCATCTTTAGCAACCACAATGCCAACGGTAAGTCAACAGTCTCCAAGGGAAACAACCCAGTTTTCTGAGAGGTTGGGCAAAACCGCAAACCCTCTCCCCGGTGCAATTGACGACCAGCGTCTTGTATATAACCAGCCTGCAGCAGCCACCAAAGACTTCTCTTTTCATCCACGATCACTTTCGCTCATCGACAATCACCCACTTTCGCTCAAGGGGACTCTTGTGTTTGTATACTTAATACCCGGACTAATAACACCATACGACCACAACAATAATGCCTTCCTTCATCTCCGCAGCCGTCGCTGCGCTGTCGCTTTCGAGCCTCGCCTCTGCCAACGTGGCATACCGCCGTGCAGAGGCTTTCACCAACAGTTCTTCCAGCTCTACCCAGCTGTCCACCTCAAGCGAGTCATCCACTCGTTCCGTACCCCTCGGTACTGGAATCACCAGCAGCGGCACTCCCAGCAGCACTGCTGGTGCCGGTGTTTCTCAAGCCTCATCCGCCAACGGTACTGCTACCAGCACTGGATCTAGCCCTTCTTCCACCTCTACCAGATACCCCACCACCTTCAATGGCGTCAGCTTCCTCGTCGAGGTCGACATCAGCTACACCGGTATCGAGATTGACTTGGCCATTATCTTCGCCAAGAGAGCCGGCCAGACTCTGGACGACTGTCTTTCGACTTGCTCGGCAAACACTGAGTGTGTTGCCACCGCCTTCAACTCAAACTCGAGCTCTTGCACTTTTTACAGCAGCTTTGACAAGAACACAAGAACTGCTGCCCCTGGTATCACCTTCGCCCAGGTCACCGGCCGCGGCAACTCTTCTTCATCTGCCCCTGCCAACAACGGTACTTCCTCTACCAAGGCTCCTTTCCCTTCCACCACTCAGGCCAACAATGGCACCTCGGTGACCGCTTCGCCCAACACTGGCAACAACGGTACTTTCGCCAACGTCGAGTCCATCATCTGCCCCGAGTACAACGACCAGGTTCTCCAGGAGACCGATGGTTCCCAGTACCTCATTCGCTGCGGTCTTGACATTGATGGTATTGTCCTCTTGACTCGCAAGGCCCGCATGGTCAGACGCCAGGCCACTTTCGGTAACGACTGGATCGTTGACTGCATTGACACTTGCTCTGCCACTGCTGCCTGTGTCGGAACTTCCTACAACTCCCAACAGGGAACTTGCACTTTCTACAGCACTGTCGATGCTCTCGTTGCGGATGCCAACACCGATTCTGCCATCCTTGTCAACGAGGCTCCCGCTCCCGGTGTTAGCTCCTCTGCTTCTCTCGTCCCCGTCGTCTCTACCCAGACCGTCACTGAGGGCGATGTCACCCGCACCATCACCACTACTCCTCTGACCACCTCGACTGTCTACAGCACCACCACCAAGACCATCCAGTCTTGCGCTCCTGGTGTCCCTTGCACTGCCGCCACTGTTACTGAGGTCGTCGTTGCCTACACCACCGTCTGCCCCGCCTCTGCCTACCCTACTGGCGCCAACGGCGGCGTTATTGGAGGTGCTGTCGGAGGTGCTGCCNACCAGACTTTGACCGTCTGCACTGCTTGCCAATACGCTCCCACCACCGTCACGTAAGTCGATTGATATGATTCCTCCAATGAATTATGCTAACAGCCCCCAAGCGTCTACCAGTGCCCTACTGGCGCCAACGGTTCTCCCGTCGCTGGCAAGCCCGTCCCTGTCACTACCACCGTCATCCAGGTTCCCGTTCTTGCTGGTCCTACCGGTGCCATGACCACCTCGACCGTCTACCAGACTCAGGAGCACGTTACCACCACTTGCAGTGCCAACGGATGCGGCAAGGCCACTGTCACCGCCGTCGTCTCTCTTTACACCACTGTCTGCCCTGTCAGCTCTGGAGCTCCCAGTGCCTCCGCTCCCGGTGCCTCCGCCCCCGGATCTCAGGCCCCTGCTCCTTCCGCCGGCTCTGAGACCGTTGTCGTCCCCGGAACCACCGTTGCTGCCTCGACCAAGCCTGCCGAGACCATCCCCGCCACCGTCGAGAACGGCTCTACCAAGTCCGCCGAGACTGTCCCTGCCACTGTTGTCCCTGGCTCCACCAAGAAGCCCTCGACCACTATTGTGCAGTACACTCCCACTTCATCCATGGTCGCCTACACTGGCGCCGCCGTCAAGAACGGTATGGGCTTTGCCGCCATGGCTGCCGGTGTTGCTGCCCTTGTCCTCTAAATTTGATGCTATGAAGCCTCATCTTTGATGCGTCTGGCACACATCACTTTCCTTAACGCCAAACCACAACAAACCTCTTCTTTCAGGTGCCCACCACACCATTGGTGGGTTGGTGATTGAAGGCTCTACAAGCCTTCTCTTTAATGCCCTATTGTTATTTCCTTTTGTTTCAGATATGTATAAAACTATAGTGGAGGATGGTCGATAGGATGTAATACCGCCTGGATATATACCCCGCTAGCTAGAATAGTTGTACTTTCAAAGAATTCGAGATCTGCAGTATCTCTGTTTCCAAACATTTTCCGTTCCTTCATTCTCGTCTGACCAACTACCCCGATGAACTTTGTCTTTGGTAATGGTACAGACTAGTAGTGATTGGTTGTGTTGGGAAGCACTGGACCTCAGTGCTAATTCCTTCGAGCAAGCGAAACCATTCGTACACGATCATTTGCCAGTTTACGGACAGAACAATCTACATTGTATATATTGGTTCAAACCATCGAGTCAAGGGCGGGTGGATGACTAACTAGCGATGCAGCTCTTCTATAAGATTGAGAGAGCATGCAACCATACCTCACGAGGTTTGGTGGAGAAAAGTTGGCGTGCAGGGTCAAAACTGGCAGGTTTTGACAGATGACAGAACATCTGCATGGATGAATATCAAGACTCGTCGGCATTGAAAAGGGACTCTACGTTCATAAGAGGTAGTCAATGCCAAATTTTGCTTTCACACAAACACATAGTCCAATCCATCATATGTGCCCTCTGTTGCCGGCGATGCTGTGGATATTGGAGTATGTTTGCTCCAGTCGCTGTGTCTGCTCTGGAAGTCTCTCGACGCTGCAATTGCTGTTGTAGAAATGATCAGGTCTGTGATACCGCAGACTTGCTGCACCGCTCCCATCATGTATTCAATTCTCCCACGTGTCATACAGATTCGCTTCACTCAGGATGATCGATGTTTTCCAGGGCATCATTGACCTGACTCCTTACTCTCTTCGCATTTTGCATTCCCCGAGGTGATCCTTGAGTGTCTTGAGATTTTCTGTGGGCGGTCCAATCGACACAGACTTCCAGACCTGGACTCGAGGGTTTGAGTTATCGTTGCTCATGATGGCTCGTGGTGGACTTTGAAAGCTCTAGGAGACCCTTTTTGTTGACAGGGGCTCTTATGACCTTCTACGTTGGTTGGTACGCATGCTTGGATTGCGTAGATTTGTCTTCTGCCAAGGGATGATAACATGATTCTTTAAGCAGATATAGAAAGCAGTGTCTTCTGGAATTATATCTGTACTTGATGCCAGGGAGAGATGTTTGCACAGAGATCCCCACTTTTCACATGCTGTCAAAACAGCATGCCGCGAACTCTAGAACCTTCGATAAGAACATCAAGGGTGGCCCTGTTCAAGTGCTCTTGGAAACTCTTATAGGCGACAGTGTACAGTCATAGTAGCAGGAACAATCAGGTCAGTAACTCTTCAGACGAGTCGTTTGTCTCCAATCGGTGTTTGACTAGCAGCCTGCAGCACACCCGGTTTGAGATACGTAATCGGACAGTGGTATCAGTGACCCCTCTGTCCATCTCCATGGCATTATCGGTGCCATATAGATGTGGAAAAGCTTCCACCCGTGTGTTCGAACACACGTCCTGCAAACCCACTTCCATCCGCCACAGATCCCGTGATGCCGGAAGCTGACTTTGCGGACGAGAGGCAACAGGTGGGGGAGCATTTTGTTTCGACAAAGTGTGTCCCATCGTATGTGTCCTTTGACGGGACTGACAGCGCTGGCTGGGTAATTGCAAGAGGGTAGTGTGAATAGCCATTGGGTGGCCGCGTCCTTGGGAGGCGACTGGTTATTCCATGTCGAGAGGGAGGCGAGGGAATAGGATAGGTGCACTTTCGATGGCAATTTGTCTCGACACTGCAAGCAATGGATGGTAATGGTAATGTTGGGATACATCCTGGAAAAGTGCTTCAAAGACCATGAGACGAAGCTCTGGTGGTAGCGCTGCGAAATTGAACACTTTGGTTGTTACGAATCCAGATTTGAGTTTCATGGCGTCGAGAGTGTCTGGAAGATTTTGCTGTGAGGCTGATGGTTTGGAGCTGAAGATCTTGGATAGTGGATAAAAGGAAGTGATACGAGGTCGGAGGTCTAAAGCCTGAGGCTTGTACGAAGAGTTCTGTTGATAAGTCAGTCACATTCTCTCGAAAGACTTCACCTACATGATGACTAACGATTTTCCAATATGAACTGCTCGAAGACGCGGATGGTGGCGATGGTGTTGTTGTTGCTGCGATGGTTACTGATGTTGACAGAGGTTGCTGAAGTGCGCGGCACACTGATCGCACTTTCCATCAAGTACCCACGTGCGAATTTGCTTGTCAGGTCCAATTTTTGTTTTCTCATTCCAATTGTCAACAGTGATGGGGAACGAGCGAGCCTTATTACTTACAAGAGTGAGTCGTTCGACATCTATCACTTCCAACCGTCAACACCAATACTTTCAGATGCTCCCACCACTGTACCACCAGATTCAAGTGAACTGGGAGGCTCTACTGATACTTGAAACAGTAATTGGAATATTGTTGTCAGAAGTGAGGAACATCTCACATCATGACGATATCCAACCAGTATATAAACCAGCAAAGCTCCGAGTTCAGACCTTTACAACACAACTCTTCCAAGGCCTGCAATACCTTCACAGAAACGGCGTGGTTCACGGCGACGAGCGAGCCCTGTTACTCCACATCAAGATGTTGACTCTCACAAGGCAAACAAACGCATCCGAGGGCAGACGACCAGGTCACCCTACCTCAGGCCTGTATTCACTGCTCCATGCCCGACTTGGAGCTAGAGTAAGGTAACCTGATGTCCATCAGCCCTGGAGTCGGGGATGAATGTGACTATCTCCGAGGGGCGGGTCCAAATGAAGGAGGGATACCCCTTAGTTGCTTTAGCATCAGCCTAGCGTTGTGTTTGCGGTGGGATGGCTTGTCCTTGGACGATATCCATAGGATGTATTTCGCTGTTCATGCGTCGTCAAGTTCGTCGGGAGGTTGAGAAGGATCTACGTTGTGGAGTAAGTTGAGGTTGTGTAGACATGGCAGTTCTACTGACGAGAAGGAAGAGGAGGAGATTGCGGAATTCAGACTGCGAGGTAAGACGCCCAGATGGGTCTGTGCAGCTCTCCCCCAAGTTGAGGTAATGATCGATTATGCTTGATATTTTTCAATCTAATCGACGTCGGGCACGGGTAGACCCTGGTATAGTTTCATCCTCCTGCCAAGCTTCTTCATGGCTTCCATGGCCTTCTCTTCCCGTAGCTTGCGCGATTCGTCGTCGGTCACAAGGACGAAGTCGTATGTGATGAGCTTGTCGCCTTCTTTTACGCCATACTCTTTGGCTTGTTCCGCAGATACAGTTCCCAGATCGATGAGTAAGGATTCCTTGACGCCGAAAACGGCATCTGAGGTCTCGTATGGGTCGCCGCGTAGGTAAAGGGCGNNCTGGGATGGAGTCAGTATGCTTGTCATAGAAAGAAGAGATATGGTGACGTACGTGATGAGGTTGTCGTAACCCGGCTTCTCAAACATGAAATGCATGTGGCTAGGACGGTACGGGTGACGCTTCAGTTTCTTGAGAAGTTGACCGACAGGTCCATCGTGAGGNATGGGATATGGTACTGGCACGATAGCCTTGAACCAGAAGACGCCGTCGTTGTCGCTCTTCATGACAGCTCTGCCGTCGGGACCGTCTCTCTCTGCATATTGAACGTCGTAGAAGCCCTTGCTGTCCGTCTCCCAGATATCAATCTTCACGTTATCAATTGGCTTTCCAGTGGTGTCCTTGACGGTGCAGAGGACTAGACAGGGCTCGCCTTCGGGATCGTGTGAGATGCTACCACCGTTGCCCTCGAGTTGGGCTTCGTGGGTGTGGAAGGGACCTAGCACAGTACCCTCTGTGCTAGCAACGGGCTTAGGGTGGTCGATGCTGTCGACGAGCAGAGAGAGGCCAATAACATCGGAGAGCAAGATAAACTCCTGGCGTACGTCGCTGCTGATCTGGCCGACCTTGGTCAGGAACTGGATGGCGGCCATCCACTCGTTTGTGCTGAGTCTTGTCTCGCGAGCAAAGTCATGTACGTGAGAGACGAGTCTCTCGAGGAGGTACTTCATTCTCGGGTCGTCGCATTGTGAGTTGATCATGTGTACATTCTCGGTAATGTTGTCGATGGTCAAGTCCTTGAGCGGAGGGACGTTGACTTCTGATGGGTCCATAGTTGCTACTTGATCGAGTACAGCGATATGAGAGGTAAACGGAAGAGGGAGCCTGAGACACGAAAGATACTCAGGATGATTATCTGTCTCCCCTCCAAGCCCCGCCATCCCCACAGTCGGCAGAGGTGGCCGGATGCTCGGAAAAGCGCCAGGCTCGGAAAACTCACCGGAAGCAGAAGAAAGAGCCTCTGAGCGTGAACATCATGCTGTCCGGATTCAAGTAAGCTATCGGAGACAGAGAGATACTTGGAAGAAGGATGCAAGAAGCATCAAAATTATATTCCCGAGGGATAGGGGCTTCCGTGACGTCCATCAGGAGCGTGGGGAGCCTGTGACTCTAGAGAGAGGGCGCTCTTTGCTCACTCGAAGGATCTCTGAGTGACTACAAGAGATGCATGCGTGGCCCTTCAAGAGAACGACAAGCATCTGATGAGATTGTGAGCTGCAACAGGCGGCTGTACAGGTCAAAGGATTGCGAAGGATGATATTGACCATGCGGGTAGCTGTGGGGAGTCGATGGCCCAAGCTTTGTGTTTACCTTTTCGCAAACACACAAGATCTTTCTCTCTTGCGAGTAACCAGATATACACAATGGCGAGTCCTTTGTCGCCACTCAATTCGCAACAGCTCAACTCGCGCACACCGGCGACGGCGGTGCGTGAAGACAAGATGGCCACCAACAGCGTTGCTGCCACTCCTTGCAGAACGTCAACACCCACCAAACAAACACACGAAGAATCCATCATCAACTGGGACGACGAAGACGCTGGAAGCTCGCCCTTTGTCGCTGAAGCAGACAGCCGTGCTGCAAGCAACAACTTCGCCCAAGTCCAAATCGACCCCGAGGTCGACGCCATCTTCGAGGACCCAGCAGACCCGTCAGAGACTCAGTTCTTCGAGACCGAAGACAAGAAAGCTTCGACCTTTTCCATGTCTTCGATTGGCGAGAAAGAAAACACTGTCGCTCTTGATAACCACAACGACGAGAACGAGCACAAGACGCCAGAAAAGACAACCACACCAGAGCCCTCGAGGAAGTCCATGTCTCCTCTGAAGCCAAAGTCGACCNATCAAAAGAGACGCAGCAGCACTTTTGAAGAAGACACTGCCCAAAAGCCACCACCTTCGACCAGAAAGACTCTGCGCTTCAACTCCNCCCTCAAGGCCAGCTCGCCCGTCAAGCAGCTCGACTTTGCTTCCGAAACGCCTCTTCCTCACAGCCGCGAGCCTTCATTCGAAAAGGCCGACGAGAACATTGACGACTCCATCATGGTCCACGATGTTGACGAGACTGGCGTCGACGACACTTGCTTCAGCACCTTTTCTGCCGTCCCAGACATGACCATGTTTGCAAAGCTGGGCGATCGCAGAAGCNCCCTCAAGCAATCCATCCAACACACACCACAGAGCGAACAAGCCACACCAAGACCCATCCGACGACGTGCCTCTGACGAACGATCTCCTTCCCCTACGCCTCGCAGACCCAGAACTCCCGGCACTGCCCAATCAAACACAACCAACCTCATCGACTTTACTCAGCAAATCGAACGCTTTGCACATGCCTCCAACCGTGGAGATGTTCAACAAACTCCATCTCGTCGTTCTCCTCAAAAATCTGCCACCGAGCCCAACCTCCTATCGTACCTCAACCAACAACGCTCGCCAGGCAAGGGCGCCAGGATGAGCACTCCAGCAAAGTCTACCAGTCTGCTCAACCTGCTCGACTTCGAACTGCCTCCAGCGCCCACTCCTCGTTCCATCCCTACTATCACCGTTCGCGAGCTCGAATCTATGAAGTCGCAATATCAGTCTCAAATCTCGTCACTCAAGGCTACCCTCTCTGGCAGAGAAGCCGAAGTCGACTCATTGAAGAAAGCCGTAGGAGATGCCGAAAGACGTGTCGGAGAGGCTCTTGAGAATCTCAGAGAAGAGAAGGGCCAGCGCGAGCAGATTGAGCATGAGAAGAATCAGTGGGAACAACGCGGTGTCGAGTTTGAGCATCTCCTCCAAAACGTCAGACAGGAGGTCATGCGCAGTGATGAAGAGAAGGAGTCTCTGATCCGTCGTGCAGAAGAAAGTGAACGCTTGACCGAGAAGCAACAAACCCGCGCAGACGAGGCAGAGTCCAAGGTCCTGGATCTAGAGGCTCAGCTCGCAACTGCTCGTGCTGCGATCCCTAAGAATGACGGCTCCGGCAACATGATCGACGAAGCACAAATCCAACACCTTGTCCAGCAACAGATTGACGCAAAGGTCGAAGCCGTATCTCGCGAACTCCACGCAGTCTACAAGAAGAAACACGAGACCAAGGTCGCAACCCTCAAANAGTCCTACGAAGCACGCGGCGAAAAGAAGTGTGCCGATCTTCAAACCCGTCTCGATGAGCTAGCCAAACAAAACGAAGAACTCTCAGCTTCTGTAAACAACAACGTCGAGTCGTCTATGATGTTCACAGCCGACGACCGCAGAGTCATGGAAGAAGCAAACTCGACCATCGAAGAACAACGCGCCCACCTCGCCAACCTAGACCGCCAACTCCAAGTCATGCGCAGTGAGCAAGCAGACCTCATCCGCGAGCTTGAAAAAGAGCGAGTCGAAAAGGGCGAGCTTGTTGCTGCTGTTGATGAAATGCTGCTTTTGCAGTCTTCGGCTCCTGATGGCAATACGGCAGCTATCGAAGATTTTAGACGCAGTATCAGTCGTCCTGCTCCTCCGCCTCATGCAAGCATTCCTGCGTTTAGAGAGCAGCCCACCGCGCCTGCTCCTGTGCAGAGTAGGATTGGGAGGGGTATGCCTAGACCCTCGGGGATTGCGTCCAAGAGCAAGATGATGAGCAATATCGAGCGCATGGGAAACTTGCCTAAGCACTGAGGTGCTGGTTTTTCTTCTTTCTTGTCAGCATGTCATGTTTCTCATGCCCTTTTTTTGTTTTTGTTCTTTGATGACTTCTGTTACACAGTCTTACAGCTTCTTGTGGTTTGGTTTTTGGAGTGTGAAGGGCAGGGAATCGTTTCGACCCTACCATTGGTTTCTTCTTGTTTCGCGAGCTGTCCAATGGACATGTATTTTCTCGTACTTTTCTCTCAAATCAGATTGTTTTTGATATCTCCTACCAATGCTTGCCGAATACGTGTACAGTGTGACAACTTTCCATTACCTCTCTTACCTCTGCGCGAGACGACATCGGGATTGCATAGCCATATGAGCAAGCCAGGAAGCAGACACGGTATAACTTGTTGGATCTAGCTTGATGGGGAAACACACAAGGCCCTTGTGTCACGGAGACGACGGTTCCATGTAATGGTCATGATCTGCACCGAGGGGTTTGACGACGCACATCACTCACTGAGTATTCCCGAGACCTGAATCGTGTTGGGTACACTTCTATCATAGAGATGCACAAAATGGCTGGTCGGCATACTGTAGGCAAGAATCAATCTCCAACCTCTTCACATGCACCTATGGACTTGATGGAGAGATAACACGAGCATTTGGTCGAAATTCCAACCTACCATTGACGGGTTTGAGATGTATGATCATTAACTTCGAGGGCCTGGATGGGTATGATTCTAAAGGAACCCACCGCGCAAGGACTGCAGTGTCGGCTCAATCATTGGCTTTGGGACTTGCAGACTTGATTGGGTCAGTGATACTGCAGTCCTGATGTGTATCTCCATCCGCTATCCGTGTCGATGCCTGACGAATTTGAGCTCACGGGAAGGAATGAAATGGTTTGGGCATCATTGACCCAAGCACCTCCCTCTCTCTCTCTCTCTCTCTTGTGTTGCTCAAATCACAGCAATTGATTTCACGATGCCAATCACACTTGAGTTGCATGAACAGTACTGTCGACGATGTCTTGGTGCCTCCCTCGCATCCTCAATTCGTCTAGACACTAGAGCTCGTTATCTAGCTTCCACAAGCGAATCTTTCAAACACTGTTCAAGGCTATGTAAAGCAAACAGGAACAGCAAATGGATATACACCAGCTGTCATGTGGTATAGCTATTCTCCCGTCTACCAAGAACAATCTTTGCAAGCAAAAGCAGACCTTATCCCCCCAATAATTTTTCAGAGCCAGCAAGAACTCTGCAATTTTCCTTTCTCTAGACTTTTGAAGCATGGTATTACTCAACAGCCCTTGCAAGTTTAAACACAAGCTCTCAGAAATGGTATAAGAGTGCTAGCACGCGATAGTTGCAGTATCAGTCGAAAACACTGATCTAAAGATGTGCGATGGAGAAGCTAAAGAAGCAGCAGGACACCACTACAACCGACAAGAGAGGATAAAGGAGAGCAGGAACCCCCATACACATCACAAGCCAGTATAGTCTACCACCGACCAACACCAGCATAAACTTCCAAGTGAATTTCTGCTCTGGTCTCGACGGGTTTAGATCTGCTCTTATCTCTCGTGCTTACACCATCCCTGAGGTTCCACGCTTGCAAGACCAGTAGATGGTGGTGAAACCCATCGGTTCTGCGCATCATGAATTTCGAGATTCCCTGATATGGCTTGTAGCTATTAGATGATAGTATCTTTGCTCTTCTACCCCTCTCTCCTTCCCTCCACTCTCCACTCCTTCTTCTCATCACAAAGGCGGCGGATTAATATCCAACCCCTCAACCGTCAATCTAAACGCATCGTTCCTGCTATAAGATCCAGCAACATCCATATCCAATCTCCCCCTCTCACAATCTTCGAAATCTGCTTCTGTGTACAGGAATCCATCTTCTTCTTCCCATAAACTCGGACACAGAACATCTCCTAGAGGACCAATGATGCAGGAGCCGCCGCGACACACAAAGTCATCTTCTTCTGGAATAGCCGCAGAGGAGGACTGGGTATGAGCAGAAGGGTCAGGCAAAACAAGTTCATTCCCTTCTTCCATAACCACTGATTTTCTGCGGGGCGCAGGCGCAGAGATAGAGGTAGAAACAGCTTTTGGTTCTGCATCCACCTTCTTCGGGGCAGAAATCCAAGAAGGCAAATGACTGCGTCTTACGCATTGATTAGCACTCAACACAAAAGCTCTGCTTTCTGCAGCCACTGTGCGCATAAGCGGTTCCCAGGTATCTCTTGCGTCTGCTGTAGGCGCGAGATACAAGTTTACGTTTTGAGAGTAGAGTGAGTAGCGCAGAAGCGGCATGTAGTTTTCCCAGCAAATGGCTGCTGCAAGTGTAAGATTGACCCCGCGGATGGTGGTGGTGACGGCGCGTAAAGAGGATGGTTGGCCTTGTGCCCACACTAAACGCTCTGATCCTGTAGGCATGACTTTTCTTCTTTTGCCGATGCAGCCGAGACGAGGACAGGTGTATACGACACCGCAGTAGAGTGAACCTCCACTTCTTTCCACAAGCCCAGTAACGATAAACACGCCTGTTTCTCGGGCCACGCGTTCGAGGAATTCTCTTGTGCCATCACCTCTGTATTCTTTTCCTTTGGCCACTGGCAGTTTTCTTTCTACCCAGTCGTTGCCGGCACCTATTGGGGTATCGCCTAGATCGACGGCAGCGTGGAAGTACTCGAGGAACTGGTCGCGACCATGGGGAGCGCGGGCGCCGACGCTGGCGCCAAAGTCACAAGTACGTGGGTAGCCACCGAGGTAGGCTTCAGGAAAAAGAATGAGATCGATGGATTGGGAGGCTGCTTTGCGCGTGGTGGCAGCCAAAGCGTCAAGGGTTTGCTGTAGCGTGTCCAGGGTTCTGGATTGGGAGACGGCGAGTTTGAGTTTCTTAGGCATGGTGACAAGGGAATTGTCAAAGACGGGGTTGATACAGGAAGACAGTGCTCTTGACTCGATGTTCTAAGTCTCTTCTGAAAGGAAAGAAAAGAGCTGTGAGTCAGTTTTGTGAGTCGAAGTTCATCAAGGTTGCAAAGCGGGAGAGCTTCCCAAAGGGGCAGGTCGTCTGCTGTACAAACACCGAATCCAAATCCCGAGTTCTACGAGAAATCCATAGCTGTTAGCCTGTCAATGGCAAGCTCAGCAATACTGGTAGATGGACCAAGATGGAGATTGGATGCATGTGTGTGGGAAAGAGAATCGTCTTTGTCTTTCTCATTCTACGTGCAAAGGGCTTTCGAATTACTGGAATTGCTCTCCATGCTCGTCATAATCATGAATGTCATGCCTATTGTCCTTGTTACTTCTTCTCTCTTCTCACTCCTTTACATCTGCTTGGCGGCCTTGGCGAGGTCGGCGAGGGCCTCGCGGCGCTTGAACTTGGCGTCCTCGATGACACCTGCNACGTGTGTGTTAGTATTAATTTCTATGTCAGACGAGGAGAAGCAGGGCATACCAGCATCGGCGTCAGACGAGAAGTTGGCGGTCCACTGGACAAAGGTGCTGTTCTCGTTCTCGCCAGAGGTGACGGCGTAGCAGCGGATGGTGCTGACAACAGAGGTGTAGCTCAGGGCGGGGTTGGCGGTGATGACCGAGTAGGTGATGTAGTGGTTGAGCGAAGAGTGCTCCTCCTGCTTGACCTCGATGACGGTGCCGTCCTTGAAGTGCCACTTGACGACATCGGTCTCGTCAGAGGTACCCTTGGAGTGCTCGGCCTTGTCGAGAGCAGACCAGAACTTGTTGAAGTCCTGGAGCTTGATGAAGTGCCAGACGTGCGAGAGAGGGGCTGTGATNTGAGCGTGTTAGCTGTTGCATCTTGCGACACTGACTCAAAACAGCGACGCACCCTTGATGACGGTCGACTCGGTGACCGAGGTGCTGGTAGGGATGGCTCCGGACATGTTGATGGTGATTGGATTTGTGATTGAGTTTTGTGTGTTGGTGTGAATTGACAGAGGCTTGTTCAAGTTGGTGGAAATTTTGGAGACGAAAAACGCCAGGCAGAGCGGGCAGCTGCGGGGCTGTTTGCTCAGACGTCACCACCCACAACGAAGAAAGGAGCTATGACAACTGACAACAACTTCAACTGACTGATATGAACATATGCTGTCGCTATCTTATTGGACTCTTGTTTATTGCAAATAACCATCCTGTATATGATCGAACATGCCCTCCCTTTTATCTATAACCATCAAGACACCCTGACTAGTCATACATGGAAGATAGACATCCTTCTAGTTAAAGACAACAGTCTTGGTTCCGTTGAGNAACACCTTCTCCTCTGACCACCACTTGACGGCGGCGGCCAAGACCTGAGCCTCGACATTGGATCCCTCCTCGACAAGATCCTTGGGAGACATGGCATGGTTGACACGAGCAATTCTCTGCTCAATAATGGGGCCCTCGTCAAGGTCGGCAGTGACAAAGTGGGCAGTGGCACCAGTAATCTTGACACCGCGCTCGTAGGCCTGATGGTAGGGCTTGGCGCCCTTGAATGAAGGCAAGAAACTGTGGTGAATGTTGATGATCTTGCCAGACATTGCTTCGCAGAGACCGGGGGTCAGGACTTGCATGTAGCGGGCCAGAACGATAAGGTCAATGTTGTTCTCCTTGACGAGGTCCAGAATCTGCTTCTCCTGCTGCAGCTTGGTGTCCTTGTTGACGGGAAGGTGGTGGAAGGGAATGTCGTAGTTCTTGGCAAGGGGCTCAAAGTCAGGGTGGTTGGAGACGATGAGAGGAATCTCGACTTGCAATTGCTTGTTCTTTTGACGGAACAGCAAGTCATTGAGACAGTGGCCAATCTTGGAAACCATGATCAAAACACGAGGCTTAGCAGAAACGGGACGAATGTTGTAGTCCATCTTCATCTGCTGGGCCAGCTCGGTGATCTCAGGCTTCAGGTGCTCAGTGTTTTCGGCATGGCCAAAGTGCACGCGCATAAAGAACTTCTCTGAGGTAGGGTCACTGAATTGTTGCAAGTCAAGAATGTTGAGCTCATGCTTGGCCAACAGTCCGGTGACAGCGTGCACGATACCAGGCTTGTCCGGGCAGGAAAGTGTCAGGTAGTGGTCGTTCGCCTTGGAAGCCATTCTGGTTGAAGAAAAGGATGCAGACTGATTTGATGTTGACACAATTCCAAAGCGAGCAGGTGTGGTTATCCTTGAGACTATTCCAAAGGGTCTTGCTGTAAATCTGAACAGTGAAGCCATTCACGAACTGGATCGATACTGTATGGACTCGCCTCACTCGTGATTATTGGAAATGGCCGTCGGCGGTGTCTGGAAAATTGTAAGCACGGGCCAAACGCACGGGGTCTCTTTCACGTTTTATTTGCGCTGCATCAAATTTTTTTGGGGAAGATTAATCGATCTGGAATGAGTAGGCGTTCTCAATGCGTGTCTGCAACGCTGTGAGCTGATCCCAACAATACAATCAGAACAACAACAAATCTCGTGGCGTGCGTCTCCTCAGCTCATCGCTCAAAGTCCAACCGCCTTTGCTACATGCTGGAGTCGCGATAAGGGAGATGCTCGGCCGAACGTGTTCGGTCGACAGCATGTACACGACGACTCTTGCCGTGTCAAGAACCGTCAAGCGACTACTGAGACACATGAAGCCAGGCCACTGAGATCTTTCAACGGAAGCGTTTTGTTCAACCACCAACACCTACATCATGAGGCGTATCCGGAGTGCTTCTCCTGCTGGCGACTCCAGCTCTTCCAATATCAGACTCCAGATTTTGATTCAGATTCATGACAAGCTTTCTGCACGTGTGCGGCTGGGCTTCCAACGACATGCCCTGTTTCGGCAATCCTCCAACGGTATACGCCGTTTATTTTCCTATCATGCTATCGAATCTGCAAAGCGGTGCCGAACGTAGGGTTTGTGATTGCCATTGTTGTTGAAGAAAGGTATAAGATTGACCAGCCACCGCGAAATGGTGTCTTGCTAGGACAGACACGACACTTGCGATTTTGAACAAAAGAAAGCTTGCAGGCCTGGCATCTTTTGTTGGAAAAGTACGGCGAGGACTAATCACTTTTCTTACCATAATGTTTCCTCCTGCCGCTCTTCTCTCGCTGCTCGCTTCTTCGACCTTGCTGGTTCAAGGTCTTCCTGTGAGCGATTCTACAGCACCCATCTCTCGACGCGACAGCGAAACCTCACCACCCATTTCTCGACGAGGCAGCGAGGTTGATACAACAATCTCTAGACGAAACAGCGACATTGCACTGGAACCTCGTCAGGCTTGCGACGTCGAAGACGGCGATCCAATCAGAGGTGTCAACCTCGGTGGCTGGCTTGTCCTCGAACCCTGGATGAACTGGGTGCTCGTCGGAAACACAGGCGCTGTCGACCAATGGACATTCGACCAAACCGACAATGCAGAGTCAGCATTGCAATCACACTGGGGTTCTTGGTTTACCGAATCCGACATGGCGACAATTGCCTCGTGGGGTCTCAATACGTACGTTTGCTCCAGTTCCCTAAAAGCCGTTACAATCACCCGCCTTCAAGCCTCATCTCGACCCTGATCAGCCCTGTATACCGGTCGTCTACGCCAGAACTTATGACGTCTTTTGCTAACGACTCTGAAACAGTNNGTGCGCATCCCAATTGGGTACTGGGCCTTCAACAACACTGACAGCCCTTACATCTCCGGTGCAGATGCCTACCTGGAGCAAGCCTTGGGCTGGGCCAGGAAATACAACATCCAAGCACTGATCTGCATGCACGGCCTTCCTGGTTCTCAAAACGGCTTCGACAACTCTGGCCACAAGGGCACTGCCGAATGGGCAGAGAATACCGAGAATCTTGCCGCATCCACCGCAGTCCTTGAAATTATGGCAGCCAAATATGGTGTCGCTGCCTATGCTGATGTCGTCTGGGGGTTGGAGTTGGTCAACGAACCCATCGTGTGGGATTACGATTCCGCCCAAAGTGCCCAGCAATGGGCAGTCGACACGGTCGAAGCCATGCGTACCCACATCACAAACCCAGACCTGAAGCTCATCATGCACGACGCCTTCCTTGGCGCAAAGTCCTGGAGTGCGGTGGCTGAATACCTCAACTTTGACGCCGACAGCGAGAACTTTGTCTTGGATGTTCACTTGTACCAGAATCAAGGCGGTGACACCAACAGCATGGATCAAGATCAACACATTGCTACCGTCTGCGATTACCCAAACACCCAGTTTGTGCCTGACTCTGCACACCTGCCTGTCATTGTCGGCGAGTTTAGCGACCAGACTAACATCTGTGTTGATTCTTCTGGCAACATCACAGCTGGCACATCTTGCAGCACCTCAGGATGCCAATGCTCAGCACAACTGGATCCTTCGCAGTGGAATTCTTATCTCGTGGCAGCCACAAGAAGATTCATGGAGGCGCAAATGGACGTGTTTGAAGAATACAGCGGTGGCTGGTTCTTGTGGAGTTATACGGGACCTGGTGCTTGGGGCATGGCTAACCTTCTCAATGCTGGTGTCATCGGACCTGATCATATTACACAACGCCAGTTTCCTGCTCAGTGTAATGGGACGAGCTCGTCTTGAGAGTGAAAAAGAGCAATGCAATGACGTGACGAACACCCTTCCTTCATACATACCCATAGATTTTTCTTGGTACAGCGACAATAGAACAGTATAATGTTTTCAATCACTACTTTTTGCACTCGACACCCTTGGATGAGACGGGTTTGTAATCTTCGCATCTTCGTCCTTCATCTGTCTCATCACATTGTCCATTTCTGCCTCTTTGGTGATTGTTGATTACTTCTATGACGAGCTTCTTCGGTCTCACGGAGCTGCGTATCGAAAGGTCATCTGCAGTCTTCCAAATCTCTGAGAAGCTTTAACAGTTGGAAAACACTCTATACCGGTCTGCAGATCTTTGTCTTCCATGGTTCCAGTTCTTGCTTCACGGCCGTAAGTAGTGTATCGTCGCGCAAAAGGATATGTGAGTAGAAATTTGTCAGTTCAGCGTCAGCAGTGAAAAGGCTTCTTGGAGTTTGAATATCGAAAACGAAACTTTGGAAGGTGTGTGAATATTGGATGTTTCATCAAGCGATTGATCTGTTTTGCGTTTCCAGAGGCATCTGCTTTTGTTATCAGATTTGCTATTTGGAGTTCAAGCTCTACCGTTAGGCCTCCAGAACTGCCACCATGATCTCCGCATTCGTGAGCCCTGCCGGAGAGAAATGTCAAGGAGAGGGTAAGGAAGCTCACATCAATACCCAGGCTATTACTAGGTCAATGATATCGCTGATTCCCTCATACTCTCACGTATGCTTGGTTGATGGTCTTGACATATGTCGAAAGAGGAAGAAGAAGGTCTGCCAGGGTTTCACTGGCCTACTGCCCCACTCCTGTCTCTAGAATTGGGCAGCAAGTTCCCCGATATATACTAAGTTCCTTACAATGGCAGCAGCAAACAAGCTGAATCATCGGCGGACTTCACAGTGCGAAGCCTGGAAGGTGCCTGACTGGCTTTGCTGGATTCTTGTAGGTCCTGCAAGTTCGTCATCTGATTCTGACAAGCGCAGCCAGTCAGGTCTTCCATGCTCCGAGTTGGCGATAGACTTCGTGGTGGTCTACAAGGTCAGAGGTTCGTGCTTGACAATGGGAAAATGATTAGTGCTTCGAAGGTTTATAGCGCTGATCTATATACATATTCGTCTCTTCCTGCGTGACAGATGGTAGATTGCTATATAACCAAAGACGAGTGCAGAAGATTAAAGATTGTTTTCATATGACCAGAGGTCGTATTCACCATGGCAAGATTGAGAGAAATGTCATAGGGCACATTGGATGTCAAGCAAAATACATCTCAAGCCGAATTCGCGGATATAAAGGTTTCACTCAGCCACTGTTACTCTAGGCTACTACGAACAGGGATTCGGACATGACACCCTTGCAGAATATTTCACAGAGAGATAAGTTGCCCAAAATGTTTTTCTGAATTGTACTTCATAGATTTTGTGACCGTACTATCAGCCTCAACATTGAGAAAGCAGCCAACTGAGTTAGTGGTGCTGCAGTTGAGGCCACCTCGTGATCGAAGCAAAATAAACCAAATATGCTAGATCGAGATGGTCGATGGCTTCCAACTGGTTACTGACCTGATGGTCTGCCCTCGCTGTGGTGCACAATCAGGTTCAAAACCCATATTGAAGGGGTTCAAGACGGTGACCCAGGGCGGTCGCGGGTAGTGGAGATGTTTTCTCCATAGTTTGACCACTCCATTGCGTGGATATCTTTGGGGGAAACAGTGCCTACGGAAGATATTTATACACCATAACTGTGTCTGGTGATTGGAATCCCAGTATATATCGTACAATCTGTTTTGCCTGAAAAGGAGACATAGGGCTCTTCTCGCCAATTGAGATTTCCAACTCCGTGGAGTCTACGACGGGTTTTCGCACTGTTGAAGTCGTCTCCTCAAGACCTGCCGTTGTCTTGCCAGACTGTGCCCACCATGAATTTCCATAGCTCTTGACACATATTTCATGAGAACAGGAACAGCATCAGGAATATTCTTGTCGGAATTTTTGCATCTGTTGTCTGTGTTAGTAAACAATTCCACTTAATCAAGACGCCGTATTGTATGCTACTTATTGGATCTTCAACGATCGCGTCTGTACTCTGAACTGTACGAACGTTTCCGCGGTGGTCGTAGATGACTGGGGTAGTTTAAATGGACAAAGGCTTGAATTAACTTAAGCTGCGATGAATAGACGATTCGGTCACTGACATTTCAAGTTGTCGTGTATCTCGAAGAAAAACTTACAGTCCTCAGTCAGCTACATGACAGATGGAGATAGAGGGGTATCGAGGCAGTCACTAATTCGATAGTCTTCTCTCGCGGTCCAGGGTGAAGAGTTAGTCATGATCCTAGTCATGTCGCGTTGACTCCGTCCATGTCCTGGTATATTACATTTGTCAGGTCGGGGAAGAATTCACCCTCTGACTGTCTAAGCAATCCTGGCTCGATGTATGGCCACGACATCTGCTTAGATCCTTCTCATTTCCCACGACTCATGCTACGTCAGACGGACTTAGCGGCAGGAACAGTCAAGGGGCGTGAAAGAGCAGTTGATTTGCATTGCAAAGGTTTGTCTCAATCGTCGATGATAAGAAACACTCGTCCAAGATTTTCGATACTCGAATACCACCATCGAGATCATGTATTAGATACAACAATCCAGACGGTGACATGTCCTGTGGATATGCTACCGTCAGACAAGTTAATGCTTAGACAGCTAATGTCAGCGCATCGAGTAGACAACCAGGTCAATGATATCTCGAATCATCATACATCTCCGGGCAGACTTGCTCTAACCGACTAGCAATACGCCAATCAGAAATTAATGAGGTCTCCTGGGGAGTCACTGACCCAATGACTTTTCAAGGGCTTGTACTTCAATGCGCAAAAAGGATGATGGCTCATTGCTTGTATTTTGTTGTTTGTATGGTACTTGTCGTTGCGCAAGCGGGGTGATTTCTTCTTTATGCTCTGTAAATTGAAGTTCAGTAATCTGATGCTCGGTTGCTTGTAAGCGATGGATCGATACATACCAACAATCTGGTTCTGTTGGTGGGAGACTAAATCCCAGGCAAAGTCGTCGACCGTGCAGAGCTGGCTGAGTTATCGCTGGGGGTTAATGTTTCTATTGCCTAAAGTATCCTCTTCTTCAAGCTGACTTACGAGGTTGTAATCGACGTCCGAATCTCTTATATTGTTCGCTCGTGCCTTGGTGAATTTTGTTGGGGTGAAACGACGATGAGAAAGGGAGACATAGACAAAAAGCATTTGGCAGGCAAAGTGTGTTTTTGTTTGGCCGGAGAAAGAGAAAGGAGCACGAAGCAATAACCTACCATAAGATTGTAGATCCGACCATAGAAGATGCTCGAATCATCTTCCCAAGATCCTCGGTCCACGATAGACATTCCCCGTTACTTCAGCATACTATGCATGCTCTGTCGGATCACTATGACCTGTAAGACACAACACCAGCGCCTCAGCCGCAACCTCCAAACTAGCACGAACGAACGACAGCTCCTCCCCCGCTGACACAAGTAACATAGTATCATCTTCCACAGACCTCTGATCCATAACCATAACACACATGGGGGACTTCTCAGACTCGTTCAAAATCTGTGTGGGTGCTAGAGCTGAAGGTGGGCAGCGGTGGGATCGATATCATGAACCTCTTGACTCGATGCAGCAGCGCATGCGACAAAGAACTGCATACCCATGTCGGATTTACGGATGGTTGATCAGAAGCAATTGGGTAGATATTGGAAGTCAAGGTGAAGCCTGTCGAGGAAGTGGGTGGTCGATTAATACTAGGCCTAATCAGGAAGTAATTGAAAGTCGGGGATTGCCGGCGGAAGCAGCGATTGTTTACACTTTGATGGATGCGCCGGCGACGCTCCAAACACAACAAGACCAAATCGGAGCAGACACGATGGCGACAAATGATCAGATCAAGAATGCGCTGCTGACGGAGCACTTCCGATACACGCCACTGGTAAGTGCGCGCTTTGCGATTGCTGGGTTGGACGGGTGTTGACAAGCAGCAGNNACACTCCTCGACGACATCATCAACACGGTCAACGAACTCGTCTACCAAGCAGTCGGCGAGGTTCAGACGGCGCTTCTCAACGTACCCAAAGAGCAGCTCGGCTTTCCTGCAAACGCGCCCGCCCAACAAGATGACAAGACCGACGAAGCCGCGTCGGAAGAAGCTGCAACGACAGAAATCGAGGCTGGAATCGTAAAGCTCGAGAGTCTGCTAAACTCGACCATCGACAAGAACTTTGACAAGCTCGAAATCTACACGCTGCGCAATCTCTTGACCGTCTCGAATGCGAAAGAGGACGAAGGGCTGGAGAACTGGATAGTCCTGGATCACTACAAGGTGCGCACCGTCTTTTCTTGAGCTTGTTGAGCATAGCTGACTCAGAGCAGANACCTTCAACCTCCTTCCGCAGATGGCAATGCGCCTACGCCAGAATCCGTCAATCGCCTGCGCCGCAAAGTGCAAGAGACGGAGAAGCTACAATCAGCCTTGAAAGCAGAAGCCGCACAGAATGAAGCCTTGCTCGCCCAATTGCGACCGCTCATGTCGGCTCCTCCAGCTACCAAATCCTCCTTCAAGCCCGACCAAGACACGCCACAACAAGACACGACTCCCTCCTTCTCCTTCCTCACAAATACGCCATCGGCCGCAGCTCTTGGAGTCGGGTCGGAAAAACACGCCAACTCGCTCGCCCAGAACACCAGCTTCGTCTACTCGCAAATTCCTGCTCTGCGGGAGATTGTCGCTGCCCTGCGCTCACACCTCGCGACACTGCCTGCGAAGAACATGGCAGCCACCGTCGATCAGTCCACAGAAGCAAGACACGCATACATCGAGAGCCAGACGCGTCGCGCTTTGGACAGGGCAGGTGTGGATGCTGCACCAGCACCAGACACTGAGTCATTGGGAAGACGCATGGGTGGGGAAGAGACAAGAGCGCTAGAAAGCATTGTTGCTGCCATGGCTGCACAGAACCATGCTGCGGACAAGATGGAAGAATGACGGACACAAGTTACGAGAACATGATCAAAATGCATTGGCGCAAGGCGAATATGATACCCGATTTTTCTACTCTGATTACAACGCATTTATTTTTCCGGTCTGTTTCAATTACTTGGTAACAAGTTGAAGGTGCACTCTTTATCAAGGTTGTTCTTGGCCCTGTAAATCCTAAAGAAGGGCTCCCGAGATGGAACCGCTTTTGCTGTGACAATTCAACCTTGAACTCCATGTTGAACGAGGGAAGAAGCTTGCCCTCTGGCATAGCCACTCGGCAATTGTGCATCTCGTAGAAGATCCTCGTACCCTCTCGGAATTCGTAGACCCCGCCATGTTTTTATTCTTTTTGTCTTTGCTCAAGCTTTGATGCGGAAAGCTTGCCATGCCAAGAGCGACGTCTCAGCCAATGACGATTGTTCGAGCGACACGTTTCACGGCAACATCAACATGTTTGTCTTGTCTGCCTTCGGCCTCTCCCTTGTCCATCCATAGCACCTCTCTATCCTTCCCGCAAGCCTGGTCGAAAGAGGCAGGCCGGGTAGTCACACTCTGCAGCATGTCAATTAGAGCAGCCCTCATTGGCCTTGCCACCTGATGCTCATCGTCAGTGGCATATTCGACAAGCTGCGGGTCCATGCATGCATTGCCATGTCACCGAAAGATCCTTGATCAACATGGATTGAGTGAAGGTACAAAGTCGACTCTGATCCCCCGTCGTAGACTCTCTCAAAGGTAGGAGCTATTCAATTGGCTTTCATCAGCAGTCACGATGCGTTTTGTTATCTCTCTGCTTTCCTTGTCGTCCGTCGCTCTTGCGAGCTGGACCCAGAACCTGAACTACCGCAGTCCTTCTGACCACCACCCTGGTCTCGGTATCTCTCTTCACAAGGTCAACAAGCGCAATGTGCCCGGTACTCAGTACTCTGCCTCGCAGTTGAACTTTACCCATGGCATTGCTTCTGGAGACCCGTACTCGGACTCTGTCATCCTGTGGACTCGCGTTGCTCCCATGTTCGACAATGTCAATGACAACTCGACCGTCTCTGGCATTGCTCCTTTGTACGGCCATGGCGCCAACTTGACTGCCAGCACTGCTCCTGTCTGTGTGCAGTACAAGGTTTCCAAGTCTGCCAACTTTACCCATGTTGAGAGCAGCGGCACCGTATACACTTCTTCCGACATTGACTACACTGTCAAGGTTTGAGCGATCGTCTACTAGAGATTCGAAGCATTCGCTGATTTTCCTCTCCCAGNNGTCGAGGCCAAGAACTTGACTGCCTTCACTCGCTACTACTACCAGTTCAACGTCTGCGGCTCCAACAAGACCAGTCCTCTTGGCCGCACCAAGACTGCCCCTGATACCAACGACTACACTGCTGAGGTCGGACTTGCTGTCTACTCGTGCAGCAACTTCCGTATGCCGCATTCGTCTTCTGTCTGATCTACCGACAACGACTAACACACGACAGCATTCGGCTTCTTCAACGCCTACGGTAACCCTGTGCGAAAGGACTCCGTCGACTACGTCATCCACCTTGGTGACTACATCTACGAGTACGCCGGCGACGGTGACTACGGCTACGGCTACAGCATCAACCGCATTCCCAAGCCCGAGCGCGTCATCACTACCCTTTACGACTACCGCGAGCGTCTCGCTACCTACCGCACCGATCTCGATCTTCTCGCTTCCCACCAGAACTATCCCTGGATTCCTGTCTGGGATGACCACGAGGTCTCGGACAACACCTACCGCGATGGTGCTTCTGAGCTCAACAACACTGAGGCGTCGTTCATCAGCGACGGCGGTGTTTCTGTTGACCAGAGAAAGATGAATGCTGTCAGAGCATACTTTGAGTGGATGCCCATCCGCCAGGTCGAGATGGACGACAACCTCCGTATTTGGAGAAGCTTCAGCATTGGCAGCTTGTTCGACTTGGTCATGCTCGATACCCGCCAATACGACCGCTCCATCACCGATCTGTACTGGAACACCGACTATGTCCACGCACTCAGCAACGATGCTGGCAGAAGTATGATGGGTAGCAGACAGGAGAACTGGTTCTACAACCAACTCACCCAGTCGGCCAACCGTGGCGCTGCATGGCGCTTGATCGGCTCGCAGACCGTCTTCTCGCGCGTCAACGAGTCAGCTGCCTACGGCAACACCAACNCCCTCGACTACGATGCCTGGGATGGCTACCAAGCTAACCGCAACCGCACCCTTTCCCACCTCTACAACAACGGCATCGGCAACAACATTGTCATGTCCGGCGACTCTCACGCCTCGTGGGTATCTGATCTCGTCTGGCTCGACCACGAAAACTACAACTCCTCCACAGGCAACAACAGCATCGGTGTCGAATTCGCCGGCTCTGCTGTTTCTTCTCCCTGCCCCTACGGCCAAAACATTTCCCTCGCAGCCGCCAACAATGCTTCCAACTGGCTTGTCCACGCCAACCAAGAATTGCAGTGGAACGACATTTACTACCGCGGATACTTTGAGCTGCACATCAACTACGATGAGGTCACTGCCAATTTCTTCGGCATGCCTACTATTGTCAACCGTAACCCTGATGAAATTTCTCTTGCCAACTTTACGGTCAAGAGCGGACAGAACAAGTTGCAGAGACCTGTTGCTGGTGGTATTGTTGAGAGTGGTGCCCTCAAGTTTGGGCAGGTTAAGCAGACTAATGCTACTAATAATACTGAGACTGGTGTTTGGTTTGTTAGTCAGGCTGGTCAGGAGGATATTTAGATGTGAGGCAGAGAGGTAGAGGAAGAGGATAGCATCAGGATGATAGAAATTATGGAGTCTATAACGAATTAGTTCTAATGTCAAAATCATTACAGGATGATGTATTAGGAATTTCATGTCTGTTGTATTCTCTATTGCACTGCCCCTGGGATCTACATCTCAAAACGCGCCTATACGAGCCATGACTCGCGACACAGCGGGCGCGTAAGGCAACCACATTTATATTGACCGCACAGCCATCTCCCTTTACAAAACCACACCTCTTGATTTCCTTGCTTGGCAGAAAAAACCCAGACCTGCGCGTTGTTGCTATTCGCATCAATTGACTATTGTTTTCTCATTGCCGTCAAAAAACAAGCATAATCGCAATTGTCGAAGAAATGGATACGACCGAGAAAATACCCGTCTCGACGAATGCTTCACCGAGTACGGTGGAGAGGAATCAACATCAATCGGGGATGAATAGGTGAGTTGACAAAAGAAACAAATACATATGGCCTTAGGGAACACAAGTGTATAACTGACACTTATCCAGTCAAACTCCCACCCATCAACCTGTTAATGAACACGGAGATGGCGATGCAGATACAAAAACCAAACCAAAGAACAAGAAACAGGGCAAAGAGTATCGGGTGAGTCTTTCCCAGAATTTGCTCGCATTTGTATAGGGATTACTGACTTGGGGTGCGTAGAAAAGAGGTTTAGGGACAAGAATTGTATTAGCCGGGGTCATGTGTTTGCAAACTGTTTGTTTGTGTTTTGCTGGGTGAGGGTTGAGGGATAGGAGGTTGAGAAGATAAGGGATGATGGGAGGGTAGGTGAGGATGATGGAGAAGAAGATAGACTGAGAAGAGAGGGAAGTTATGGGGATGAGCACACTGAAAGGCACCGCGTCCTCTGGAAATCACACAGAATTTGGAGAAAATTGAACTTACGAGTGATGATAATGTGCTGCAAACCGCAAACCAAGTGAAGGATAATCATACTTTCAAGCAGGCAGGAAACATCCACCACTTCTACCTCGTCGACTACACTTATTTTCCGCTCTCACCAAGATTTGTCCACGATACAAGTACGTCGAATTTCTTTTGAGCTTCTTCCCACTTACATCCCACTCGAAACAAGAAAAACACATCCGGCAACCAAAGCAAAATCCAACATGCCTACCACGACTTCGATCTCAGCCTCTGCTCATGAAGGATCTGGTGCCTCGTCAACTCGTACCCTCGCTAGTCAGCACACAGGAGCAGCTACCGACAAGGATGACCTCCACTCCACTACCAACCAAGGTCGGCCTTCGAGCTTGTCTCTGGGGCGTCTTCGTCTCGAGTCCCAGGCTAGCAAGTCGAACCTACCATAAGACCTTATACTCACGAAGCCAAACCTCAGAGGTTAACTACTGACTATCCACATCAATGGAATACTAGATCTCTTATAACTGCAGGCCGAGACTCGATTTAACAAGTCATGTTCATCGCGACGTGTACGGCGAGCCAGCAATACATCATCCCTCATCATCCCACCCCCTCCTCCCCTGCGCAATCCCACAAAACTCCGGCACTGTAACTCCTTGACTACACTCCATCCGTTTCGTTCTATTGTTCTTAACATCACACATCAAAACCCCCTTTTCCCTATACTCCACGCTGTCCACCACAAACAAGTACATCTTACACAACCAAGAATTACTCATACAAGCCTGCGGATGCCAGGAATCCGTAGCCTGAGAAACCAGATCTCTATCAGGTTTCAGATAACCTTCAAATCTACAAACACGATCTTCGGGNTGCTTTTGGGAGTACCAAGGCTCAACAGCTCTGATAAGTTGATCGGCGTCAATACCAGGAATGGCGTAGAAGGCTATGTAAAATCCTGTTGCTGGCTTTTTGCGAGATGCGCCGTCGGGGAATGTGCCTTCTATTCCTTACATCAGCATCCAAATTTCAAGGGTCAGTGATGGGGTGGAGNNTTTACCTGATTGATGGTCTTCCTCGTTGTCGTCGTCTTCGAGTTCATAATTTTCCTTCGCTTCATACCAATCCGTATTCCCTATCTGCAAATTCACCAGCAAAATCCCCGAGTCCTCTGCTTTCAGAACGAAAGAATCAGGTTTTCCATCTTCATCTGCCATGGTCGCTATCAAAACACCTCTGGATTTCCAGTCTGCATCCGTGACAACGAGGAAATAGTTAGGGTCAAAGTTGTCGTTGACGGTTGTGGTGAGATGGAATGCAATGAGGGCTTTGAGAGAGGTGATGGTGGGGGTGCTAAGAAAATGGACGTAGTCGTCGCGGGGGCAGAGCGAGTTGGCAGTTGTGACTAGGTCTGTGGGTTCGTGTTTAGGGGAGAGGAGGTTGTAGATGGCGAAGGGNGAGAGGGTCATGCGTCTGTTGGCGTATCGTGCCATCTCGGGCACGGTGTCTGGGAGTGAGAGATCAAGGTCAGACATGATGTTGACTGTCAGTAGGTATGTACTTGAAGAAGGGAGTATAGAAAGAGTTGTCAATGTTTGATGGAGTCGTGAATTGACGTCATTGAGAATCCTCCTCAGAGCCTCTACGGACGTAGCATCCTTGAGTCAGTAGATATTAAAAAATGTCATTAGTCATGCTATCGTTTGTATGCAAGTATCCAGTATTCCACAGACCACGAACGATGGCGAGAAACCCAGCGGCTCCACCCTTGATGTGATCCTTATCTATGCAAATTGATCTCCATCTCACCCAGGAGCATCGAAGAACTCCTCCTCACTCGACTCCGAAGACTCAGTGATCGGCAGAGGAACTTGACGCTCGTTGATCGCCTTCTTCTCTTTCTTCGGCTTATATGTCGCATATAAGTCCTCAACAGTAACTCTGCTTCCAGGTCCAGCCATAGCCTCGATATAGCAAAGCTCTTTGCCAGCAACCAAGAAAGCCAGTGTCAGTCGGTGTGTGTGCTTGTCAAAGTAATATGCAGAGGCTTTGATCAATTCCCAGACGTTCGGAGAGTTGGAAGTTGTCCTTTTGAGCCATTCTTGTACGACCCGATCTTCGGTGTGGATGGGCTGCACTGCTGTATATGCTTCGAGGACGCGGTTCGCTTGCATTGTGTACTGGTGATTGCTCATCTTCTCTGCTGAGCTGCCGATGGAGTTTATTGGTGCCAGATCGGCGTTCATGCGTCTGAGAAGATCGACAACAATGGGATCAATGTCAGTCTGTCGGTCCTGATAAGGCTTGATCAAATCCTCATCATAACTTTCTACGTCGTCTAGCTTCTTTTTACAATCTTCGGTGAGCTGCTCAATACGAGGGTTGACGACTTCGAACAGGAGATAGTCGATGATGTGCTTGAGGTTGGGCTTTGGGGGATTGACCGTATTGCCGGGTGTGGGTTTCATCCAAGACTCATAGGCTGGTTTGCACAAGGCCTCTTTGATCCCAAGCTTTCTTCTGACAAAGTCGTTGAAAGCGCACAATGTGAGCGTGTAGCCGTTCTTCGCAGAATCAATGACCAGGACCTTTGGACGGGAAGACCACAACATCAGTCAGATAACTGAGCTCTTCCTTGTAAACAGCTCTGACCTTCTGGATATCGGAGCATCGAAGAGAAGGATGTCTTGCGACCAGCACCTCTCCCTTGAGATGTGACCAGACTTCACCAGACACCTCGCCTCGGAAGGTCTCAGAGAAAGACATGTGGATCTCTCCAGGCTTCAAGCATCCAGTCGGATCAGCCACGCCCAATGCCATGGCAGACTTGCCGAGATGGATCTTGAGCTTGGACCGTACAGAGGAAAGCCATAGCTTGACGACTTGCTGAACGCACTTTGCGAGATACTGATTTGTTAGAGGGTTGAATCCAGATTCAAGCAACAGGATGGACTTTTCTACCCAATCGGAAGGAAAGTTGCCAACTTCTCTAATACTGAGCTTTCGATTCAGCTCTTCCATGCCACTGAACTCAGAATGCAACCAACGACGCAAGCTAACTGGATCATTGAGAGATTCGAAGAAGGCAGAGAAGTCCATATCCAGTTGAGTCTCGATGACTTGTCGCAATGTGTCGCGAGAAACGTGACGATTCTGTAGAATCGGAATGAAGTCCAAGTTCAACGTCGAAGATTTCGGTGGACTAGTGTATTTGACGAGTTCGAATGACCATCTGTCAGGTTCGCAGCTGTTTGTGAAGTCCTCATCTCTCGGCATGACTTTGCGCTGACTTTCTGTCATATGTATCCATCTTCTCATGTGCTTTGGCTCGGTCGTGTCGTATGGTGCGCTGATCGTCCAGACACCTTTGCAGCCATTGATTCGTCCTTGAAAGGCAACAGGACGAACACCCTTGATTCCAAGAATTTCGCACAACTCTTTTGCCGCGCCAACCGAGATCAGCGAGCAGCCATCGTTCATAACAGCTCTGTCGTCGGATGGGCCAGAACGGTAATCAAACCTCATACGACGGTCGTTGAACTCATCACTTTCAAGTGTGCCATCAGCCAAGATGTCCTTAATGTACCTGACCTCTCTGTTGTTGAAGTTGACTGTTGGGATTGTTTGGGAGAGGAACAGGTCCAATCGAGCGTATGCCTTGCAGAATCTCTGGTCACCATTCTTTGCCAGTGGAATGGCCCAATCGAGGATTTCGTAAAGGCTGATCTTCTGCAAACGAGGTCCATCAACAGCAAAGAGCACCAATCGCTGACTTGGCAAGTTGTCTTTGCTGTTCTTCTTCTTGACATCCTGTACATGAAAGACACGCCATACGCGACCAAGGAACTCCTTTTCAGTGTCCATCCACTCTTGATATCTCAGTTTGAGAAGATCTTGCTGGCCCTTGAGGTGGACGCCGTTGAATGTATGTACCTGTGGGATTTCGACGTAGAGAAAGCGGCTGGAACCAAAGCGTCTCTGCAGTCTGCAGGCTCTTTCGCACTTGAGCGGTTGCAACGAAAGAGTCAACAGCTTCTCTGCCGATGCACTCGGGTTGAAGTTGAGATTGGCTTTCAGAATCACGTTTGCAGACTGCGTAGGATCAGTCGTGGCATCCCATACTGGAGCAGGCGTCCGTTGGAACCGAGTGCCAGCAGGTATGTTTTGATATAGCTCGTCTTCGTTCGCGGAGTAAAGAAAAGGCGCGCCAGTAGTGTCCGCAAGTCGATAGCTCTCCCAGAGATGATGGAAAGACGAGTAATTGACATTGATAGCCACGGGCGAACCAAAGAGACCATCAGTTGGCAGCGTGCGAACAAGTCTATGCTCAAGCGCCTTCGACGACAAAGTGGTCTTCTTCAGTGATGGCGCCTTCGCAGCCGCTACATATTCCGCTCGTAACTGGACATTCGCCGATCTTGTATGAGAAGATGCGGATGTGACAGATGGGTGACTATGAGACTGATCATCAGTCGAGTATTGGCGTTCGACCGACGGCTCATTGATGGCTACTCCAGAATTTTTGGGGGGATCACCATCAAAGCTCGTCATGATTCGTTCAATCTGAGAAGGATCGATCTCACCACCATAGTCGGCGCCCGAAGAATCCCAGTCGTCACATGTACCATCAAAAGAAGTAGCAAAAGTGGTAGCAAAACTCTGATTCGCATGTTCGAGATATATTGGATCCGCACTGGTCTGGACTGAGGAGGTGAAACTGGGGTTGGAGGGGCTGATCTTGCATGAGAAGTGATCATCGAAGGAGGGCTGCTGTCGCCGCTGCTGCTGGGGGCGAACATACTTTGAGGAGCTGCAAGAATCTTGATCGGAAAGACGTTTGGTACCTCGAGTAGCAGGCGGATCATCGAAGAGAAAAGAGTGGTTGGCTGGGAGTAGCTTTTGTTTGGGGCTTTGGTTCTCAGTGTCAATGAATTTGACATGACTCGAGTTCGAGTTCTTCTTAATAGTCGGAATGAGTTTCGTCTGTGTCAAAGACAACTTTGGAGCAGGCTTTGTGAACCGAGGGTCTTGTTGAGGCGCGGGTTCATCCAGTCGCAATTCTCCCAGCTGTGGTTTGTGCTTCTCAAGGTAAACAGCGTCTCGAGTGCGAGTGTAGAAAGCTTCGAGGAGGTCTCCAGAGATGCAATCTTCTGCTCTGTCCTTGCGGAATTGGTTGATCACATCGTACATAACAATGCGGTTGCGAAAGAATAGGAAGTTGATGTGATCCACACATCTCTCGGCATAGCCATCAGGTCGTTTGCTGGGTGAAAACGTGCCAATCCGAGGTTTTAATGGCAATTCAAACTCTTGGGTCGTAAATTCGATAATTGTGTTGATCTCCTTGCTTGCTTGTCCTCGGGGAGTGGTCGGCGCAGGTGAGCCGCCGTTGGATCTGCTGAAACCAGGGACCAAGGCAGCCATCGCCGGCAATCAATGCACAAAAAGTATTGGGGAGCTCAACTCATCATCTAAAGGTAGACTCGTATATCCAAGAAGCCAAAAGAATGTCTGACGGCAAGACAATGTCCAAGATGTTGTTAATAGCAAGAAGGGGGGTGTGTGCCTGAGGAACGAGTGGGACAGGACTGTGGTTTCGACGTGACGGTCCGTGCCGCAGTAGGCGCCCAAGTCGGACCGTCCGATCATGATGGTTGGAATCCTGGTCTTGCTGAGAGCAAGACCCTGGTCTCAATATGTCAGGCATCACTTTTATGTGGACAAGACAGGAAGCCTGTATCAGCACAAGAGCTGAATCAATAGTCAAGTGTGATTTTGGTGATGGACTTGGTATAGAAGAGTGTGCTTGAGGTGCGAAGAAGATGGTGAGGGTTTTGGGCTCTTCATGAGTTGAAACGTGCTCTTCATTCACAAGCTGTCTGGAAACACCTCAGGCGTGGATGGGACCGCCAACGTCAAGCACTTGGGACTTAATCCCAAACATAAGTAATTTGTTTGATGGGAGTTCAGAAAGTTATGGGAGATCGCGACTTCTGTTGTGCTGTTAACCGAGGCTCAGAACAGCAGCTACTAACTCGGAAGTCACGACCAGCGCTTCCTAAAATTAACATGAAGACCGTGGCTTCCGGCAGCTCAATCAAGCTCTTCAACGTATGCTGTCGGGTGGATGAACGGAATGAACTACTCGTTTTCTTATAGCAGAACAATGTAGGAGTTGGAATTCCCAAGTGTAGAAGTTGTAAAAGTATATCACCGGAGACTGCTCCTGCTTGTTGCCCGTAACAAGATACTACCTAGAATCAGATGTATAGAGGTGCACGATTATTTGTAACACAAAATGTAGGAAGCACCTTGATGGTCGAATTGAATATCACATGGATGGGAGAAATTGCGAGCATATTGGTGTCAAAAAGGTGAGCGTGCTTTTATTGGGCTCGTGGATATCATAAGAAAGCGCGTAATTGGAAAAAGACAAGAGCCCAGATATGCAACCAGCTTGCCTGCTTTTTGAGAGGCTTAGACCTTCATCTCGGACATACCGTGCTTCCCTGCAAGATATTAGTCTTGGAAAAAGAGAGAAAAAGAAAAAGAACGAAAGAGGGAAGGAGGAGAAGAGGAAGGAGAGAAGAAAAGAAGGGGAAAACGAACAGAAGCAACAGTACGGGGTTGTGCCATCTTCGCGGTAGTTGAGGAGAACGATCATGCCGTCGGGGTCCATGGACTCGCCGGTGAAGAACTCCCAGTCCTTGAAGGAGCTGACAACCTTCTTGGCGAAGGTCTGGGCACCAGCCTCGAACTCCTTAACCTCGTCGTCGGAGGCGCCGTTGGTCTTCATGGTCTCCTTGACCTTCTTCATGTACTGCTTGAGGTGGCCGAGGTAGGACTTCTTGTCGAAGGAGGTCTCGTTGAGGCGGAAAGAGTGGACAACGTCAATGACGGTGGAGGTGGCATCCTCAGCACCCTCGTCACCACCATCCTCAGCGGAGGGGTTGGCACCAATGTCNTGGAGAGAAAGTTGTTAGCCCCTGAGGCAAGGTCGAGAAAGTTGTTGAGGGTTCGAGAAAGGCATACCGATGTTGTCACCACCAACGGTGATACGGGCGCAGTCGGCCTCGTAGATGACACCGTCAGTGACCTTGAGGTCGTAAGAGTCCGAGATCATCTCGTCTCCGGTGATAACATCCTATACGGTCGAGTCAGCTCAGGGCTCAGGAACTCAGGGTGGGCTTGAGCTGTCAAAAGAGCGGCGCTTCTCGAGTTGGAGAGAACGGAGATTCGGGGCGCTCGAGAGGCAGCAGCTCTGTTGGACAGATGAAATGTCGCACCTTGTAGATAAGCATATTGGCGGTGTTTGTGTGGTTGATAGGTTGGTGGGAGAAGGGAAGGAGCTGAACGAGGAAAAGATTGCTGTGTTCTTCGGGGGTGGGGTGCTTTTGTTCGCTCCTTCCCTCGTTGCGGAGACTCAAGAGAAAATTGGCGTCTGGCCGCTCGACGCTTGCTCGATCTGGAAAGCGCCGAGCTTGGACCCCACAGTGCCTGTGCCGCGCGAATTTGGCCGCCAAGACTTGCAGAACGCGCCTGCAAAAACTTCGACTCCCTCTCGTACAGCGCTCCTTCCTGTCGTCCTCTTTACCATCACTCCAGCCGCCAATCCGTGAGGTAAGTCGTCGCAACGGCAGTCGCAGTCATGCGCTGTCACTATAGCAATCGAGTGCCCTTCAGGTAGCCCAGGCTGGCGCATCCTTCTCTTCACCGAGAGCGACACCGCCCAGTCTGACATGGACGAGCTGAAGAACCCTTCTGGTCGCACATCCGCTTGCGCATCCCGAAGGGCACTCTTTGCGCTCATGGCTTCCGAGGGCTAACATGTACCTCGCCACTAGCAGATACCTCCTACCGCCAACAACTCGCCGTTTGAGAATCTCGCCAGACAACCGCAAAAATGGTCAAGACTTCCGTCCTCAACGATGCCCTCAACGCCATCAACAACGCCGAGAAGAGCGGCAAGCGCCAGGTCCTGATCCGTCCTTCTTCCAAGGTCATCGTCAAGTTCCTCTCTGTCATGCAGAAGCACGGTAAGTTTTGTCCAGTCAACATCATGAGCCAGTCCGGGGCAGCAAGAGGAGGAACGTCCATAGCGCAAACACCCACCCGGGTTGATAACTAGGTGAACGGTCTCAATCACCCACGGCCTTTGCCCTTTAAGTATCCGGGAGATCAACCACGAGGAACTTACACGGCTTCGGACTGCTCAATGATGTTTTGCTGTTTATTTTCTCGCAACATGCTGATCTCGTATCTCACAGGCTACATTGGCGAGTTCGAGGAGGTCGACGACCACCGCAACGGCAAGATTGTTGTCCAGCTTAACGGCCGCCTCAACAAGACCGGTGTCATCTCTCCCCGCTACAACGTCCAGCTCCGCGACATGGAGAAGTGGGTTGTCAAGCTCCTTCCCTCGCGTCAGTTCGGTTACATTGTCCTGACCACCTCTGCCGGTATCATGGACCACGAGGAGGCCCGCCGCAAGCACGTTGCCGGCAAGATCATCGGTTTCTTCTACTAGAGTCTGTTTGACCTCTCGACACCAAAAGTTTCAGGCATTCGTCTCGTTCTAGATACAACTTTGAGCATTTTCAATGAAGAGCCAGTGACGCTTGTCTACCATTTTGTTTCTCAACAATGACCTTTCTCTTGATCTTTGTGACTTGTTGTGAACTTGCCAAACCAAACATTCTCCTGTGATAATCATGTTTTGAGACTATCAAAGAGATGCCCACGATCGAGCGATGTAGACTTCCATGTCTTTGACGTGTGAGGGTGTTTTCATATGCAGGCTGCCCGTCAAGACGCACTTTCTTTGTCCAACTTCGTTTGCTGTGCTCTCTTCCACAATCTTCTGACTTCTTCGTGACCATCTTCTCTTTTTGATCACTCCAAGTATAAGGCCTGCCTACAAGACGCTGATCGATCTGTTCCTGCTCATCTACTTTTTCGGCTCTCGCACGGCCGTTTGATTCTCCAGGCACGCCGCTGACGCAGCCTCCAAAACTTCCGCTCAGCAACTTCCACCACCCTTGTGGACAATAACATCGACATCCACCAAACTTTGACTTTCGCGCAGAAGCAACTCATCATGGTTCTCGAAACAGTCTACGTTACCAGACACGGCGTGAGTACTCTTGTCTGCTCCTTCCCACCTCTCACAGTCTGCCGACACGATGTGTCATAGCCTCTCTGACCGCAGTTTCCTTTTTCACCCCAGCACAAAGAAAGAGTTGGGTTTTTGAAGGCAGGAGCTATGAGCTCAAGCTTGGCACACATTTTCCTCCGTTTGTACTCTGTTGTGATGACATGTCTTTGACCTTCTCAATACCTTACCTCACACTCTCTTCCATCTCCCAGCCGCAGAGAAAAATGCTCATCATCCTCATAGTTCCGCTCTAACTGGGTGGTTGACCCTACTACCGGCACATACACAAGCAATCTTCCCACACCAACTGGCATTGCATCAGACCCGGCACTGGCAGCTCATGGCGTGAACCAATCAAAGGAACTGGCCGAGCACATCTCCAAGCTGGATCCTCCCGTCGATGTCATCTACAGCTCTCCCTTCTACCGCTGCTTGCAAACTCTGGCACCCACTGTGAGCAAGCTCAACTCTGACCGCCCTGAAGACAAGAAACTGCAAGTGCACGTCGAGAACGGCGTCGGCGAGTTCTACGGTCTTGCCCGCTTTGACCACCCCTCACCTGCTACTCTCGATGTCCTCNAAAAGCATTTCCCCGGTGGTCTCGTCGAGGCTCATGTTCCTGTGATTCGCCCCAGCGTCAACGGAGAGAGTCTGACTTCCCTTCACGACCGCATTGCCTACGCCCTCTATCACGTCATCCAGCAACTCGACCAGGACCCTGCTGGACCCAAGACGCTACTCATCTGCACACACGCCGCCAGTATGATCTGCATTGGTCGTGCGCTGACTGGCCGTATGCCTGAGGATCCCAGCGAAGAAGACTTCAAGTGCTTTACTTGCTCGCTATCAAAGTTCACCCGCCGCAACATTCCTGAAGCACCCGTTGAGAAGCAACACATCTGGACACTGGACGAGCCCGAGAACATTCCCTTCGTCGACTGGAGAGGTAGGGGTGTCAAGGGTGGCTGGGACTGTGAGGTCAACGGTGACTGTTCCTTCCTGGAGAAGGGCGAAGAACGTGGCTGGTATGATATCTTTCTTTTGTTGTCCTTTTTCTCTCTTGTGCGACATCAGACCNCTTCCTATCCTCTTCCGTTTCCTTACACTTCCTTGCACCCCTTTCTATACTCCACAAGGTTCGAAAGAGGATACTATCCCAGACTAGGAACTGGTGGCTTGAGCCTGGTCTTGACTACTTGGCACCAAAGGTCACTGTTGCAACTCACGGTGCCGGCGGTGTCGACATTGTCTAGAGCTATAAGCCCACACACTTTGGCCAGCTTTCTCCAACAAGACCCATCATCTCGTTTTGTTTTTGGCATGCATCGAGCATTAAGTCCACCCCTTCTTCCCTTTTCGCGTACTACCTCATGAAAGTTACAACCCTCACGACAAACTCGCAAAAAGATCGGCAAGATTGCAAAGCTCAACAAAAAGACACCCAAGCTTACGATTTCTCTTTTCTTCCGGTACAACAGGGCTTTTTCCACGGACGAATCTTTCTTACGAGACCCTAACGCATACAACGATAAGATCAACGAAGGCGCCAAAGAAGGAGAGGGTATCCTGAAGCCAGGTTTCAGGCTATGAAGGAAAAAGTAACACGGTTACAAGGTTCTCGGCTTCCATAGACGGTCTTCTCATGCATCGGTCATGAAAAGAGGTTTGTTTTGGATTGCAATGGGTTTGCATGTCGCGCTGCCGTCTGCGGTAGGCGATTTGGTTGGGTGGGCGGTTATCGTATTCGCTTTCTAATACATCTTTTTCTCTCTCCCCATCCCTCCCTTAGCACCTCCTCTTTCATTATCATCGTCATCATCACGAAAGATTGTTCGTCTTGTTTCCCCTTTGGACTACTCACCATGTTCAGCAAACAGCATGTGCTCATTCGTCTCACAATTTCCTCACCAACACCTCAAGCTACTTGAACACCGTCTTTGACGGGTCCTATCTCCATCAGCAACGCTTTACCTCAACTCTCGTTCTCTCCAACTACTTCCAACATTTTTTCTTCGGTCCTAAGCACGACAAATTTTCTCAGATCTCGTTTCATCACCCAAACCGGCATCCGCGTCCTCTTGATTTGTGCCTGTGCCACTGGAAAGGCAATCAAGAAAACCGACATCAACAGGCACACTTTCTGTGACTGCCGACCGACTTCTTGCCCTGCTTCAACCAACCCTTGCGGCAATGTCTGTCTTTGCTTTCGTCCACCCCGCTTTTGACTCTGGCTTGGCTGGGGGTTTCCGCTACACTATCGACTCTTTATGCCTGTCACAAGCGCTTTTGTCCAGCTGCACGTTCTTGGCGCTCAAGCTCATCTAACTTCGATGACTATACATCACTCCGTGGTTGCATGCGTTAGACCTCATAAAGCTACGTGTAATGGCTATTCGTCAGTCTCCTGCGCGCTGTGCCCGCCCCTTTCGCCACCTCTTCGACAGCAATCGTCCTCTTGCTTTGCCATCCACCAATGTCAACTCGCTCTCCAGCCTTCGCTCTCTGTTGCCTTCTTGCGACTTGTCCCATGCTTGGGGTGCCAGGAAGCGCTGTCGCGAGGGCTCTCATTCCTTTCTCGCAGCCGCCTTTGCAATCACGGTGAGCATGCGTTCGTGGTGGCCTGCCCCAACGCGGAGTCCATCCTCCATGCGCGACCTCAACCAGACCGTCTCGCTCAGCCTGTCGATGACTACTTGCTGGCTGTTCAGCTCCGCCTGACTGGGTTTCAGACCCAAGTCGACCATGAGACTACTGTCGCTTGTTGCGAGCGTCGTCAGCGCATGCGCCCTCAATGTCCCACTGACGTTGTCATGTCCAGCGTCAAAGTTGGGCCTGCCAGTGGCCGTCCGCCATTCCCGGGACTCTGCTAGCCATCAGCTCCGTCGTTCTTCGAGGGCTCCTGTCAAGCACCTCACTAGTTCTGAAGCCACATGACGTTGTGTAGAAAGCATCGGCAGTCAAACCAAAAACCTAATTTCGGCTTGCGTCCGTGGTATCGTTGATTTCTTGCTCAAAAACAGATCAGCCTTGCCACTCAATCATACATATTCATGTGACCACAAGATTGAGCTCAAAGATGGACACCCGTTCGGTCTCTTGTGTTCCATACCCGAGAATGTCCTTTGGCCCTTGGAATGTATCGGCAAATGCTTCTATTGAGCCTTTTCCCTCCCGGGTGACGTGCTTTCCGCGATCAACTGCAGCGTTTCTGCACTCGACACCACCCACTGTCTCCTCAGATATGCATACAGTCGACGCACTTGAGCCAAACAATCTTCTCCCATCGTTATATATATCATGCTGGACACGTATCATGCTTCTCTTATCGTGTTGAATTACTCCAGGACTTGGTCAATAAGAGCCTCAACGTCACGAAGACTTCATGCAATCGAAGTCCGCTGGATCGAAGAGCTTCTGCACCGCTTTATACAACAAGTTCAACGTTGGCAGGCCTGGTACAAGCTCCTGATCAGCACCCACAACCTACCGTGATCCTGGTAGGTCGCAAGCGAGCAGATTTCCGGATAGGTACAGACCGAGTTGATCCACTTGTGTGTCTCGTGAACAACGACTTGACTGTCGCCGTGTCTTATGTCAAACTATATACAGCCACAGGTCGCCTTGAAGCAAAGGATGCGACAAACCCACGCATTCTTCCATCCCAGTTGACCTACAGCTGCGTCGATCTGATTTGATCTGATGCCTCCGGTTGTAGGCATTTCTCCCTAGTTGAGTTTTCTTGCGGCTGCTCTACACCGGTTCAAGACATGTTCAACCCTTAGCAACCTGAGCAAACTTTCTCGTCTTCACAGAACAGATGTGTGCCACAGATATGGAATCTCTGGACAGACTCGCGCCGGCTGCACAACCAGTCCCAAAGCCACGTTGTTTGACAATGAGCGAGGTGTCATTGACCATTCCAGAACGACCCATCCAATGTTCAAGACTGTAGCCGATCAACTCGCGGCTTGCACGCTCACCGTCTGGTGCCCACTCCAGCTCATTCTTGTGGAGTTCCAGCTTTGTCATGCACAACCTCGAGCCTGAGAATGCTATCATCGACGCATGCTGTGTCCATGAGCTCAGTGAAGAGAGCTTGGAGTTCCTCTAGCGTCGCATCATATATAGGTAACTATGCATGAAACGCTGCAAAGCCGACAGTCGAGAACAGTCGTCCTTGGGCTGTGTTTCGCAGCCTCGCGAGTACCAGCCCTTGGAGGCCAAGAAGATTCAGTCCCAGAGCTTCTTCAACAGTATGGGTCTAACCCATGGCGACTATTCAGTGGTCTTCGAGGACAAGTTCAACCAAGAACTTGGCTCGGAAAGTCTCGCACCATCGCGTCAGTCCTCTTCCACATTGAAGAGAACTTTCCCTAGACCCCTGAACAACATAAGTCACAGTTCTAAGAGCTGGGTCCGGCTCGTTACCAAGGTCTGCTCTAGCTTCTTGCTCCTGAGTATTGTCTGTGCTTCTATATGTTGAGGACTACTGGGAACATCCCCACTGGGCTCTGACCTGACTCGCGGCAGATTGAAGCCTATCCGTGTTGCTGGATTCGACATCCTGACTTGGAGAGACCACCTTGTTCACCACGAGATGGCGAATCACTAACCTCTTACCGGAGCGCAATGCACAACGTCGTCGGACTGGTTGTCCTCTATGTCCTTCTTGCCGTCGCCTGGGTTGTTTTTTCTCACCTTCTGAGTGTCGAGTTAGACGATAGTGACACCCTGTCATGCACCGAACATCCCCCTCGCACCTGGACCGGATCTGGCTTTTACAGCTACAGCAGCCTGTCAAGAGATACAACCTGGACGGAGACGATGGAGTAGAAGACAAAACAGCTGATCTGGACTTGGCAACATGTCTTCATCCACAAGCCTATAGGTTTTCACCAAAGTAATCATGCCAGTGCTCATGTCGCCCCTCCTAGCAGGTCGCCCGCTACACCTTCCTGTGCGTTACTCCTTCAACAGGTGTGCCTAGCACCAGGGATCTCGAGGAACCCCTGCCTCAACAGCGAGCATGACAACACACGTGTCTTCCAGCACAGATCAACCTTCATTATAGTTGGCGATCGCTTCTACTGCTACTATGGTTACCGTACAATACCCATCTACAGATGTACCATCTAGGACTGGTCCAGGATGCTGCTCTGCAGTATCGCAATGACCGAATCCTTCGTCGCCGTGACGCTAGCATTCCCGTTCTCGCACCTCGTGCATATGATCCAGAACAATTGGATTTGATGGTTGCAAGAGAGTGACACAGCGATAAGTCCCTTGCTGTATCCAAATATAACCTACTTCACCCTGGCAGTTTTGGGTGTCAGAGGAATTCCCTTGGTCTAAGCGCAAGGACGCTGCCGCATACCGGGCGTGTTTGAACTAGGTCAAACGAGGCCGTACATGGAGCTACAGAAAGTCGAGCAAGTCCAGCTCAATACCATTCGTTCTGTGTCGGCCACCATGGATATCAACCAAGTCACCGACCTGGAAACTCCCTCAGACTTTCCTCTGAGTGAAGCTCGTGCGTTGTTTTCACGAGCTGTGATCTTCACTCTTCCCTGTATATATAAACCCCTCCAGATGCTACAGTGTTCACACAAGTATCCTGGAGACATGCAAGGGGAAAGAGAAAGAGCCATTCTCCTTCCAAGGCCTGTCTATTCTCGCCGTTCTGTTCATAGGTGTATATATCGTCAGATCAAGGATGATCTGCAACTAGCGGGAGATGTTCTTCCCTTCACTGTCGGCACTCCAAACGTTTCCACAAGAGCTCTGAGCGCACGATATGATTTCTGACCCAAGACGAAGAAGTGGTTCTACGCCATTATGAAAAAGACGACTCAGAGCCTGAAGAAACCCGAAGAAAGTATCATAGAGAACGCAGACAAGTCGCTAGAACCGAGTGGTGCTGCCGATATGTCATCTGTATCTGCGACCATGCAAGTCAGGAACAGAACCTTGTTCTGGCCGTACCCTCGGGCAGGGGCTCCAATGGTTCAAAGATAATCATCCCTACCACTCACCCTGATCTCATGTATGTTTGTTCTTAGAAGGCTCACCTGACTCGACTCTCCAAGCCTCTCTAGTGAAAGCAGCATGACTGACTGCCCTGCACTGGACAACAACTTTTATATCGGTCAAACGAACTTAATCTGATAGAGTCTGCGCGCAACCAACACCGAAGATGACTACAACCAACGCCCACAGCTGGAAGAAAGCATGCATACTACACGTTCTGCACAAGATTTGATCCCATGACTAGGAGGTCGATGCTAGGCGCGACGGAGTAGTTTAGAGATTAATGTAAAAACTAAGTACCTTCTAGTCTAGAGAGGAGCAGAGACAGGATTCTAGAAGTGATAAAGCATAGAGACATGAGCTTAGAAGACTTAGGCCCTTCTAGAATACGGCAACATCATAGCCAACGTGTATAGTCTTGATTTAGACAACGGCCCTCCGACTATCAGCACGGCCCAAACCGCGTCTTTCTTGACTCTAGAAATCCTGCCTCTTCCGAGCAATCCAGACATGTCTCAGGCCCAACACAAAGACTATCCGTAATAATCGTTACTTGAAAAGAGGTGGACTTAGAACACACTTGACAGCTGCGACACACATTCACAAAGCAAAGTATAAACTTTTGAAGACTGAGCTTACAATTCAATAATTCTATATACAGATACGAAACCTCAGCTTCTAGCGACGTGTAAGGCTCAAGCCTATGCGACATCCGATAGGGTGATGGAGAAGCCTGGTCTGATCATGATAGTGGCTCCATCGATCTCTGGTGCAGACTGATTGGTATAGATTGTGTCTGTGTCTCGAGACTTCAATTTCTTGGGCTCCGGGCCACCATGTTCGTCACAGCAGTCAAAGTATAGAACGCATTGGTGGTTGAGGAAATACCAACCGGCCGAGATCCAGTTTAAGGTGGAGACAGGTGTGGAGATGCAGGTATCATCATCGGGAGTGACGTGGCAAAACGTATCTGGGATGCAAGTGGTACCATCATTGCAACGCTCGTTGACCTGGCGCGCCGGGTTGGCTACACACATCTCCATGGTTTGGATGGCTAGGACAGTGCTAGTAGCGGCTACTGTTGCAACTGAGGTGACAGTAGTAGTGGTCGCGGCTGGGCTGGTGACTACAATACTGCAGGCGCTCGAGNNAGAACGGATGATTGATACTTGGACAATCCAGCTGGGGTAGTTTGAGCGGCTCTCTTTCGATAAGGAAGGTTGGTGGTTGTTGTGATAGTGGTTGTCGAGGAAATAGTAGCAACGGAAGTAGTAGTAGTCATAGCANGTAACAGTGATGACGGGAGCACTGTATCCAAGCAATGTACTGCAGAAGGGCTGTAGGGAAGACCACTTGATGTCGGCAACAGCTTGGTATGCAGCACCCTGGGAATCACCGACAGTAGGGCTGATGCCGCCGTTGGTTTTGGCGAAACCGTAGCTGTAGTTGATGACATATTGGTCCTGTCCTCTCCATTGTCCTGCATTTGTCGCGTAATCCGGTGTCCAGGGCTCGGTGTATAGAGCGCAGTACTGTCCTTGGGGAATCATGTCCTGCTTAGGAATGTTCTGGCTAGGAACTGCGGCCTGGTTCTTGTACAACATGTAGGTGTTGAAGAAGTTGCAGACCTTGTATGGAGTACCATCCTTGGGGGCAGTTGCCTTGTTGTAAGCAGTCTGAGCATCGCAATAAGCCGCGCAAAGGCTGGTGTTCCAGGCGCTCTGAGTGAAGATCTTAGAACCCATGAACNNTAAATACAAATTAGCACCATGGAAACACGTAACAACTGGCTGTCTTACAGTGTTGTAACCTTGATAATCATAAGGTGCGTTGATGGCTTTCTGGCCATAAGGAGCGGCACTGTTGAAACCAGCGGGAGTGGCAATCTGGTTGCTAACATAACCGTTGGAGCCAGCGATGCTCACGTTGAAGCCACCACGCATCTGTCCAAAGTTGTTGGCNGTTGGTCTCGCTAAGCGGGCCCCCCAATAGGCGCACTTGATCATGACAACTGATTGAGGATTGATGCAAGAAGGAGAATCGGGGTTTTCNTGCCCGGACCAGTCAGCTGTCTGAGCGAAAACACGATCGATGGAGGCCTTACGGGAAGGGTCGCGTTCATAGTACATGTTGAACGACACGCAGCCAATTTTAGCACTGCAGCGATCCGCGCAAGTCTGAACGTCGTATGTCTGGAAGGTATCAAACCCCATGTAGNNATGTAGCTGAAGATCTTTAGTAGAATTCCGATTGGAGGTCTTCCCACCAGGGTTTCCTTACGCATTGTTTGAGGCTTGCTTGTTCTTGAAAGTCAAATCGTAGCCACTTGGTGTTGGAGCGCTGTTCGCGGCTGACGAGAACCTGCCGTCCTGGAGGAAAGCATCAGGAGTATCCGGGGANGGTGGGCGAGACAGCTCCAGTGGGCTGAACTGCGCAAGAAACACTAGTAGCGGCAGCTCTTTTGGAGACGACTGCAGTCGAAGACAGCACATCGTCCGCGGCGACGCTGACGGAGGAGATTGCCGCAGTGGCCTCTGCTCCAGCAGCAGCGAGATCNNAAGGGTGACGGTCTGAGCAGTAACGCCAACAGCCTCGGAATAGGATGTCGGATCAGGTGCGGCAATGACCATATCAAGGTCAATATCTTGAGGAGCAGGCAAAGCAGCAACCAAGTTGGCCGCCAAAACGGGAAGAGCATAGGATGAGAAACGCATCTTGATAGAGACGTGGAATATGATTGATAGATGAGGTTGATTCTGACCTGAGTTGGGTGGAGGCCTCCCCTTCTCATATATCACAACCTTCCATGCCATAGCCTCACCAAGAAGATGGTCTTAATTTTGCCGAATACTACAATATGTTCTAGCGAGCGCCACGAGGCGTCCATACTGTCTGTGGCAGACGAGACATCAGCTGAAGATTCAAAGGGGCTTGATAGTTTGGTAGATGCTGAGTGGAAATACAGGAGAGACATACTTGACAGGGAAAGTGGCTGGAAGAATTGGGAGAGAAGAGTCCATACCGCTTCTTCTCCTTTGCACGCGCGCGGGGAAAGGCGCGATCCCATCGCGAACGGAAACGGCACCCAAATCGGTTAGTCATAAAAGCTTACCACCCTTTAGTAAAAATCCTCGGCCAAAAACGCTGTTGCGTTCCTGTTCCTGCAGAATACTCGAGTGACTGTTACCAAGTAGACATAACAACATCGTCATGCCACCTGAATATGTTAGGCGTCTGCTTCGAACATGGATATCGAGTACCACACAACGACATTGTTGCATGGACTCACTCCGCAACGCAAACGTCCTTCACCCGGTGCAACAACGAGTCATGGCACCGTTTCTGCCGTGTCCGTGGCTGAGACATTGGGCTGAGGCTGAACTTCAGCTGCTCCTTCTATCTCCTTTGCAAATACCAACTACCCGATGCTTCAGAGGTAATCAGGATTGTAAGAAGGTTCGGGGTGTCCGGTTATGCTAGTGCATTCTCAAAAAGGCAGCCCGCAGTGTTCAAGAATGGTGGACGGGTTGCGATCGCTCTAGTTTTGGACTGCCTTCGTCTCATTTTCGGGAAAAGATCTTCTCAATTGCGGTGAGAGGTCTTGAATTGTCTTTCTCTGTGCCGGCTAATCAGCCCTACGAGATTTGTTCGAGATTCTGAGGGATCTCAACTGGACTCTCTCTGTGATTTGAGATGCTCCAGTCTTGCAACTTGAGCTGTATATCCAGGCTCTCATGACCGTGTACAACGCCGCTGAAGGAGCCCGAGAGACGGCTCGATTGATTGCTTCCACATTGAAAGCATCAAGTACATACAACAAAGTACCTTCTCAGCCGCATATCTAGCTCAGAATATTCGAGTCTTTGTTGATACAGCTGAAGTAGAACCCATCGAGCTTTGATTAGCCGAGCTGCGATTCTTCTCCCAGGCTAAAGTTAAGACACTATTTCTCCTCCAATCACTCCAGCTCACAGCATCAAGTATGTGCTCCTGGTAATGGATGCAGGCTAGAAACGAGAAGCCGATCACCAACATCGCTGAAGTCCCGATCACCCTCGTCGTCAACGCTCAATCGAGTAGACCACCGAGCACTTCAATGTCGAATTGCAAGATCTTCGTAGACGCTACCTTCCCCGACTCTCTCCTGCAACCAGAGCTTACATCGATCCCAACTATGACCCAACACGAGGGATATCAAGGATATTTGTGAACACATTTGAGACTGACTACCCAGAGGAAAAGAGAAATTGATTGAGAAACGGCTGCAGACCGTCCAAAGCAAATCGCTCAACTCATCTATGCCTGAGACTTGCTAGAAAGCATCAATTGGATATCCAAGTGCTTGAAAGGCGAAAGGTTTGCAGCATGCTGTGCGCCTACAACCTGACCAAGTACAGCAAGGAGAATATTCTCGCAACATAACAAGCGCTCAGACATGAAAAGGGACCGTCCAAACACAATCTCAGAAAGTAGACCAAGCTTTTCGAGCTGCTGTGTAAGTAGTCTTGGGGAGCGAGTGTGTTCTCTAAGGCAAAACACAACTCTGACGACCGATGGCTACTCCAGAGCCGAGCAGACCGGCAACGAGACAGGTTATCAGTGAGATAACTTCCGATTTTCAAAACGTCACTATTCTGAAGGGCTGAGGTATGGCAAAGACTGGTTTGAAAATCACCATTGCCTCTTTCAGTCCACATCTGGAACAACCTTCTTAACCCATGGTTCGTTCTCTCGAAAACACAGAACAGGGGTGACCTCTTGACATCTCAACGGCGAGACCCATAACGGAAGAGTCGCACGGGTTAACGGACTCTTCAACGGTAAGATCAGTAGCTCAAAGACTGTCGATTCGGTGGCAGAGATACACAGCTCAGCATATTTTAGGCACAACAAGAGAGGTCCCACTATATAATCTGCTGTCAGCATCAACATACTCGAGACAAATTAGAGAGGAATCGTCAGCTTCACAAGAAACAACGGCATGAGCGGGATCCGCTTCTTTTACGACCACGTTCGACTTTCTACTTCTCTGAGGCTTCTCGTAGCCAAAGACAAATTTATTTGGTCAAAATTCATCACAGTGGTAATATACCGCTACATACCGAATGCCACTACTATCTGATCAAAAAGCGAGTTGCTGTAAACATTACCTTATAGCTAAGCGTTTGCGCCGCGGGCAATCAAAGCTTGCGCTATTTTATGGTGGCCCCCAGCTAGAGCTGATTGAAGAGCGTCACCATGGAATCCGCCCTGTGCATTAACATCGGCGCCTCTGTCAAGAAGCATCTGTACAACCATCCCGCGGCCCTGCGACGAAGCAGCTTGTAGTGCATTGCCATAAAGTCCGCCCTGGGCATTGACTTCTGCAACCCTATCGAGCAATATCTGCACGATCTTCTCGAAACCTTGCGATGACGCTGCCTGCAGTGCGCTGCCGCTGAAAGCTCTCTGCGTGTTGTCGTCCAAGTTTGGGCTTGATTCCGCCAAAAGGCTCCGCTGACTCAACAATATCTGAGCTGTCTTCTCTCGGCCCCAAAAATCAGTGACTTCGAGAGCAAGGTCAGGATCCTGGCTTTGCATATTGACATCTGCGGCCGCTCTAAGCAGGATCTGAACAACCGCGATGTGGTTTCTAGCTGAAGCTGCTTGCAGCGCACTGCCGTAGAATCCGGTTTGGATGTTGACTTCTGCGCCATGGTCGAGTAGCGTTTGTACTAATTCGTTGTTGCCTTCATAGGCAGCTGCCTGTAATGCGCTGCCGTAAAAACCATCTTGCATGTTTACATCTGCACCCTTCTCTAGTAACATGCCAACAATCTTGGTTTGACCTTCACATGCAGCCGCTTGTAGCGCGCTGCCATATGGTCCGCCTAGAGCATCGACATCTGCGCCTTCGTCAAGTAGTACCTGCACAATCTTCTCATGCCCTTCAAAACAAGCGGCCTTTAGTGCGTTGCCATAGAGCCCGCCCTGTGTATTGACGTCTGCATCCTTGTGAAGTAGCAACTGCACCGTCCTGTAAAGGCCCGTAGCTGACGCTGCCTGTAAGGCACTGCCGTACTCTCCGCCTTGCGCGTTTACGTCTGCGCCCTTGTCGATGAGCATCTGGACTATGCTATGGTTCTCAGCCAAAGTTCCTAGCTTTGCACTGTCATAGAGCTGGTTTCTTGCGTTATCTTGTACACTATTGTTAAGTGATGACCACGCTGATCTCTTTTGGCTTTCCACAAAAGTTTGCGTGAGCATATTTCTGTACCCGTAGCCTTGTACATCCCGTTCTGTGCTGCCCCACACCAGCTGGGTTGTGGTTCCATCGTGACGTCCAAGTGAAGCTGCCTGTAGTGCGTTACCGAGGTATCCGCCTTGCGCATTGACTTCTACGCCATTGTCGAGAAGTAGCCGCACAATCCTGCTATAGCCTCCAGCCGATGCTGCTTGCAGTGCGTCGCCGTACTCTCCGCCCTGCGCGTTAACATTCGCACCAGCATCATACAGCATCTGTACGATGTTATAGTGGCCTTCAAGTGCAGCTGCGTGTATCGCCGCGCCGTGGAGAGAGCTCTGCGCTTCTACATCTGCACCTTCTTCGAGCAGTATCTGTACTATTCTCTCGTGGCCTTCCGATGAAGCTGCTTGCAAGGCGGTGCCGTAATGATCGATTTGCGCATCAATGTGCGCACCCTCGTCGAGCAGAAGTTCCACGACGTTTGCGTGACCTCGGTAACAAGCTACCTGTAGCACATCACAGTGGCGTGTGGCGTGAGTATCATCATCTTCTTCCAGAGTAATTTCATGCGAGTTTGCAGCGGTGTCCGTCATATTAGTAGAACCAAGTTCTGGAGGCATGTCGTTCGAGAGTGAGAGTGAGAGTGAGAGTCCGAAATTGATGCACGAAATCCTTAGAAGCTGTGAAAAGGTTGACGTGGCTTAGGGCCCACACATATTCTCGTATGCAAAATTCGTGGCAATTTGCCACCCCCGGTCTCGAACATATTGCTCTTAACTGCTAGTTTAATGACTATTAGCTAGATTCGTATATAACCATAGTACTATTACCTATTATACGCATTAATATAGATTAATCTAGTACTACTAATACTTTACTAAAGGTAGTAGCCTCTTAAACTAGCGTACGTACGCGCCTATAGAGCCGAAATTACAAATCTAGCCTCTTAGAGCCACTACCCTTACTAGCTTAATAACCTACCTATATAGGCTTAAAACGACGTATATACTTTAAGAAAAAAGAAAGACATTAGAAAAGGGCCTATTATAAGTATACTAAGATCTATACGTAGTAAGGCTTCTATTTAGCTTATTAACTAATAAATACCTTATAAATCTATACTTAACTAGATAACGACAAAACGTAATACCCTTACCTAATAGCTATAACTACTTTTAAAAAGGTACTCCCTTTAAAAAGCTACTTTCTAATGCTATAGATACGTTAGGAAATAAACGGGAATTAAAAACTTTGAAAAGACTAAGATATAGGCCCTAGCGCCCTAAACGTAACCCGTAAAGCTATATAATAACCTAGCTATATCTATCTATTACTTAACTACCTTTATAAATAAGGTTACTAAACCTTCTAAGGTTATTTAGAAGGGTAAGGAAATCCTCTATATAAAGAAAGTATTATTAAATTTAACCGTAATTACTACTAGTACTACCGCTATAATACTACCTACCTAATACTATTTAAGTTATAATATAATAGTTATTAGGGCTACTAAAATATTTCTAATAGTAATACTAACCTTACTAATACTAAGAAGATATATATTATAGCTAACTATTCTAGAAAGAAGAACTAGTTATAGGGTTAGACTTATAAATGTTACAATTTAATACTATAACTATACTTCGACCCTATTCTAGGCCGTCCGGCCGTTATGTAATAGCCGCTAAGGCTAGCTAGGAGCCTTCCTAGCTAGCTTCCTACTATCTCTTTATCTTCTTATCTACGTCTTATTATATAGCTTAGACCCGTATCTACGTCTTATTATACAGCTTAGACCCGTATCTACGTCTTATTATATAGCTTAGACTCGTATCTACGTCTTATTATATAGCTTAGACCCGTATCTACGTCTTACCTATTATTCTCGACTTTACCCCTTAATAATAAAAAGGAGCGTTAAGTATAGTAAAGTAGGTATAAGTAGTAGTATATACTAAAGGGACTATTAGAATAACTAATTAAGTTAAACGTAGAACCTCCTAATAAGTTTCTACCTATCTATATACTTACTAGCTAATAAGTGTATATGCATGTTGCTCTATATGCTCTATTACTTTACTTACTCTAATAGAATTAGAGAAAGTAAGAGATTAGAGGGAGTAGAGTACATTAGGTAGCCGCCTACTATAGAGTGCTCTATAGAGAGGACCTATCTTAGCGGAATCCTTAGAGTAGGATTTCTAATATAGTAATGATCGGCAGTGTATAAGCTAGAAGCTAGTACGCTTAACATTAGATCGTAATACACTAGATCGGTCGATTATACCTTATTTTAGAGATTAGAAAATCGCTAAGTATTATCCTTAGAGAATTAGAGCTCTAATAACTTTAATAGGCTCTTAAGGTATACGCCTAACTAGAGTAGTTACTCTATATAGAGTTAAGAATAGTAATAAGTAGTAGAAAAAGGCTATAGACCTTATTTACTTTAACGCTTCTACCGGCTTAAGAGATTTATCTATTATAATTAAGTCTATCTAGATAACTAATAGTAAGGAGCTAGCGCTAGAGCCTTTTTCTACGTATAAGGTATCTATAATAATAAGCTCTACTTAAGCTCCTTACCTTACTACTTAAACTTAGCGCTTAGTTAAATAGACCGCTAATTATATAGATAAATAAATAGTGTTTTAGGACAGTATTATAAACTTCTATTAATGTCCTATACTAGCGCGATATAAGATTAAAGTATATAGAGGTCTTACCTATTTTATCTACTATGGACGCTATTATAAGGTATTCTTATCTATATTAGTAAGGTAGTAAGATGCTATAAGAGCTAGCTAGGGTACCCTTAAGATACCCTTACGTAAGATACGTAAGCTAATCTAGCGTTAGTACTAGGTAATAAGGTAGAGCTTAAAAACGCCGGAGGCCTTAGAAATAAAAGGTCTATTTTATAGGGTTTAGATATAGTAAGTATAGCGGTAGGTATAGTAAATATACGCTAAACTACCGACCTAGCTTAGTAATCTAGATAATGTTAGGCCCTAGCGTTTATACGTAAATTCTATATATACTTAATTAGGGTAGTAGGTTAAGTAATTATCTATAATTATAATCGACCTTCTACCTAGAAATAGCTTATATTATATTAGCACTACTATCTCTAGCTAGTATTTATATATAGCTTAGGTAACCGCGCCTTTAATAATAAGAGTAGAGCTATATAGATACCTATAGACATCTAGAGCTAGTAATACTAAGTAGTAAACTTTATTAACTAGGTCTAACCTTATATAGGCCGGTAGACCTATCTAACTCTAAGAGCGGCGGTAAAACATTATTTCCCTACTATATATAGATTTATAAAGATAGATTAGCATATCTATAGAGTTAAGACTAGCCGTAAGGCCTTAAGACATTAGATTAGCTAATTCCTTAGGATAAACTCCCTATTATATAATAGACTAGCGACTTATAATATATATTTTAACCTTATTTAATAGCTTTTCTTTAGCTAGTAGGTAACTAATAGTTAACTAGTTAATAGCTATATTAAACTCGCACTATAACTTAAATACTAATTCCTTCTACTAAAGGTTATTTCTTACGGAGAGTAGTTCTATAAGGTATTTATATATAACTAGTCTTATCGTCTTTAGAGCGCTACGCTTCTTTAGCGCTAAGAAAGGCTTTATAACCTAGCTAAAGTGCTATATATTCTTATATATGCGATATACCGTTCTATAAGCTATATAGAAAATAACTTTATAGATAGTATTAACGTTATAGTTATTATAAAATATAGCCTTAGTAAGGTCCTTGTTATGCTTATTAAGCGGCATTTTATTACTTTAATTAAGAGCTATCTTACGCGTTAGATAGAGTTCTAATATTACTTAAAGACTAGTAACATTAAAAGGATAGTTACCTTAAGCTATACTAATAATAACTAGAGTAGTATAAGGTATATATAGTAATAAATTTAATGTATAATGTGTAAATAGCGGGAAATTAGAGGATTAGAAAAATAAGAGTAGAACTAGGGGTGGCAAATTGCTACAAATTCTGCATATAAGAATATGTACTAGTATAGGGAAGATCCGCCCGTTTACCTATAGTAATACCTCTTGATAACGATTACCCGTTATAATAATTGCGCTAGTACGGACCCTAAGAAGGCCCGTAGACCTGCGATATAACGGACTTTATACTATATAGCCATTTTAAAGTAGCCTAGATACTTAGAAGCACTCTAGTCATACTTAAAGTAATCTAGAGTAAACTTAAAACACATAACTACTATAATTTTAAGAAGTCTATCAGCACTGTCTCAAGCTCTTGACTGCGGTCGCAAGGCCGTTTGCCCACCGTCTAAATTCGGTACAGAGAGATCTTCCTGACTCCATCTCGCTTGCCGGCAGAGACGATTCTGGCTGTCCAATGCTTGTCTCCCTTTCGACCGTCACTGAAGACAGTGCCGAGATGGCCAAGGATCAAGATGTTATCTTGCCCTTTATCACTAGTATAGACTCTGTGAGTCATGAAGCTGCGGACTTTGATGGTGTCCTAAGTCTTCATGGAAAACTTCCATCGTTGAGCAGTCTCCCAGCATGGATGCGAAAGTCTCCAGATCAGGACAGGTATTCAGCGAAGCCATTCAACACGACTGCGAACCCAGTCAGAGCCCAACGGAAGCCGTTCCATTGCTTCCATCTCTGGACCAATTGCTTCATGGTCCACTGACTAGCCCACACCTTGGATTTCTCAGAAGCACTGTGTCGATGAGCTGAAATGATACCGTTCCAAGCAGGTATATTGTATCCTTCGCCAGCCAACAGCGACTGCACTTTTCACTTGCAGGCACCATTGACGTTGAACTCTATATAACCAAGAGTGATGGGCATGTTGCTGAAGACAAGCGATGCAGACATGGCGTATAAACCAACCTTTACCGCATCATCGTGAGACAAGTAGGCCGGGTAGAGGTTTGCTGCTGCGCCAGGAATCACGGTAGGAATGAACTAAGTTGGGCCCAGCTGACAGCCCTGAAGCCATGCTTTGGCGATGGTTTTGTCGTTGGGCGCATGGTCAAGAATGGGCTTGACAGCGATGACACTTTGGCAGAAGGTCATGCCTAAGGATGAATCATATCAATAGAAGGTCTTCGTCGAGAGAATTTTCATGCTTACCCCAGTAGATTGCAGGCAAAGAGACCGCGAAGTATCGAATGATAGGAGTGTAAGGGACGAGGGAATTCATTGCGTGCTTAGTTTCGAAGACAGCCGATTTGCGAAGTTGATTGAGGTGTCTGGAATTATCAAGATGTCTGAACTGATGGGTTTGCATTCCTGATGCTCCCGTGAGCGAAGTGTTTATTACGGAAGTTCTGGAGGACATGTTTCACATGCTGGACTCTCATCTGCTCTGATCCGCCGGCTTCATCGATTCTCCGAACTATGGTGGATGCCGATGGAGAGTGTAGCTTGTTGGATTGTATCCATCCGTCTCATCTCGTGTTAAACTGACCGGTTACATGCAGCCGCGTCGGAGGACCTTCACCTTCCCGAAGCATCTCATCTTAACACCTTTTACGGGCCATGCCGAGCACCTTGAAATTCTTCGACAACAAGCCTTCGATCCTCGAATCCGCCACCAACAACTAGTACTTGAACTACATACCAACAGCATGTAGCTCTCAAATGTGCTAGACACTGCGGCTAAGCAATGAGTTTCAGACATGCAAGACTTACTGAAGCTCAAGCTTACTATCAGCCACTCTACTTCATCCTCCAGCCTAGAACACTGGATATGTCGCTGAAGATCCCATCTCCTGGAGGATGTTCCAGAGCTTGCTTGCGGTATGTTAGTTGCTCCGAGAAGACGTTGAACGGATTGCATTGGAATAGTATTCATCCTACGGACACGCAATCACAGCCTGGTCGGCGCAATAGTTTCTATATCCGTCCTTTGTAGTAGTACCAAGTTGGAATGAGATGTTTCCGAATTACATTCACTGGTTCGATCGCAAAGATGTCAAAGAATTTTGGCAAAACCAGATCGAGATTCGACCAATCTTAGCTCTGATGCTGTGTCGTTCTAGCACTACTCCTATCTTGTTATCATGGTTGGTCAACCAGGAACAGAACCAAACTAAACGGACCAAGACTGACAGGTCGGAAGGGTAAAGTCTTCCATTCCCAAGCTCGTGTTGACTGCAGTGAGGTCTATCTCTAATCGGATCCATACACGAACTACCTAGCAAGTGCACTTGGATGAAGTTTCACGAGGTATGTCACCATCTTGTGTCCATACAAGAGCTTTTTGCTCACAAGAGCAAAGNNTGGAGCAAGCAGTATGGCCCCATATACTAATGCAACCTCGCCGGCACGAATCACATCTGGATGTCATCAGACCAGATAGCGCGCGAACTATTGGGCAAACGCCGCGCAATCTACTCTGATAGACCTCATATCCCTGCGCTTGAGCAGGACAACCGCACCAGTGGACAGTACCTGCCACTTAGGAGTATAAACGACAAGTGGACCCGACAGAAGAACTTTGGCAGATACATCATGACCAAGTCACACGAGCAGTCGTACAACGCATATCCAGAGCTCGAGGCTATCTGTCTGCTTGACGCACTCATGAGAATACCTGCCGAGTATAGCCACCAACTGGAGTCGTACGTAGCTCGCGTGACAAGTCGTCTAGCCTGGGGCTCATCGCGACCAGCGGAGGAGCTAAAGCAACGAGCTCGTGAGTTGCTGATTGGAGTATCGCCAGACGGTGCTCTGGGCAACAAGATACCCTTTGTCATGAGACTACCGACGTTTCCCAGCCCGGCAAAGGCTTGGGAAGGGTGTAGATCCAAGGTGGAGGTTGATTTTCTCGCGACACTGCAGCAGACGATTGCTGCCTCGATGAGCGTCGACCGGGCCTTGTCTACCACTGAGGAGCCCAAGCAATCTTGAACACATCATTTTCTCAAGCGTCAAGCATCTTGGGGCTTCGATTCCAGTCGAGAGAGAGCATACGCAGTCGGTATGCATGCGATTGCTGGGGCACTGACCATTGCCGCCCCCATGCAAAGCTTTTGCCTTGCTCTATCTCATCATCCGCAGTATCAAACTCTGCTACACGAAGAGACCGACCGCGTCCTGGGCGACAGATTACCGTCGTCTCAAGACATACCAAAAATGCCTGTTCTTCGGGCGTTCATTCGCGAGACGCTGCGATGGCGTCCTCCCGTACCTACAGGGATCCCACACGAGTCGACTGAAGACGACATGTTCGACGGTTACCGAACTCCTAAAGGCTCGGTACTCCATCCATTGGAGTAGACAATCACGCGCGATCCCAACCTTTATCCAGATCCTGATGCTTGGAACCCAACAAGATGGCTCNAGCCCTGCTTTTCGACATCGAAAGAGCCACTTGACCAGTTCCCTGCCATCACTGGCTATTCGCAGTTTGAGTACGGCAAGCGAACTTGTCAAGGGCAGAAGCTGACTGAGGCTGATCTGTTCGTTGGGATTGGATCCATCGCTTGGTTGTTCTCTATAAATATCGACCCACGCGAGACAGGCCCTGTGNGAAGGCGAAGTGAGAGAGTGCATATCGAAGGAACAACTGATCCAGAGATACGCTCCGTCCCTCCGCCAGCTTATGCGAAGGGCCAGACCGCGCGTACCCAAAGCGATACCCAGCGCCACGATCCCACAATGCTTTTCAGTGGTTTGCTGATTGCAAAGCCCTTGCCCTTCAAGTTCGAGTTAAAGATCAGGAGTAGAGTACGGGCACGGAAGGTATTCGAAGCATGGCTGCAGCACTTTATGGCAGGCGATTACGAAAACAAATGATTGGGTCGATATGATTGAGATCAAATGAATATGCTACGGCTGACCTGTTCTCAAGTTCAAAACGACGTCAACTTTGATTTCCTTGGCCTCAAGACCTTCACTTTGAATCACTATGACTCTCCTCCTCTTCTACAGGGCTGCAAATCGTGAGTAATCCAGTATACGAACTGGAGGAGTCCCGAGCTGATAGGTTCTAGTTTCGGATCCAGCTCCTCTGCAGTCAGTGCCGAGTCCACTGCGACCCCGACCGATGACGCCACCTCAGCGGCAACCACCGGCGGGGCCACAGCTCCAGCCACTACTGGGGATGCCGATGCTACACCTACCGCAGAACAGACTACTGCCGATCCCACTAGCGATGGGTCGGCCATGCCAACGACCACAGACGACTCCGCGTCAACCACTCCACTCGCATCAGATACCGTCACGACTCCTACGACCGACTCGACTGCCCCTACCACAACTAACGACGCCGCTTCTACCGCGGATGTTGCATCTCAAGGAAGCACAGATACTCCTACCACGACGATTCCCACACCTGAGGCCACATCGGCTGGTAAGAGTGGGTCGAGTGAGCGTCGTCGCTCTACCTTTATGCGCCGCGACAACTTGACCGTGTCTGCATCGAGCGATGATGAGGTTATCGCCAATGATACGGAAGACACTTTTGATGCCACTGACAACTCGGACGAGACCAACGATGTCGTCTCTGATAATTCTTCGTCTGCTGATAGCGCTGAGTTTGAAGCGGACGGCAACGAAGCGCTCTCCCTCTCCGCTGACCAGCAGACCGAGGACGGCATTACTTTCGACACTTTGATCCACATCCAAAAGACCTTCCAGTTCGTGCCCGGCACTGACGGAAATCTGTACACAGTTAGCTACACTGCTGGCTCCCCTAGTGATGCTGGCCTTTTCGCAGAGTCGCAGAACGTCATTATTGGTGACGACGAAGAGCGTGTTCTCCACTACTATCCAGACAAAATGGCAGCATACAATGTCAGTCGCATCAGATTCAACTCCGGCTCCGAGATCCCCAAGACTGCCGATGCTATCGCCTTGTCGCCAATTGACTACGATAACTCTGATGGCACGCCTTCTGCTTACTTTGCAGTCACCACCAAGAAGGATGTTTACAGTCTGGTTCACTGCAACTTTGCCAATGGCGCTGACAGCAAGATTTTCGTTGTTAATGATCAGTCTGGCATTGACACTTTGCAGAACAATGCTAATGTCAAGTTCACAATTACTGGTGCGCCTGTCAAGGATTGCTCACCTTTGGCCATTGTTTCTGGTGGAAACGGCACGGTCTCGGCATCATAGATGCATTGAGCCTCTGTTTCGTATCGTCTTTTCTTTTTTATGTCTTTCTCGACACCACCTTTTTCTCAATCTTCGTAATTATTTCCTTGCTAGCTTCTCTCTTCTTCTCTTCTCAGGATCAAGCAATAGTCCGAGTGGATCGATCGAACATCTCAGCGTCTGGATTGCAGAGATTCATCAAGCGCTTATTTTCCTTCTCATGAATCTGCTCAAGCTCCAACATCGCAATCTTACAACCCCTCTTGTCAGAAGCTGCACTACTCCAACCATATCGAAGATATGTATTATAGATATCCTAGAACCTCGTCGATCAGAGGCGCGCAGAAAGATATTTCTGGAAGCCACTCACCGCAGCATAATTCAAATCCAATATTTTGCTCTGTCTGTTGATGTCGTCTTCGATTCTCTCTGCTTCGGTGAGATCAGGAACCCATTCTGTCAACTCTTGATTGCAGAGCTGTTCTTCTCGTTGGTATGGTGTCAAGCCTTGATCACATAGTTCCTGTTCTTGCTGCCGGTTGTGTGTTCTGTAGTGTAAGTGACCCCATGTCGACCACGAGCGCGGAGATATGAACCACACCAATTTCTCACATCGCAGTGTCCAGGCGGCGAAAAATTCGACGGTCGGGAGTGTGCGATGGGTTCTCCATTTCTGGTCTTCAGGCAGACGCTTAGAGTGGTCTCGATCCACCTCGTAATGCATCATGCTGAATGCTGTTGTGGTGCCTTTNCACTTTCCATCAGCTAATTCTTCTAGCGATATGGATTGGCTCATACCTTTCTCGGTGTCAACAATAAGACTATATCCTTCGCGACCCAAGCCTTTGATGATATAGACACAATGACTGGGCAGAGGATGCACTTCCTCACTTATCGTTGACGACTCGACAGTATAATCGACTGGTATAGTCTCGTATGCTACAAGGTATTCATCGCCACGTTCGTCAAGATATGGCAGATAGCGTAGCAGGTCAACCACAGTGTCGTTTTTGCCAATCGCGCGTAAGGCTTCTTCGTCGATGCTATTCCATCCGGAGGCTGGGGGAGTTTTGAGGGCTGAGGAGGGTAGATAGGGATGTTAAACAAGGTGTTTGTAGAAATTTAGGACAGCCTTGACTGTCTCGTCTCTGGAGTACATCTCTAGCTTGGAGTGTCAATGTTGTGATTGTTATTGAAGACCTTTGATGACAGAAGTCAGTCGACGGACAGGTCGAAGATCCTTCGGCAACCGCCGTAATGAGGTATCTCATCAATACTAGCGTTTCAGAGTGAGCAATTGTAAAAGAAGATATCATGGTATGCACTAAAGATTCGCTTATATGTATCGGGACTATGTTCAGATCACTCTGACTTGTAGCTAGTCTAGAACCCAAACATATCTTTACCTTCCTCGTATCCNCTGTAGAGTGTTAGCACAAGTCTCGTTACAGAAGCCAAGAGGTAGAAACTCACCCAATCAGTCAATGCAGGCATAGCAGCCTTCTGAATCATTGCCGGAGGACCACACAAGAACACGACATTCTTCTTACCACTCTCCTTCTCGGGCGCATAACTGTACTTCTTGATCTTGTCTTCATCCACATGCCCCTTTTCACCTTTCCAATCGTCAGAAGGATGACTCAAGATATGCTGTATCTCAAAGCTATCCTTATGGTCTTTGGCAAACTTATCCAAGTCCTCGCGCAGCAGGATTGAGCTTTCATCTTTGTTGGCATCCACGACTTTGATCTTTGTCTTGTCACTGTTCGTGGCCATTATTCTGGCGATTAGTTGGTATCCGGGCGTGATTCCCGAACCACCGAGGATAAGTGTGATGTTGTCGAATTGCTGTTCTTCGTCAAAGATCTCGAATTTGCCGTTGCCGAGATATTTAATGTCGCCGGTGGGGCCGCGGATCTCGACTTCTTCGCCTGCCTTCATGCAGTCGAGGATGTTGCTTAGCGCACCGCCGGGTTGTTGGTCGTTGGGGAAGTAGGTCTTGACCACCAGATCGAAAGTGCCCTCTTCAGTGTCCGCTCCGATGATGGGGGCGGTGGGCGTGTAGGAGCGGACGAGCATCTTGTCGGCCATGTGGAAGCCGATTTGCAGGTGTTGGCAGGTGCCGAGACCAAGCTTTTTGGTCTTGTCGCCGAGGCCGAAGGTGTATTGACGGGTATCTTCGGAGATATTTTTCTTCTTGAGAAGCGTCACGGGGTACCATCTGTTGATTGAGATCAGTCTTTCGAATTTGCTGGTGCGAATTTGAGCTTAGACTCACTGCTGCATGGAGAGCACGACGTCGGTCTTCTTGTTCGAGGCTTCTGCCTTCGCTTTCGCTGCCGCTTCTGCTTCCTTCTTCATGTGTGCTTTCGCCTTGTCTGTCACTGTACCAAGAATACATTCTACAAAACACGTTAGTACATCGAACATGTCGGGTTTTTAAGGGCATGACCTACCGCCAAGCTTCTTATAAGCATAGCCATCATGAATGGACTCAAAGCTCTCCGAAGTCTCCTGCGTGAGTTTTCCAGCATGGTTCATAATAGTCGCTTTACCACCAGGATGCCAGTCAAGCACAGAAGTTGCATCGTAAACGTTGCCATCAACCACAATCCAACAATCGTCTTCCTTATCGTGCTTCTCAATTTCTTCTCTGGTGAATTGTTTTTGAGGAGTGCTTGCGCTCTGCTTTGCGCTGGCGATCTTTTCGTCTGCACTTGGTTCTACCCATCCACCTGTGCCTGTTCCTGGCTCGACGGGGTGGCGGAAGAGGACTTCGATGTTACCGTCTTTGCCTTCTGCGATCTCGGGCTTGACCTTGTACCAGCCGTTGTTCATCATTCCCATGACGTTCCACGAGCCNGAACTAAGAAATCGCGTCAGTACGAGCTGCATCGCGGGAGAACGTTATAAGCATACCTCTGGTTGGGTGTTCTTGAAGACATTGAAGCATCGCACGAGAACGCTCGGAGCTCGAAGCAAGTGTCCCAGCTCAATGTCAATATACCAATGAATCCAGGTCCAGTACTTTTGACCATGTCTGACCGGTGCTTCTGGGAACTGTCTGATACAGTAAAGCCATGTCTCACCATTGTCGAGACTGACCTCGACTCGTTGTACTTCGTGGCCACCTCCATCGTAGGCATATCCTGCAATGCGATAGGTGTGTCCCTTCTTGACGTCTGAAAGTGCAATGCGTTCACCGTGGCCTGGTTTTGCGATGACCGAGTTCAGATTCTGCTCGTTGCATGCTGTGTCCGGATGACGGAAAAGAGTTTCGGAAAACTCTCCATCCTTCTCAGTGACGAAGGCGGGCTAGAATCTATATGTCAGTACAAAGTTATCGCGATCATTCAAAAGTAAGAAGCGTACCAATACTCGATTGTCCCAGATATGGTAATGACTGTCATTCTCCTTCTCACTGATCCAGATCTTGCTCAACCACTTGACTTGTCTGCCACCAACGTATCCAGGGATGATGACTCGTAAAGGATATCCATGGTCAGGAGGCAACTTGACATCGTTCATCTCGTATGCCAGTAGCACATCGTTGACAGGATCCATCGCGTACTCATAGGGGATGCATGTCTCATATGTACCCTCAGAAGGCTCATCGGCGCCTGCGAAATTGACCCATCTTCTGGTCCCAGAACCATTGGTAGGGTAATCAACTCCAGCAGCTTTCAAGACATCGGACAAAAGAGCACCTTTCCAGAACGCATTACTGATGGCTCCAGCACCCCAGTTGAAACCTTTCGATCTCTTGATCATGTTGAGCTCCTTGCGCCTGTTGCCATCACAAGCCAATGCGACTGCGATGTTCACGCTTTCAAATTTGGTTTCGAGGTCGTCCATACTGAATTTGCATTTTCCGTTATCGATGTCCAGTTCGTGGGTTTCCCAGATCAGATGTGGCACGGATCCATGGTTTCGCACATAGTGTAGACGGTTTGGCGTAATCAGGCCGGTCTCGAAAAGGTCCGACAGCGGATACTCGCAGTTCAAGGGGTGCTTGCCTGTAAGCCGGATCATGTTTGAGTTTCTTGGAATCCAGTTGTCGGGGCTGGCGCGGTCCGCATCATCGATCACATCAGAAGGCTTGAGGTCTGCCCAGGGAGATTTCATCTTGCCGTCGCTTTGCTTGAGGTTCTCAACAATCTTCCTCTCTTCTTGTAGACTTCTCAGCAGGGCAATCTCCTGAACGCTGTACTTTTCTCGGAGCTTTTCGTACTCGGATCTTGGTTTGGAGTCCTGGTCCCCGTCCGAGTCTGCTTGATCGGTCTTCTGGGAGTCATCTTGAGAGTCTTTTTGGTCGGTTTTGCCGTCTTGCTTGTCGCCTTTCTGGTCATCTGATTTAGAGTCGTCTTGTCCGCCACTCGAAGCATAAGCGTCGTTGTGTCTACGACGGTTGAGACTGCCGTCCTTCCATTCGTGCTCTTGTTCTTGCTTTTCTTCTTGCTCTTTCTTCTCTTTTTCCTCCTTTTCCTTCTCTGCCTTCTGCTTCTGTCGTTTCAGATTAGCGGGCCAAGGCTGTTGGTTCTTGATGAAGTCCTCGGATTCGTCGAGTCTATAGCGCCAGCCGTTGGGATGCTCTTGCGGCTCTTCGAGGTAGTAGTCNCTATTTTGTGTTAATACTAATGTGGATAATAGTTTGACGAGATCTGCACATGCTTCTTGCTTCTCCTTGGCTTCACGGAAGTTGATCAGCTTGTGCTGTTTCATTTCCTGTTGCAGCTCGTCGGACTCTTCCGCAGCTTCCTTGAGGAAAGAATCCTCCTTGGGAGACTTCGGAGACTCTACACTGTCTTCGCTATCAGAATCGTCGCCGCTGTGTACGAGTCCAGGAACACGGTCATAGCGATTGCGATAGCCAATATGATGCTTGGCTGAGCTCCAGTCAGGCTCGTTGTCAATCTCTTCTTGAGTGGAGCCGGGATGGCCTCGAACATAGGTGCGGTAGGGTATAGGAGGCATATCGGTGGTTGAACAACAAAATCACACGGACAAGGAGAGGGAAGCTGGACTTATGTGAACGGCAGGACTCTGCTTGATTTGGAATAACGGTACCCAAAAGAGTCTTGTAAAGTCAGAAACAGTTTGGATCCAGCTGTTCAACATGTCACCTTGTTTTTGGGAGAGCCGCGGAGACGCGGGGTGTCAAAGCTGACGTCAAAACGGTCGAATATGGAAGTCAACCGTTGAAACTTGGAGATTGACTTTCTGATGTAAGCCTTCTTGGCGAGAACCACTATCCTTTCTTCTTTCCACCTTCCGTTGTGGATGTCTGTCTCCTGAAGTCGAATGAGGAGCGATGAAAGATATACCCTTGATGACCTGCAACACTGGAAGTCAGTGAGCTCTCATATCAGATGTCTTCGGATATCCACACCTTGCATACCAGCACCCATGGACTATGCCCAAATGTCATTCAGGAGAACAGCTTGTGCTTCGCCTACAATCCTGTCCGAGAAACTCCTATGGAGCCACTCTACAGCTCGCTATCGGATTTGCATGACTTGCATGACTTGCTGAACAACGGTTCGAGTTCACGCTCGAGACTGAGTCCGCCGTACTTTGAGTCGAATTCATCCTCAGATCCACAGGACTTGTTCAAATCGACCTTGTCCTTGGGACCATACAGCAAATAACCCCTCCAAGCACCGCCATTCCATTCGCAGTCGTGATCAACGGGCATGCACGTAGACTCCGGCAGACAGTCCAGATCCAGTTTCTTCATGGAGTGATCCAGAGATGCTCTGATGCGTTCATGGTCATCGCTTGTTGCGCAAGGTTCTTTGGGTGTACCCTGGGCGTAGTACCGGTATGCAATGCCTTCAGCAGATCTAGATAGTACTGCGCAAGAAGGCTCTTCTCTGGCCCACCATTTTGCAGATACTGTAGCGGCGAAGATGTAGATGAACATGATAGATGGCTTCATGATGGCAGTATTTTCGTCAAGGTATGACAGTTGTCGAAGGTTCGAGGTTGTTGTTGTGAAGAACAAGAGACGAGGATGCACTGGATGTTATTTGGTCATATACATGTTACTCCGCCTCACTTTGCCAGGTAAAGGATCTAGGTGTGGGGACGCGATGCCAGCTATCCTTATATCTCCAAGAGTGATAGACCGTTTAGGAGTGCTGGCAGTCGGTCATAATCCGGGAACATCAAGGCATTTCTGCCTGATATGACTTGGCACTTCAGTCGACTTGCCTTCTACTGTTTGCCGAATATGGAACATGAGCTGTTGATGGGTATGAGAACGAAATGCTCGCAAGGGTTCTGTTACAGCATGCACGAAGACGTCGTACTGTTGTTGCGACGGAAAGAACGGTGGAGAGATCTGTCACCAAGGATTCTTTGGAAGTGCCAAGCCGGAAACTTAACCGAGCGGCTCTATCAGCAACCTTCAACGATATCGACAGACCGTATATTACTGTCTCCAGACTATGATCTATGAGTTGCTCATCCTTTCTGTTCTAAGCTAGTTGTAGATTCTACCATATTTGTCCATTAGCTGATTGTGAGACGGAGAGAATCCCAGAGCGAATCATGGGCAAACACGCTTGTCTAATACCAAACCTGGTAAATAATCATGCTCAAACGAGAATATTTGATAACGAGCTGACAGCTCATTCTACAAGCTTGAGAATCCATCAGAATGAACCGTGATGTGTAGTTGTTTTGATAAGCAGAGAAAAGTTATGATGCATTGTCTCTGAGAGCAGTTGTCGTTGCCTGGATATCGCGTCCAGGGTGGCTACTACAGCCAGAGTCAAAATCTAATCTCGATAAGATCATTTGGGCAATCTCGCGCTTTGCGAAACCTTTCTCGAATTTGTCCTCGAACGGATACCAAGATGGACATACACGACCTTTACTTTGTCCAGTCACAGATCATACTGCAAGTATGTTTTGAACGATTGATGATATTACAGACGACCATCGAGATTGGTCACAGCGACTTAGAAGAACGACACGGTGCCAACAGAGAGAGCGGACTTCGTGCGCAAGGGCAGCGAGTGGAAGCAGCCATTCAACCATGGCGCGATCTAAGATCTTGACAGTCCACTGAAGGGACTTCCGATGGATGCGTTCACAATGACCGAGATGCGCGGCTATGAGCAAGGTCCATAAGGTGAACCATCACAATTGCATCGCACCATCACAAAAGACTGATGATAGAGATATTGGTTCGATATGTTGATTGTTCATTCATTATGTGTTGCTATGGCTCTTGCCATGCATGTTTGGATTCGTAAAACATTCCATCGAGCTCAGCGAAGCTGCAGCTCGGTCAAGGTATCATGGCCGTGAAGATGGTCGTGAATCAAAGGTTTACTTTGTGGGGTGGATCTTCTCGGGGAGGATCTCCTCGAGCTTCTGGGGAGCGGCCTCCTGGATTGACTGAGGGACCTTGCTGGGGCCAGTGGCGTGGCTGACCTTGCCGGTCTGCTGGTTTGAGCCGGTGTCATGGACAGAGTCAGGGAGCTCATGCTCGAGCTTGGCGGGAGCCTGGAGGGTGTTGTTAGTATGAGATGGTAAGGAGAACTAGATCAGAAAAACATGTACCTTCTCCTGGATCTTGCCGGGGACTTGAGAGTCACTGGCGTGGGAAACACCTTGGCCGCGTTCGTTCTGCATGTTGATTGGTATGGTGGGTTGTTTGGTAGATAGAGTAGAAGATGTGAAGATTGAGTTGATGAGAAAAAGAAGATTGTGTTCAGGGTAGCTTATAAGCTCTATATAGCTGTTGTAGCTCTCAAAGAGGGAGCTTGGGCAATGTGGGGCGCAGCAGTTCAAAGCCTCATAACGATGACGTTTGGCGGGGTGATAACAAAGGGTCCTAACCTAAACTTCGACATGGACGGGTCATACCTCGTCGATAACATCAACATGACGATGTTCTTACGGGTTCGGCGTGATCAATTTCCCGAGTCGTTGAGGCTGCCGTGTTTCATCTATCAAAGACTCACAGGCGGCTCTTGATACGCCTCGACTTCATACGACGTACGTTTACCCCTACAAAGGACGACGTCACCATCTGCGATATGGCAAACTTGTCATCATGAGGATTGCAGGCCTGAGGCGAACCAGACAAAAGACACGTTTCCCTTCTCTTCGGACATGGATTTGACCCGTAATAATGATCGTGTCATTACAAGGATCATACCATCAGATACGCTTGACGCGACAACACGAGCCGCCGTCTGCGAAGAGGCAATCGTAGGCTTGACGACTTGCAGACACTCCATACCAGCATCTTCAGTTCGAGAAACGTTAGTGCTCAGGTACAATCGTGTATCATGACCGCTGTTGTCGCTCTTATGGCTCAGGAATGATAGTCTTGCATCTCCGAAGTTTGCTGTTCTTCTCCAAGCCCAAACAACAACCCTCTCTTCAGTTGACACAGGGATTTAACATCCCATGCTGATAATGCCAGAGAGATGTTGCACGATCATGTTCACCTGAATCCTTGGGCTTCCTGGAGTACTATATCGCCGATTCGATCCCGTCAAATACTACACGCCCGTTATCGTCGCTCCCGCTGCTTCCATCTTCTATCCGTATTTCCGGTCAGGAACCGGACAAGACGACGAATCTATACCCATCACAAACCACGATAAGCAATTCAGAACTCAGCATTGGCCTCGATCGGTTGAAACCAATCGCACAGTGAGAACTACAGCCCCAACTCTGTCGAATTGGATGTTGCGCGATGTCTGGTCTTCAGAAGATGTTCGACACAGACGAAGTAAGAGACCGAATCCAATAGATACGTAACATCTAGGTCAAAAAGCAAGAGGTGGATGTCATACAGTCCAACAACAACTCGCACAGTACAATGAACAAAGACGATCACGGCCTCTTCTTGGCCGTTGTTATTCTCATCGATGCCGCTTGCCCCGGATCCTGCGTCTGGCGCAATTGGGAAGTAAACTCGGCCACATACGCCTCGGTGACACGGGTATGGGCTGAGGCTTCAGAGTAGGCGGTTTCGACTCTGATCAGCCTTGACTCAGGTGGCCTCCAGTCAGTCTTGGCGTTCTCGTAGCTGTTGTTGCTTTTGTGCCAACGGCTCTTGGATGTTTGTTCAAGACTTTCTCTGGGTAAACTTGGAGGACTTGTAAGTATATTTTCTTGTCTGGTGTCTTGTTGCCTTGCCTCGTCTCTACTGCATCTGATCTGCATAAGTTAATTACTCATGGCAACCGTTCATTGGTTGGCTCTCGGACGGTCCGAGTTCGACCTTGCTTGGTCTTTCTCTATTGACTGGCCATCTAGCCAATCAAAGGCTCACAATGCTTGACCACAAGTTTGTTTGTATACAGTAGCAATTCAGGCAAAATTTCCCGCCTATTATTTCCCCTCTTCTTTTCTCTCCATTTTTCCTAGTAGGTCTCCCCGCATGGCTTTTCGAATTTAGCCCTCGGCACAGAGCCCGTCTCTACCAGCAGCTGTAAGTTTAATACTATTGTGGTATCTTGATATATTGACCGTTCCCTGGATTGAAGCCAAGGCTGGTTGCTTATGCTCGCAAGCCTTTTCTTGATATGAATTTGTGAAGCTTGGTGAGCTTGAGCGAATACTGTCACTGGTATACTCTAGGACACGCAATTCGATCATCTGGTTTCCAGATTATGCATCAGAGATCTCTCCACGTCTTGTGTCATTCCATATCTGGTCCCTGCTGGCTAAATACCACAGTTCCAAGTCACCTCTCTCAGAACGGTCTGGCCAAAGATGGACTCTCCCGGCGAGTCACTACACACAGATAGATGTGCGTGGTTCGCAGATCTCTCCGCATTTTACCCCATTACCCCACCCTCCATGGTGTGGTCCTGATCCCCATTCAATCCACTCAACGACACATAACAGGAAGTAACAGCAAGGCACTCAGCTAAGATTCTGTTGGTCGTGGAAGGACGGCAAGAAGACCATTTAGCCGCCAATGAATCTGGTCGTTTGGTCTGGTACATATTTGACTGACAAGACGTTCTCACATGAGTTGATCGCGTGGCCTTACATCCTCAACCTACTCGACAGTTGAAAACACTTGCAGAATGGCGACGACTCAGCAGGAGATGGCCAAGTTGATGGCCAATGTGACACCATGGTATAAAGATCCTGGACGCAGAAAGCTGTATGCCTTGCTTTTGATTGCCTTGCTTTCTTCGGCAACCAATGGTTACGATGNNGGTATGAGTCCCACAATATCTGTACCTAGGACTTATGCTGATCCTCTTGACAGTTCGCTGATGAATGGAGTGCAATCCATTACCTACTATGAGAAGTGTAAGAATTATGAGNACATGGTGATTGACAAGAATGATTGTTAACAGCCACTAGTTTTCAATTATCCTCATGGGTCGACGCAAGGTCTATTGAACTGTATACAGACTGTGGGAGGTCTAGTCAGTAAGTGTCTTGCTGTTGCGAAATTTTCTTCTCGTCGCTTTACTGACACGGCTTCAAGGTNNCTGATCCTCGGTCCCTACATGGCTGACTATGGCGGTCGTAAATGGACGATATTTGTCGGGTGCTTCATTGTTGTCGTTGCTGGTATCGTGCAATGTCTCTCGGTCAACATTCACATGTTCACTGCTGCCAGATTCCTGAGTAAGATTTTTGCAAATCGTGAAGGGTTTCTTGGTCTCATGCTAAACTCTTACANNGTTGGTTTGGGTTCTGGATTCTCGGGACTGGGTTCACCTCTTCTTATAACCGAGATCGCTCATCCTGTTGAGCGTGGAAAGATCACTGCTTTGTACAAGTACGTCTTCTCGGCCATGGCATGACTGATTCCTCTCGTTGACTGATGTGTANGCACTCAATACTACTTCGGTGCTTTCCTCGGAGGCTGTAGGTAGATAGTGGTCCTTGTTTTCTTGACCCACGACTGACAAAGAGTTCTCTAGNGGATCACATTTGGTACCTTGTACATCAATTCCAACTGGTCTTGGAGACTTCCCAGCCTTCTCCAGGCTGCTCCCTCTGCCGTTCAACTTGTTCTAGTCATACTCCTCCCGGAGTCTCCTCGTTGGCTCATGTCTCGTGGCAGAAGTGACGAAGCTCTTGCTATTCTTGCCAAATACCATGCGAATGGCAATGCAGAGGACCCTCTTGTGCGCTTCCAGTTTGCTGAGATGAAGGCATCGATTGCCCTGGGTGAACAAAAGGGTCGTTGGAGCGATCTTGTCTCAACCAGTAAGCTTACTTTCGCGACATCTTGCTTTCCTGACTAACAATGTTGTAGAGNNGCCAACCGTCGTCGTGTCTTTATTTGCCTCTGTTGCGGTGTCTTCTCCCAGTTCTCGGGTACCAGTCTGACAGCGTACTACCTCCACAACATTCTGCTGAACATCGGCATCGACAGTCCCAACTATCAAAACATGCTCAATGGTTTCATTCTGATGGTCAACATGTTCGAAGCTTGGTTCTGGGCTTGCATGGTTGATAGGTTCGGTCGTCGTCCTCTTTTCCTTGTAAGTTGAACTGCAAACATTCTCCGTCTCATCCGAAGAAGCACCTGAATTGACACCCTCTAGATCTGTTCCACAGGAATGGTCTGCACTTTTGCAACTTGGATTGCTCTCACTGCCAAACAACTCGAGAACCCCAAGGAGAAATCTTGGGGCAAAGGTGTCATCGCCATGATCTTTTTCCACAACTTCTTTTACAACTTTGCTTGGTGAGTGGTTCCTCAATCTCAAATCAAGTGTCCAACCATACTGACATGGTACGAAAGGCCGTCTCTAGGTGTCTCCTACCCCCTGGAAATTCTCTCGTTCAAAATCCGCGCCAACGGTCTGCTGATGCAGAACATCTCCACCTACGTCTGTCTCGCAATATCCCAATACGTAATCNCCCTCGGCATCTCGGCAGGAAGCTGGAAGTTCTATTTCTTCTTTGAGGGGTGGTTGGTAATTCAACTTGTCACTGTATTCTTCTGTTTTCCGGAGACCAGAGGTGCGACTCTTGAGGAAATTAACCAGACGTTTGATGGTGTGGAGGCTGTGGAGGAGGTCAAGAATAGAGCGCAGGAGATGGAGGGGGTGGTGGATTTGAGAGAGATGGGGACTGTTGGGGGAAAGGAAGGGGCGAGTGGGGTGGAGGTTACGCATGTTGAGGACATTCATGAGAGGAAGAGCTGAAGCGATCTTTATGATGCTTTGACTCTGGGATCAGCACGATTATGTTGTGTTCAATGCGGATTGATGAGAGTATTGCGCTTGACATGTATTACAAGTAGTTTAGCTGCATTTGCAAAACAACATATAAGCCTGACTTTGAATCCAAATAACGGCAAAGTTCTCATAACCACCATCTTGTCTATTTTCTGATTCAAGCATGCAATCTGAAACCGTCCTTGTCGTAGGCTCGACCGGTAACATTGGTGTTGCGGCAGTGATTGGTGCCCTCCGTGCTAAACGCAGCGTACTCGCCATCGTCCGCAAGAAAGAGTCCGCCGAGAAACTGTTCAAGCATGTCGGCACAAAGGAAGGCATCACTGTTGTAGAAGCAGATCTCACGTCCGAAACAGGCATGCTCCGAGTGGTAAAAGACGTCAAGGCTGGAAAACTGCCTGCCTTCCAACATGTGTATGCCACTGGGAGGTAACTCAAAAGTCTTGCACGGATTTCGCTGACTGATAGCGTACTCGTATAGNCTGGTGGGCTGCCTGGAATGACTTCTATGCACAAATTGGCACTCGAGGAACTGCATCGTTGTCAACTTCGAACTCAANCTTCTGTGAATCGTGCTGTGATTGTTTCATCGTTGTAAGCTGGTCACTGATAAGTTTGTCTAGTTGCCTATAGAGCAACCGTGCCATATTTGCTCGAACAAGGATACAAAGACAGCACCTAGACCCTCTGCACAGGTAGCTTGGGTGATATAGGCACATGTGCACCAGTAGCCATAACACAAGGAGCTCTCTACTCTTTGGCCAACGTAGCTTGCAGTGACCTCAGAGACACCAACATTTGCTTCAACGAAGTGTACCTGAACTTGAGAGTAGAGGTGGACGAGTCGGCCAAGCAGAATGGCGTCTCCAAAGCCTCGGACTTTGCAGAATGCTACTAGCAGATCCTTGGACGTCTAGACATCCGCAGCTCACGAATTAGCGTTTTTGACGAAGAAGACTTCAAGGAGTTGGTAGCCAAGGAGAGGTCGNTCAACTTTGTGTTCAGGAAAGATAGCGAGCTGCTTGACCAGCAGGTTTTTGTTGTCGGAAAGATAGCATGATTGTATCTTGTAAAAGCTCGCTTTCAAACTCGCACTACAGGGGCTTTGTGGGTCGTAATGAGCTCTGTTTTTCTCTCGAAATGAGGATCGCCACCGTGAATTGGTCATGACCCGAGATCAAGCGGCTTCCGCAGAAAATGCAGCCCAAGGTTGTCTTTCTCGTCGCCTGGCAGCTCTGCTGCAGAATTCATGGTTCGGGAGAGATTCGCAAGGTGCAAGCCGGTGAAGATAGAGAGCAAAACATCGGGCGCCAAGTAAAAATCTGACACTGAATTTGCATATGAAAAAATCGTACATAAGCTGTCTTGTGCCCGTGCGCTTTGCAACATGCAAAAAGATGTTTCCGCACGATCTACAACAAAGAGCAAAAAATATTCCGACACGGGGAATTGAACCCCGGCCTCCTCGGACCTGGTTGTTCTTTCGAACGGCTTGAGAGCGAGAAATCCTAGCCACTAGACCATATCGGATATTGATGTAACACGGCTGGATTGATTTGTGCATAGTATTTGATGATGGTAGCGCTCACAGTGTTGAATCTGATCTTTGGTCACAACAATGACATTATGCTAAACCTTGTAAAGCGCTTTATCAAATGGTCGGTAACAGAGCCGATTCCATGGACAGAGCTGCTCACTGCATTGAGCATCCACTACCGTTTGCTTGAAGCAGATATTTTGTGTTACGTCCAGGAGCAGAGCTACATTCAAGGACGGAAAGACTGTGGTCTTGAGACATGAATCGTTGCGCAAGTCTGGTCGTCCGCAAGCTTCAACATTCTGATTATGTCTTGCGCCAGAGTTAGAAACATTCCTTCCTCAAAACTATCACTAGCGGCGAAACAAAGAGGGACTGTGTTTGGCACATACCTCCATCATCAGGCTCTCCACACACCTGTACAATGTCTAGCTGGCAAGCATACTCAAGAATCCCAAGTTCTTTGCTACTTTCCTTCTGGAGCTTGTTTTTGGTGGCTGTCGCTGATATGCTGGTGCTTGAGGAACTGTATACCCTTGTTGTGTATTGACAGGGTTCGGTTGCACCGGAAGAGTAGTTCCAGTAGGAGAACTAGATGTGCCTTTCACCTCATCGGCACAACTGCCTCGTGCGGTGCTGCCGTAGTCGAAGTCGGCGCCAATCCTGCCGCGGATCTTGCTTGCGTTGGTTCCGCTGCTGGTACTGCGGCCAACATCGACGATTGCAAGAACTGCATTCTCAAGAGTACTAGAGTTATCGAAAACTAGGGTGACTGCGCAAATAGAAGATCTTTCGTCCGAAAGCTGTGATGTGGTAAGTGTAGGATGCTACGCGGGACCTGTCATAGTTCGTTGTTAAATGGCCATCGATATCACTGTCCTTAATCAAGAATTTATGTTTCAACAGGAGAGAAAACAAACATATTGTTCGTGTCTGTTGATGAGCTAACGTGTACTGTAAACAACCAGACGACCATGAACCTCAAACAGAGGCAGAAACTCATATGCAGTGAATTCCTCGAAGCCAAAAGGATGAAGGCTACTGCGCAGACAGTGAGTTGCTGAAGTGCATTGGCGACACAAGCGATGAGAACACGGGTGGAACCACTGACCCCTCCATCTTTGAACACATCGCTCCATGTTCCTTCTTCTCGTTGCTCGACCTCGACAATGTACTCGATGTCTTTCATCTCTTGCTGCAACTCGGGATCGTCTCGATGCACACCACGAAGGGCAGCAAGGTTGTTGATTGTAAGGTCCAATCGCCCTGTCTTTGCCAAGTATCGAGGCGACTCAGGCAGGAAAGGTACAAGACAGGCAACGCAGATGCAGGGTGCGATCTGGAAAGCGCAAGGAAAGCGCCACTGAATGCTAGAAGAGTAAAATATCATACCGTAGTCGAGGCAGTTGGCAATGACTAGACCCATGATCGGATTCGAAAACTGTATGGCAATCATGCGTCCACGAGACTTTCGTGCCGCGCACTCTGCAAAATAGATAGGAATGACCGAAGTCACCATATCAAGGCCAAATTCAGCGATGATACGACCAGCAAGAAACTGGGGAACTCCGAAAGAAGTGCTTTGAATGATGGCACCTGTCGAGATCACTCCAGCCCCTGTCAATTTGATAGGTCTGCGACCGCAGCGATCGCCCAGCAGGAAGACAAAGACGGCACCAAAGAGCGCTCAATCTCATATGAAGAGACCAGGAAGCCAAGAAGAGATGGGTCCGGGTTGCCAAAGGTCTTGAGAAACTCTGGAGCAATGGTCAAACCTCCCGTGAATCCTAGATCGTAGCCGAAAAGCCTATAATGTGTTAGACATCGAAGCTGTGATGTGTGGATAAAGAAGTACAATTATCACACGCTAAAAGCACATAGTAACAGATTTTAATCAAATGTGTATCATTGAGTTTTCAGCTTTTACAACTTTGCTGCCAATCTTTCTGACAATCTCACATCGTCCTGGTTTGCAACGGAGAAGATGGGAGTTGCGACAGACCATCTCTGACCATAACTGCGTATCATTCGCTGAACTTCTCCACTCCCCAGCCATGAAGCAAACTCTCTAGCCAGCTCGTTGCAAGGAGCTTTGACATTGACAAGTGCAGAGCAAGGATTGAGCAGTTGCGGCCCGCCCTCAATAAAGGGTACAATGTTGTTCAGCGCTTTATCACGTTTGGCTGTGAGATATGTTGCTCGATCGGTGATGAGGTATGCGCCTGTGCGATCTGCTATCACCAAGGCTTCGTAAGGAGTTCCAGGCTTGGTGAGTCTCCATGACTTTGTCGATGACACGTCAACGTGAGCCAGCTCCCACAGTGCTAACTCTTTGTAGAACGTTGCCGAACCATCGCCACGGGTGTGGAAGAGTCCATCATGGTGGTTGTGATTGAAGAAAGAATCATGTTTCGCGATCGCTTTCAAGGCATTTGCAATCCCTCCGTTAACGTCAACACCAGCTGGGTTAGAAACTGGCCCGACCAGGACGAAATGATCGTTGAACACTTTGGCCATTCGTTTCGCCCATCCCTCTGCGATAGACAGATCCTCGTACTCAGGCTCATATGTCAAAGCTACTTGGACCACGTCTCCCAGCAATGCAATTTGCGAGTGTCGACTGTGGTTTGCTACCCACTCGATACAGAAACCTCCTCCTCGAGAAGCGATAAAGTATTCGCAGAGCAGGCGAAGGATGCCAGTGTGCCCAGCGCCGCCGTTGCCGAGTCGAAAACTCACTGGATGTGATGCATCGCCGTATGTTGCAGAAGCATGGGTGCATATCATGTTGGAGACTCCAGGATAGTCGTCTGGCACTTGTATCGCTGAGTTGGCGAATTGCTTGAACATTGAATCGGATACTGTGTTTGTGAGTTAGCAGAGACTGGTACACCCTCGGTAATCTTGAACATACCATGAACAAGTTCTGGCATTACTTGAGACTTGTTAGGACGCATATTGCCGTCAGACATTGGTACCGGTAAAGCGACTCTTTGGTGGTTGATCCGGGTGTTGGAGACTTGCAGAATGATAAGAATAGGAGCAGATGTCGATTCGTGTTGTAGAATGTACTCAAAGTGATGTAGACCCATAATCTACCGTCAAAGGCCGATTCCGACGTGCCGGTAATCCACGGGTCAGAATGTGTTTACGGACTTGGGCACCTTCCCGTAACTCCACATTTTGAGTAGCCGAACCATAACGCCTATCTCTTGCTCTGAACTATCCTTATTCCCGAAACCACGACATCGCATTCAGGTCAATCCTCCACACTCACTGTAGCTTCCTTCACCGACCATTCAATCTTCCTCTCTGTCTCCCAATCAAAATCCTGAGGGTAACTNCCTCCTTCCCCTCTGTTAACCAGCACTTCGTCTTTCGTCGCAAACGCCCACCTACACTTTCCAAGCGTCTCCATATTCACACCAATACGATACTCCTTCCCAGCTTCCAACCCATCAACCCCAGTCGCCTGAGTCGATCTCCGTATCCTCCTCTCTCTGCCTTGGTCATCAATTTCCCACCCTTTCTGCACAATATGCTTGGGCAAAGGCTTGACATCCACATTTCGGCCAAAAGCTCTCTGCAGCTGTACTGGCACGCCTGGCGGTAACTCCAGATATAGTTCTTCGTCGTAACTACCATGGATTCTGGTAATGGCTGCTCGTTGGACTAAAATACGGGTTGTTGGGACCGAAGTATTGGTTTCTAGATCGGTGATAGTGATGCCGCGATTATTCAGGGCGCGGGAGATGTGGAGGGCTGTGTCCCAGACGAAAATTGTGATTGGGAAGGTGGCGTGGGATAGTAGAGTCATGGTGAGGGTGGGTGGTGTGGGGCAGCTGAAACTGTGGGTTGAGGGGGCGATGGAGAGGGAGATGTCTATGCGAGGTGCTGATGGCGGGGGCGCTGATTCTGTCATTGTATGAATGCTTTCTGTGGGCGCAGATTGGAATTGAAGATTAGAAACGATGTCGTGGTCACAGAGGCTTGCGGAAGATGAGGGGTGTAGGACGACTTCTTCACGATTGGCGGAGGTACCAAATATGCACGACATTTTAGCGCCTTGCCAGTCTTACACTGACGACATGCCATGCGGATATTGCTGTCGCAGCATCACATAGCTTCTACCAAAGCATGAACGAACGAACGAACTCATCAGAGGTTCTTGGAATGATATCGTACAACTCATTAAATTCGTCTTCTGCGAGCTCGTGCTTATATATCTTCATCCATTCCCCGAATACTCCCACATGTATCCCTACTTCTCCAAAAGTTCTTTCAATGCATTGAACTTGACCGGCTTGGTATGGAATTCATCAATACCACTCATCTTGGCCTCTTGTTTCGAAGCCTCAGACCCAAGTCCCGTCAAAGCAATAATCCTTACNTGCCTTTGTCCTCCTTCTTTCTCTTCCAACATCTTCTCATGATTTCGTATCGCACGGCTGGACTCGAATCCATTCATTACAGGCATACTAATGTCCATGAGGATAGTAGTGAATTTCGAGGATGAAGCTTTGAACTTGTCAAACGCGTCTAGCCCATTGACGGCGGTTTCGGAGGTGTAGCCGAGCTTCTTCATGAAGGTGGAGAGAAGACGTAGGTTTATGGCATTGTCGTCAACGAGGAGGAAGTGTTGTTGATCTTGCCGCATCAGGTTGTTGAATTCAGTAAGATCATGTTTTTGGCCTGTAGGTATGATCGTCTGCGGAGAACTCTGGATTTCCAGCTTGACTGTGATAGCTTGTTCGACATGTTCTATCGGTTTGGGAGATTCCAGGAGAATGCTATGCTTCAGTGACGGTATTTGAGGCTCTATCGTTGAGTTCAAGCTGGCAGTAAGAGCACGAACAAGCGCTTTCGGACTGAGCGGGTATGCTAGGTTCACAATACTGCCAGGGAGTCGAAGCCTGCCGGGATGGTGAGACAGCTGAGCATCCACCAAGACTATGCGTTGTTTGGCGAGCGTTTCCAGGAGATCTGGATTGGCGAGAACCAGATCAGCGAGATGTGCCTCTTCGGCGATGACGATGTCGACATCGATATCACTCAAGCTATCGCTGGTTGTAATCTTCATGCCAAACCAGGTGTCTGCGATGGAGCGCACATATGACTGCATCGTTGTTGTACGTCGAAGTCGCAGCTCGGCATCCGCGTCCCTGGGCATACCGGATCGTGATAATAAGCAGATGGTCCGATCTTTGAGCGTTCCCTTCGGATCCAGTCTTTGACCACCAAGAGGCAGAACCTCCTCTATTGAGATGTGATCTGGAAGGGGTACAAAAACATCAAAGCGTGTTCCGACGCCTTGGGTGCTTTGTACTTCAATTGTGCCTTGCAAGTCTTCAACGATCTTCTTGACGATACTGAGTCCGAGCCCAGTTCCATCAGCGATGGGATTCTCCTGCACGAAGGGTTGGTAGAGACTTCGGTTCAAGAAGTCGGGACTCATGCCAATGCCAGTGTCGCTGACCATAAAATGAGCGCGTCGCTTGGTGGAATTCTTGGGATCTAACAAGACTTTCAAGGACACCTCAACGAATCCTTGGTGAGTATATTTCAAAGCGTTGGCAAAGAGATTCATGACGAGTCTCTTCCATGCGCCAGCACAGACCATCATGCACCAATCTGATCGACTCTCAATGTCAACATAGACAGCAACGGCATCGGAAACTTGCGGGAGAGGGACCTTGTTGCTAACAGCATTGATCGACGGCGAGTCCGGGGTAAGATTGGGTTTGGCGACTTGGTCGACGATGGTGCTCTGTAGCTTTTCGAAAGTGGCCTTTCGGGAAGCCTGTCCAAAGTGTAGCCCTTCGACTACTGATAGGACAAGGTCACATAGGTATTCTTGACTCATCTCTCCGAAGGCATTTTGGTTACCCTCTTGCTTCTCAGCTTTAGAGAGGGGTTGTGCCTCGATCTTGACATCGGTAAGTTTGTTGACCCGTGAGAAATCCAGTACATGATTCAATGTGTCCAGTAGTGTGGAGGAACAGCTCTGAATCATTTCGACCAACTCGAGCTTGGAGTCATGTTCTGGATCTTGCAAGAGATCGACAGCGGCGTGGATTCCATGAAGCGGCGATCGGAGCTCATGACTGATCGAGGAAAGGAAGTCAGATTTAGCGCGGGCCAATTCGGTCATCTCGGTTCTTGCAATCTCGGTCATGAAGGTGTTGCCGAAGGCGGACAGACAAGTCATGTCCTGCTCTGCAAGTACTCGTGTAGGATCGCTGGTCCAGCCAAGCATACCTACGATGAAACTCTCCTGCATGGCGTCCCAGAGAGGGAGGAAAATCAAGGAACGAGCTTTGCGAATCAAAGATTGGAGTTCACCAGAAACTTGAACAGCGGCAGATGAGGTCTGGTGGGAGTAAGTCTGAGCAATGAAAGCACCTTCCTTCTCAAAGACGGGATTTCCTTGAGTGTCGGATACAAAGACGCAACCTCGGGGNAAGTTCCGGATGAGATAGTGGAGTGAAGTGTCATGAATGATCAGTGGCTGCTGCAGAGTGCCAAGATTGCAGCCACCAGGTACGACGGAGCTTCCAAGAACCTCGCAAACAGATGATGCCGCACTCTTTTCAGAGGCACCTGCAGCTGACATCGGCTCCGACACAGACTGTGTGAAGCCGTTGAATGCATTGTGAGTAGACTCATGCAGGAAGACTAATCCCTCGACGTCGATGGCATCGCGGATGAGATGGGCGGCTCCCGAATAAATGTCCTTTATGGTCCGACAGCCCCCTAACGAATTGTGGTGCATGTCCAGCGCCGGCTCGCAGACTCCAGGGCTTGGTAAGGACACGGTATGCTCAGAGGGTGTTGGTGGGGTCGAGTTTCGAGTGAAAGCGTCATCAGAACTCTGCTTCTCAGAGTCTGGCAAAGTCGAGGACGACATGGCTTCTGATTGTTGCTGCTGGCCTTCGAAATAATCTGTGATGTTGTTCAAAGAGCCCTTTCGTGATGTGGCGCCGGTGCTGTCTGCTCTTGCTCTTCTGCTTTCGATGAACTCGGACAAGCCCCTCATCATTTGTACTCCTCGACCGGACTCTTGTCTGATGGCGTGGAGCTCCAACTGCTCGGTGATGCATGCTGCTATGTCGTTCAGTACGTCGATGGTACTGTCGTTGAAGAAGTCGTCGCGGATTTTGTTGTCCATGACACAATATGTTCCAAGTATGTGGCCACTAGCACTCTTGACGGGCACCTCAGCATAGGAGACCATGTGTGGGAAGCCGACGACATAGGGGCAGTGTTTGTACTGGTCGAGCTCTCTCAAGTCGCGGATCACGTAGCGAGTGGTATTGGCGACGACGCCATGAGTGTTTACAGCTCTGCGGCCGGTGCGGTCGGTGAAGATGGCGACGGACTGTGGGCAGATGCCGTATTCCTTGTTCAGACTCTGCACACCAAGGAAGAGGGCATCTTGGGGGTTGGCGAAGCTGGTCGAGTCGCGGATCGAGATGGACCGTGTCGCTTCGGCGAGGATGTATTGCGTGTTTGAGTCGATGAGCGAGACAAAGGCGCGGTCGCAGTTCATACGCAATGCGCCATTCTGCGTCACGGCCGTCAGAAGAGGGCTCTCGGCCAGCGACGCCGGCGCGGGTTCGCCATGTTCGGCATTGACGACGTCGGCAGTGATGTTGTTGGGAGCAAGATATCTANNGAGCGCTCACAGTCGTGTCAGGCTTCGATTCGAGGCTTCAGGCCACCACTACTCGTTGGTGTTGTCATACCTTGCCAACGCTCGCAGACGAAGCCACTCCTGCACCGAATCCGACGCTCCCTGCGTCGACATGACTCCGCTGTTTTTGCTCATTGCTCTCCGGTTGTGTGGGACGAGGCGTGTAGAGAAGCCTTCGCTGGACGTCTGTCTACATGGCCTTTGGCTCTGTCAAGCCTACACAAAGCGCCACTCGCGCCTTCCGAACTCGACCTTTCAAATAGACTCGTCTCGATCACATTTTCGGCAAGCACGCGGCCGGGATTGAAGGGTCCACATACAACGGCTTTTGAGCCGCAGGGTAATCAGAAGCGACGTCAACATGAAGGATTTCTTCTACTATGATCACTATTTAAGCAAACGGTGAAACACTGATTCTGGTCAAAGGCTACTAGTAGTCGACAGCTGTAACTATTTGGACGTGCATCGATATATCATCTTGTCCATTCACTGTCCCCAAGAACTCAGAAGGTGAACAGGTCGTTCTCGGCACCTGGAAACTCTTGCCAAATAGAGATGCTCGCACTAGCTGTGGGGAAACAGCACACTTCTGGGTCGAGACGGGGCGCTTTGCCATCTATACCAATATGCGCGGTCTATGCAAATTACTGTGTAGGAACTGAATAGCAAGATGCTTTGTAGCTCGGTAATATAGCATCCAAGACGAAAACCTTTCTTAATTGTCGAGTACAAGTACATTTCGTTATCGTTACATATTACATATTAAGTCTATATATTCATGGTCATGGCAGTTCTATCGTCTTCTTCGGTTTAACCCTTCTTTTACTTGTCGTCCTTCTCCTTATCCTCGTCGCTGCCGACTTGCGTCTTCTCGTCATCGCTCTTGTCACCTTCCTTCTTCTCATCCTTCTTGCTCAAGTAAGCTTGAGTAGCGCGCTTGCTGCGAGCTCTGAGTCTGTCGCCCTTCAACCACAGGGCAAAGACGACAGGGATGAACAAAACAGTCAAGAACCCGAGAAGCGAGTTACCCCAATCCAGGCCCAAAGTGTTGAACATCTGGCGGGCAAAGAGAGGGAAAGCGGCACCGAAGCACGAACGGAAGAAGTCGTTACCGGCAGAGATGGAGGCAAACTCTGCAGGGTATGCATCACCAAGGTAGTTGAGGACACCCGAGAAGGCACCAAAGGCTCCAATAGTGAAGAACGAGGTACCGATGATGGGAACGATCCAGTGAATCGAGGCCTTGGCGGTCCAACCAAACATGAACAGACAAATGGGCAGACAGATGCAGGTCGCCACTGCTGGCTCCAGTCTGATCTCAGGGCGAAGGCTCCCATCCTCTGAGAAACGAGGCTCGACGTAGTAGTAGTTGTAGTACCAGTAGGGCGGAATACAGATGACACCACCGACACAGATACCGAGATAGCACAAGCCAGTAGTTCCGAGGCCGAAACCGTAAACATCTTCGAATGCGAGGGGAATGGATTCCAGCCAGCAGTAGAGAACTGCGTAGATGAGGGCGATATAAAGGTTCAAAGCAAAGACAATCGGCTCTGTGAGGGTGAGAGAGAAAGGCTTGACGAGAGTCATCTTGACCATGTCGCCAGCGCCCATGTTCTCGCCCATGATCTCAGGCTCACACTTGATCTTGTCGTATGGCTTGTCATCCAAGTAACCATTCTCCTCCTGCCACTTGCGGAGACGAGCAGTGCGACGGTAGAGAATATTGTTTGCAGAAGTCTCGGGAACTGCGCAAGAGTTAGTGTCGGTGCACAAAGCGCGTGGAGGCATGCAAAATAGCTACTTACAGAAGAAGATCAAGAAGACAAGACAAGCACCAGAGATCCAGATAAGGATCCAGATAGGCCAAGTCCAGCCTTCATATTGAGCTGCCCAGTTACCAGCAACAGGTCCAAGCGAAGGTCCCATAATGTTGGCAATACCGAAAATGGACAGAGCGTACGCGCGCTTGGCGGGAGGGAAAATGTCCGCTAACGAGGCACCTCCAGTAGCGAGTACAGGGGAGCCGAAGAAACCAGTAAGGAAACGGAAGGCCAGCAGCATGCCAATATTCTTTGCATACACGACGCCGAAGTTGAAGAAGACGAAGACAGCCAGGGTACCAATGTAAATCGGATTTCTGCCGATCTGAGGAATTTCAGACAGAGGCGACCAGATCATGGGACCAATACCGTATCCCAAAACGTAAAGGGTAAGACCGATGGTGATGACTTCTGTTGACACGCCAAAGACTTGAGTCATGAAGGGAAGACCAGAAGTGTAGATGGCAGATCCAATGTAGACGGAAGTAGTCAGGAAACAGATGTTGAAGGTCACAAAGCACTTCTTGAAAGTAGACCAGTTTTGCGGGTTCTGCGACAGGTCAGCTCATGTACACATTCAGTGAACTTTAACACGACGTACATCAGGGTCGTTTTCTCTAAACTCGATCAGCTTGTATTTTCCCTTGGCGCCATTCTTCTCCTCGTCGTCTGAAGATTCTTCCTGCTTGACTTCTCCTTGATTGAAATACTCCTCACGGAGTTCTTCGTTGTAAGTATCTTCGTAGGGAAAGAGTCTTCCGCCAGAAATGTTACGCATGAGAAACCCGAAGGTCGTATCGACAAAAGGGCAGGCATATTTGGTAAGGATGCCAGGCAGAACCTGGTATGGCAGATCGAGAGATAGCAAGTGGTGTGAATAGATTAGAATACCAGGACGGCCTACCTATATACCAGGTGAGGTGTCGGACGAGAACACGATTTTGGTGTGTGTCGGAAGAAATGATGATATCACCATCCATAAAAACATCATGCGCAGCCTATCAAATCAATGGATAGCCGCGGAGGCCCACGCGATGGGGAAAATGGAAGCTAGAAGGCCCAGTCGAACGTGGAAACTGAAGCCGCGCGGATCGATGAGATTTTGGTGACAAAAGGTGTAGAAAGGGTGGGTTTTGGTGTTCGGAAGAGAGCGAGGGCCGTTCCCGGGTCGCTGAGGCCCATCGGGGGCTCAAACTTTATCGTGACGATCTAATATGACGTACCTCGGCAGATACGGAGCAAGCTACCCGGTCAGGGCCCTTTTCAAAATCCGACAAACCTTGATGAATGTGGCTTGAATCTACGTGCTTTGAGACCTGTGTTGAGAATGACGCTCATGTCGCAGCATCTTGGGTGAGACGGATGTGGGATGGAGTTCGAAGAAGCGAGGGAGACACGTCCAGACTCGGCCGACAGTCACTCATGTGACGACCAACACTACAACACGTCCACGCATTTGCATGGTATTCCTGAGGATACGACAAGCACTCAGTGAGATTCTGACGCAAGCCTTTACTCTCTTATACAGGGCTTATAGAGCTGCGTTTCGTTTGCGCCTTAGTAATATCGAGCCCCCACGATTTGAGTAGTTTGAATTTTGTGGCTTGCAAGCCATCTCAGGCCCTGCGTAGGCATGGCTTCTACTTTATCTTAACCATCGATGCAGTGTTGAGGCTGCGTAGTTTTCATCAGGGCTACCCTCTTCCATACCTATCGAATACCTTGAAACAACGGAGGGTTAACGAACAATTGCTTCTTCCATGGACCACATCCCGGATTCCCGGTTAGACATGGACACTTCTTACCACAACCTTGAAGAACAGTAACCTGTTTCGAGGATATGTAGCATTGAAAACAAGATGGAACTATAGCAATGTAGTGCTTTTGCAAGCGTGTCATCCGCCAACCGGGGGTAGTTGAGTTAGTCAGACTGCAATGGTGAATAAGCAATTTGTCACGCAATCATGATGGACGGTCGAACAATCCCAAGCGATGATCCAAGAACATAGCAGACAACGTCGATTCGTATCCAATCTCCGCAAACCACTCTGCCATACAAGTTAGAGCACTTGAGCAACGTTTCCAAGCATCTATATCGATACGCAAACCCTCATCGTTGATGTATCATGGAAGCAATCTAGAGACAGGGTGCTCCCATAGTCATCATTAACTTGGTATGATCCGGCCCAATCTCGGCGTCTCGCCGATCACGCGCACCTACCCAATACACTTTCCATCCTGCGGAAAGCACGGCAATATCAAGATAAAAGGTCGTTATATAATAGACACCGTATGCATTCCCGAGCATTCTTGATCTGTATTCTCCCACTTCTTCAACAAGCCAATCGAAGTGATCATCAATCAGCAACATGGCAAACGCTGCCTGGACACCCGAAGCTTCTGAAAAGTCCACTCGAGCAACGGGATATTGATCTTTGGTCATCCTTTTCGCATATACCCTCTCTGCGTGGGTTTACTACCTGGGTTTCTATGTCAATTCGTCCGATTTATGGTTGGTCCAGCAGCCTCTTTTCCCGTGTTGTATGTTGGCGTGGTTCATACCAGATATCGCGGCGATAAAACTTCTCGGGAGACCTCATCCCGTGGCAGAACGAATTCTGCTCAATCTGGTGGGGCCATGGAGCTTGGGATGCCTGCTGCAATATGTTCTGCATAGAAGATGTCGGTTCAATTGAGGGGACGGGACCTCTCATCACGTACGACGAAACCCCTGGCGGAAAAGCAGCCCGCCAACGGAAAAACACAGCGCCGTCGGATATACAATAGCTACCCCGCACACGTCACATCAACAAAACACCCCTCGGAACCCTCTACATTCTCTAAACCACAAACCTCTGCTCTACACTCATGCCGCCGATACGTCCTCCCTTCTCATCCCTTCCTCTCGACCCCAATGGCCCCCACGGTAATGCCTGGGGCCTCTGGGGCACCTCCGACCAACTCGGCATGCTCAACCTCCTCACCCCGTCCAACACCACCTCGGCCGCAGAAGAAATCGTCCACGGCACACGCATCTCTGTCGACTGGCCGCTGAACAAAATGTCTCCACCGTGTTTCAACCGCGTCGCTTTTGGCCACAACATCATCAACAAAGCTCCCCGGAGTGTCAACGACGATACCGTGACCTTCAACACACAAAGCAGTTCGCAGTGGGACGGGTTCAGACATTATGGTTACCAGAAAGAGAAGAGATACTACAACGACTGCACCAATGAGGATGTGCTTGGGTCGGAGAAGAATGGCATTCATGTGTGGGTTGAGAATGGGGGTGTGGTGGGCAGAGGCGTGTTGCTTGACTACAAGGCTTGGGCGGAGGAAAAGGGGATTTGGAGTGTGGACGCTTGTTTCCAGACTACACCCATCACGGTCGATGTCTTGGAAGAGGTTGCACAAACCCAGGGTGTGCAGTTCAAGGAGNGGGATATTTTGTTCATCCGGACTGGCTGGACAAACGCCTATGAAGAGCTGTCGAAGGAAGCTCGAACAAAGCTGTCGGAAACATATCCGCCTCCTGCCATTGGCGTCGAGTCATCAGAAAAGACAGTCCGCTGGATGTGGGAGAAAGGATTTGCCGCTGTCGCAGGAGATCAACCAAGTTTTGAGGCCTGGCCGTGCCAGAATACAGAGTACCTCTTGCACGAATGGTTGCTTGCTGGTTGGGGCCTGCCCATCGGTGAGATCTTCGACTTGGACAGACTGGCGAAAGAGTGCAAGGACAAGAACAAGTGGTCTTTCTTCTTCAGCAGTATGCCCATTCACGTCCCTGGAGGTGTCGCCAGTCCGCCAAATGGTGTTGCTATCTTGTAGACATGATCTTCTGAACACAGATCCTTGCAATCGCGCGTGTACAGCAGAACATACAATCAGAAATCACCCCACCATTTGTTCCTTGTTTTCTCCATCGCGAACTCAGCAGGAGAGGATTCCTCCAGGAAACGAACCAGTGTGTCCTGCCATTCCGCTCTGACCAGGTTTCCAAACCAGTTGGATGTATATTCCGAGTAGTGTGGATACCATCCTGCAAACTCCCAGTCAATGGTGGCGACCATCCTATCGCCACGGACAAGAATATTGCAGGGATTGAGATCACCATGGGTGAAAACGGGACTAGGCCATCGCAGTGTGCATGTCTTGATATCAAGACCGACTTGGCCGCCGAAGAAACGCACTCAAGCCTGTTCGCTAATGGTGGCAGTGTTCAACCGTTCTATCTGATATGCTTTCACATCATCTTGGCGTGACTTGCTCCAACTACCATTGGTCATTCCTTCGGCCATCCATCATCAATGTGTTCCTTGGCAGGAACTGATTGCACCTTGATATGCACTCAGCGTTTTGTGTCTGTGGACTGCTCAGAGTCAACTGTTCGGACTCGTGTTTCTTATCGTGACGTCCAAAACGGCGCCATCACGATGAGTCCGAGAGCACCTCGATAGCATCAAGACCTAGGTACAGCTTCATCATATATAGAAGGTAAGTCTGGCTCTAGATGTAACCATACATACCATCCCACTTATCTTTTGTTGTCATGTTCTCTCTTCTGTTGGCTTGCGCTTCAATTCCTGTTGCTCTCGCAGCACCAGCCAAGACTTCCAACATCACTTCAACCCAGGACTCCTTCGACTATGTCATTGTTGGTGGTGGCCTTGCTGGTCTGACTGTCGCAAGCCGTCTCTCAGNNGAAAACCCTTCTACCAGGGTTCTTGTCATCGAAGGCGGGCAAGACAATCACAATGATTCTCGAGTCTACGACGTGCGCACCTACGGACAAGCATTTGAGTCCAACCTCGATTACAACATGACTTCAACACCCATCTAATGGAGAAATGGATCAAAGCTTCCCATGGTCGCCGGCAAGACTCTCGGTGGGTCTGGCAGCATCAATGGTGCAAGCTGGACAAAAGAACCAAAGACTCGATACGACCTCCTTCCACTACTCACCGGTGATATGTCGTGGGGATGGGATGGTTTGAACCAGTATATGCTTGGCGCTGAACATTTCCACACTCCTTCGAACTACTTGAAGTCTAAAGGAGCTAATCACGATGGCGACAAGCACGGCTACAGCGGTCCCGTTCAGGTCTCTTTCGCTCAGGGCATGTTTGGCAGTATCCAACAACCCGCCCTCAATGCTTCTCAGCAAATTTGGGGTCTCGGACATGTCGATGATGCTGTCTCCGGAATTGTGAATGGTGTCACGACTATATCCAACATGGTCCAGCCTGATCAAAGTCAGAACAGATCTTCGCCGTACACTGCATACATCCTTGGCGAGCCAGAAGAACGCNAAAACCTCGTCATTCTGACCGGTCATCGTGCCGTTGAGATCCGCTGGAGCAATACTTGCACGGACGCAGAGCCTGAGTGTGTTTTGTCGGCAGACGGTATTCACTACCAAGCTTTCCGCAACAGTGAGAGGCTTTTTGTCAAGGCAACTCGTGAAGTTCTTCTTGCTACTGGTTCCATGCAGAGCCCTCAACTCCTTGAACTTTCCGGTGTCGGCGATCCAGCAATCTTGAACAAGGCCAACGTTCCTGTGCAGAAGAGCCTCAAGGGCGTGGGCAAAAATCTCCAAGAGCAGACCAAGAACACAATCACCTATATACCCAAGTCAGAAGACCTCGAAGGCTCAGGACCCTCATCAGCCATTGCAATTCCCAATGTCCATTAACTCCTCGGCAACACGTCTTCTGCTGTCTATGCTGAGACTCTTGCCAGCTTAGCCTCATACGCAGCTGATCTCGAAGCCCAAGGTCTCATCGTCAACGCCACTGCCACGCACGAAATTCTCAAATACCAAGTCGCAAATCTGTTCAATCAGAGCGAAGCCGCGGCCGAAATCTTCTTCACCTTGGCCTCGAAGACAGACTCTGCTCCTGCGACCGTGGGCGCCGATCTCTGGAACCTAGTTNCCCTGGCTAGAGGCACAGTCCACATCTCCAGCAACAACTCTTTCGACTTGCCCACTGTTGAGCCCTCGTACTTCAACCACCCCTTAGACCTGCGATTGCAGACTCTGGCAACCAAGCAAGCCGCCCAAGTTTACTCTACCGCTCCTTTGGCAGATATGGTCGAACGACGTGTCTTTCCAGCTTCCGAGTTAGAATCCTACGAAGCTTGGGAAGCCTTTGTCAAAGACACGTTTATTTCTGCATGGCACCCCATTACTACATTGAGTATGATGAAGGCGGAGATGGGTGGAGTGGTGGACAACAGGTTGAAGGTGTATGGGTTGGCGAACGTGAGGGCTGTGGATGCTAGCGTGTTGCCTGTGCAGTTGTCTGCACATTTGAGCTCTAGTCTTTACGGAGTTGCGGAGAAGGCTGCTGTAATGATCGAAGAGGATCAGAATTGATGATTGTGATGGCTAATGACAAAGATAGAATAGATACATTATAGACGTGGGATCGATGAGAGGGCAATGGAATGGGTTTTCATATCCAGTCATTGACGTTGTGTTCGAGTACGTAATACGACAACCTGCTGTACCTGTCGGGGCTATACATGGTTTCTCTTCGGAAAAAAAGAGCCCACAATACGCACTCTTCAACGGCACAACCACTCGTGAACGACGAGGCAGCATGCGCTGGTTGCTAGTCATGCGGATGTTTCGGAATCCGACCTTTATACTACTGTGCAAGTACGCGGGATTGGTATTGTGTCAGCAGACGCCAATTACTTCTTCAATAAACTCATTCCTTGGTCAGATCTAGGAGGCGCGCGACATCATGCAAATGTAACCTCGTCCGTCACCTTCGGTCTCTAACAGTACATGACTTGCGGTCTTGGCTATCACATCGCCCACTTGAGAAGAGGACAACGTACAGAGGTGACTTTCTGGAGGAAACATATTCCGCTGACAAAAAGGCTGCGACGCTGGCATTGCTTCTGAGATCATGGTGGATGATATGACTCTCTTTCTGAACCGGCGACGGCTCTTTAGAGACACATCGGCGCTTGTTGAATGCGAAACCATTAAGCGCCTGAGCATAGACACATAGAAATAACTGCATGTGGGAAGCCAACACTTCTTGAACAGACCAACTGGAGCAGAGGGCTCTGGTGTCGTTGATTCATTGGTCGTATTGATCCATAACTTGGGGCTGTCGCGCCTGCTTGCGCAAGCGTCGGTTGGTCAAGGATGCTTGCAGCGATGAACAAGATGGTACCAAGATCGTGTATCGCGTGTCAGAGAAGACTTGATCGGAGAAAAAGTAGCGAAACAACATATCAAGCGTTCCACATCTTAAGCTCTTCTTTCAAAGGCACAATGACCTGATCAACGACCGTCTGCCTAAATTCATTATCTTGAAGGTCAACGTTGGTACTTGCGAAACAGCCGATGCAGAACGAGACGGCCTTGTAGAAGCCTATTGGCATTTCTTCCTTGTCTTGCTGGATCCATCGTCGCACAGTCTGTAGATCTGAGAAGCTCTGGTTTGGCCCCGAATCAGCTGACATGCGTCGCGAGTCGATGGGCTCTCGAAAGAATATCTCGAGCAGCATGATACCGAGATTGAGGAATGAGCAGTTGTCGTCTGCATCGTCAGCTCCCGCGGTTGCTTGAGCCGAGGCTTGTTGCTGATGACAGCTTGAGTAGGTCTGTCGAATGTATGGTTTGTCAAAGTCGATGGATTTGGTCGTGGTCTTGTTGATGAACAATACATTGTTTGCGCGCCATGAACCACATAACCAGGGGGTAGCTCGCAGTTGGAGGAATGAAGATGCGACAGTCAAGCCGAGAAGATATGCCTGCTTACTACTGAACGGTCTCGATCGCACAGAAGCGGAAGAGGCTGTTAGAACTTCTTCAAGGCTGGTCGTTGAACCGTTCCGATCATGCTGTCCTGGAATATTGTGTTGAGGTGTTGGATAGCCTCCAAGCAACCTTTGGTTGTGATCAAGACAAAGAGCGCGGTGAGGTTGACCTTGTGGAAATGCCACAGACGTACAAAGGCAACGGATCAACGGCAGTGTTGAGGGGTCAAACGAGAGTGCAGGAGTCGATGCGGTAAAGTTGACTTTGCCTGACGGTTTTTGTGATATCTTCGGATCTCCTGTAAGGACATAGACTTCCAGACAATGCCAACGATCGAGTAGCCTGCCATCCAAGAAGGCAATGGAAAACAGAACGCGCTCTCCGGTAGCTTCCTCGGGCATGCCAGACTTGTAGATGCGAGATTCGAGCTGCAAATCAATGACGTGGTTTGAGTGAGCCGAGCATGCCCACACTCCACCAAGGCATCGGTGCAGTCTCTCGGCGCATTCGCGAACGTGATGAATGGGTGTTGTGAACGTGGTCTTGGGCGCAGTGGATCGCAGGCCTTCCAGACGTCTGCTACTATCGGTGAAACGATAGAGCGCATTATTGTATCGACCCAGCTCTTCAAGTAAAGGTTGTATCTGTCCACTCCTGAAGCCAAACTTCAGCTTCTTCTTAAACTCGTAGACTCTGGAACGTGGTGCAGCCTGGAGTTGACTGTACTTGGGTGGATGCGCAAGCAGAAGGTGTTCGAGCTGAGGGCCGGTGNNATCTATGGGGTCGATTAGCTGGAGACACAGAGAGCGACCCGCCTGACGCACGTTTCCCTGCCTCTGGATGTCTAAGAGGGACGCTATCTTTGCCATAATGTCCTGCATTTGCTTCATGACATCAAAATACACCGAGTAGACACTNTCAAGCCGCTTCCTCAGCTTGTCTTCGAGTGCGGGATTCTTCCAGTGTGAGCCATAACCCTGATCGATCATGTTGCGCAGCTCGTGTTGCGGTACGACATCGACAAGAAGCTCCTCGAGGGCGTTGTTGTACAGTCCATACTCGGTTGTAAGCTTTGTCCGGTACTGCGCCAGCTCCTGACGATAGACAACTAGCTTCAACACTCGAAAAGGCCGAAGACCGTCCTCGTAGTGCTCAATGGCCGAGATGAAGAGCGGGATCACAGCAAGCACAAGACCGGCGACCTCAATGCCAGACATGACTGCTCACAGGTTGAATGTAGAGCTGAACATGAATCTGGAGTGCGTATCGAGTGCCCGACTGCTGACCGCCCGGGCAAGGCTGAGGAGGATCAAATTAGGCCAATCAAACCTGCAGGTCGCCTATGTGGCTGGAGTGCAGCGGCACTGCAATCTATCTGGTTGGGGCAAGAGGGATGACACATGATCTTTCGCAGACAACCTCGAGTTCGAGGCCTCTCAGACTGTGCTATAGACCACATCGCAACAGTTTCGACGGCTTTGTGGACGCATACCAAGCTTATCCGGGCAAGGACGTCCCAACGCCATGGCGACTCTCAGAGCAGTGACCGAGTCGTGCATGCGCGGCTTTGCTGTCCTCTGCCATGCGATAGAACAAGATGGCTCCTTGGATAAAACTTCTTGCGACGACGTGCGAGAAGAGTTTGGCAGGTTCAGGATCTGGACAGGAAACCTCGGAGCTTTGGCCAAGGGTCATAGCGCTCTCGACTGGCGACTGCGTGACGCCGACGTGATGCGCTCGACTGTTCTTTCGCTCCTTGAAGAGCTGCAGAACACGCTTGAGCTCGGTATGTGAGCATTTGTTGCATCTCCATCGACTTCGTCATCTCATCAAGTGACAGTATCTAATATCGTTCGCGATGGCTCTTCCGAAGTCTTCTTGGGAGCCGACACGGTCGACGACGATGACCTCCCTGATGACATCTCACTTCCTTCAGATGATGAATTAGACTCCATCAGCCAGCCCCCAGATGGGTTACCGCATCTCACACACAGGATACAAGACCTGGTCAAGGATTTGTACAAGTTATCCTTCCGAATTCGAAACTCGACCTCGAAGCCAGCCAGAGCAATCCGCTACAAAGAGATCGACGCGTCCTCTGGCCTCGACATATTCGGTGATTGTTTCGCTACCTTGGACAGACATCATATATTCGAGCTGTTTAGAAGCCTTCGTTCAAGCGACTCACCCTTGACTGAACATGATGAAGTCCTTATCCGACGCTTTGCCAAGTCTAACACAGAACGCCGCAGACAGTTCCGATATTGGCAAAAGCACGCTCAGAAGCTCACCATAACTGAAGTTGCCGAACCTGTCGTCATCGATGCCATTCCCTTGGAGTCTCAACAAGAACCTGTGAGGGCGCACACCCCGCTCAAGTCTGTCACCAACACACAAGCGTCTCAAAGTCATCATGGGAAGACGGTATTCACGACAACAGAAGCGACTTTCTTCGACCCGAAGCTGGACTTGACCTCGCTCGAAACGCAATCCGTCATCTCCTCCGCTACTACGGCTCGTGACCTCGAAGGAAAACCCGCTAACTTGCCGCCTCCGCCACTCGCCGCTATAAACGGCCAAGATTTTGTTTGCCCATATTGTTTCGTGCTTTGTCCTTCATCTCATGGGCAGGGTCGTGCTTGGAGGTCGGTGATCTCTAAAGATATCACGCTTATCGCTAATAACGGATTAGGAAACACATACTCCAGGATCTTCAGCCATACTCGTGTACCCAAATCAATTGTTCCTCGGCTGATCGGCTGTATGGCTCTCGGCGCGAGTGGTTAGAGCACGAAGAGTCTCAGCACAGGAGAGTATGGGTATGCCGATTCCATCCTTCCACTCATTTCTCCGATCAAAATGCTTTCGAGCAACACTTGCGCCAGAAAGGTCACGGAAACGTCACAGATACGCAGATCAAGGATTTTGCCAGCATCGCGCAGTCGACTGAGGATGACACGCGCCAAAAATGCCCAATATGCTTGGAAGATACCGCAAGCATTTCCCAGTTTCCCGCCCATCTTGCCCATCACTTGGAGCGCATTGCCACTTTCTCGATACCACGTGGACTTGATGACGAGGATGCAACAAGCCTTGCCAGCTCCAGAGCAGTTCCTCGGAGCATGAGCGGTCGAACGTCTGTCAGCTCAAGCTTGTCCATCTTCTCGTTCCAAGATTTGACAGAGGGTGCTGACCTCGAGCTCGATGAACAAAATCTACTCAAGAATGCTATTGTACAATGCTTTGATGATATCGTTGAATGGAATCAAGATGAAGATCAACTTTTGGAGCAGCCCACAAGCGACCTTGATTCTGCTGTGGTATATGCCTTTCAGGAAAGTCTAGAATATACGTCGTGGTGTCTTGGGACCTCGCCAGGAGGATTGATGTGTCGTGCTGAGACTCATGCCCGGAAGGCAAGTTAACAGACTCGGCTGTTCAATAATGCGCGCACCTGACTAACCAATTCCAGACGGTTTTCTCATCCGCTATAATCAAGGACCTCACATCGAGGTTCTCTTCTGACACTCCCGTCATTCAAGCCTTCCTGCCCAACGGATACAAAGCTGATTTCAGCTTTAAACATATCATCGCTGACCTGACCAAACAGCTCCTACGCCAGACACGACCTGAAGCCATACCGAACCAGATTGTGGAGTTTTACCATCATAAGAAGGAATCCACTTCTAGCAAAGGGTACACTGAGAATATTTTGGTGGATCTTCTCTTCAAGATGATGTATGTGACACCTAGAGTATTTCTGGTTATCAACGACTCTACAGAGAACTCTGAGGTGTTGCAGTCGCTTTTAAAAACCTCTCCTGGGTAGAGAATCTGAGCTTGCTCATCACTTCTTCACACCCCTTAATCATATCTTTGAATGAACAGGTCACGGTGGATATCGATGCACTGTACTTAGTTGACCATCGCAGGCGAAGTCTCAGTCGAGCTATGAACTCGAGGATAGCCGAGATCGAGAGGAACAACCCAGATGACAATCAACGACAGTCACAACTGATCGACGAAGCATTCGAGAGAATCATGAGTCACACCACAAAGGACAGTGCATACGAGGACCTAGCTATGGCTGCATATGATGTTGTTAGACATGCTATCGGGCAACTCAAGGACTTTGAGTTCATGATAGCGGTTCGTCATGTTCTTGGTTGCCGCCGCCCTCACCCAATAACTTCTCCGACCATCACCGATGTGATAGAAGCTACCAGAGGGTTATTGGTCGTACAGCAGACATCCGTTGTCAGTGTCTTCCATCCTTCTTTGTCTGGCTACTTTGAAAGAACGCACGCTCGCTGGTTCCCAACGGGACATGCCAATATGACTCTGGCATGCCTGACAGTTATCATGTCAGAGGCTGTCCCTACGGACACAGGCGGGACTGGAAACCGGGCTACTGGCTCCTTGTTCGGATATGCGGCTTGCACGTGGGGTCAACATCTTCGTACCTGTTCCCCCAGTCGAGCTTTGGAAGACATGGCTATGCAATATCTCGAGGACGAAGAGAGATTCCAGTTAGGCACTATGACCGCTTTCGTTTTGCAGCCAGAAGGTATGGCCTACGGGTTTGACATCAGCAACGGCCTCGCACCAGTACATGTTTGCTCCATCTTTGGCCTCACCAATCTACTCAAACGCCTGCCTCGTACAGAGTTCAGCAGAGCTTCAGTCACTGGCCGAACACCGCTTGCTTATGCGTGCAGGATGGGTCATGTTGACACAGTAGAATTTCTGTTGAATTCGGGCGCCGATTCGGCCCTGGATTTCGGTGCCCAGTTTACTGTCACTCACAAGGCCGGGTTCACCGTTCTCCATGAGGCCATCAAGTCGAGGCGTTTGCCTATAGTGGAAACACTATTGCGCTCACCCCTGGTAAAACTTGAACCACTTACCCTTGCGGGAGATGAGGTCGTCTCGATTCTGCTATCCCTCATCCAGCTCGAATCAATCGATATCCTCAGACTGGCAATCGCCCGCGGTGATCTTCGCTTCGGCCGCTGTGACCACGATGGAAGAACTCCGTTGTGGTTATTACTCAGTAAATCATATGCTCAGCGCTGCCCCGAGTTTCAACTCAGTGCTACTCAGCTCCTTCTGCAACAACCGGACTGCGACATCAATGCAGTCGATCTTGGAGGTCGAACATACCTCATGCGATTCCTTAGTGCACGCATCTTCAGTCCTGAATTGCTGCGCTTGCTACTTGACAGTGGGGCTGATGTGAATCGAACGGATGAGGAAGGAGAAAGTGCGATCTTCCACGCTATTACTCTACGATACAGCCTTCAGATGACCTCGATATTGGTCGACTACGGGGCAGATCTTACTGTCAAAAATCAGTATGGTCAAGGTCTGCTGCACAGGGTTGTGAAGGGCATGGACGACGTCCAAGACCTTCGATATCTTGATTTTCTCATCAAACATGCGCCTACACTCATCGACTCTCAGGACGATAGAGGCCGAACTCCCTTGCACTTGGCATTGGCTCTCGGTAAGACTGATTTAGCCAAAGAGCTTCTCAAGCGGGCAGCGAATGTTAAGATTTTGGACAAGTTTGGAAGAGCTCCATTCGATGTTGCTTGCCAGTATGGGCGTACCGCAATACTTACACTACTCGCGCCTATTGACATCTTGAAAGTCGGTCTGCATATTGTACCAGAACAGTCAGATGTGATCTCTGAAGCACGTCAATCTGCTCCCGTGCGCATACATCACCCCAGTCACACCTCTATCTCAGATGCCCGAGAATTGCGTCGAGCCCAAAGTGATCAAGACCTTTACACCTCCCAGGTCGAGCCTGTCCAGCTGATTGGACTTCGGAACAGAGAGCGATCCCAGCAAGCCACAAATCTGCAGAAGGATAGCCATAACGAAAACACTACCCCTGGCGAGGTAATTCTCGAAACGCAGCTGGAAAAACTACCCGGGTGGTCCCTTGCCTTCTTGGGTAAGTGCAATATCATGATCTTAGGTCGTGAACTGATACGTCATACAGGGCGATTCGACAAACTCCTGGACACACTACAAAAGAATGAATGCCCTGATCCTCTCGAAAATGCCCCGATGACGGCAACACAGCTTTGCACACAGTCATCAAATCGGTTTCAACATTACCCTCGCATATAACAGCGTTGAGAGGTAGGGCTTTTGAAGCGCTTTTGTCCAAGGTCAAACCCAACTGCAGCCCTCAGAATGAGTACCTAGAAACGCCTTTGCACAAAGCCATTGCGCTTCGTAAGCCCGAGATAGCAGTGATGCTCATCAGGGCTGGTGCTGCCCTTACCTTGCGCGACAATCTGGACAGGACACCTCTGGACATTGCAAAGAGATGGATGCCGTCCAGATTGTGACTGCAATTCAAGAGGCCCTTTCCGGAACGGTCGAGGAACAACCACAAACGCACGAGACGTACGAGAAGATCATCAACCAATCGATCCTGGGTTCCCACATGAAGATCTCGCGATGGCTGCTCTCGAGATTGCTAGCTATGCGATGCGTCCCTTGACCACAACAGAGTTTGAGCATGTTCTCAGAGATTTTGGCCATAGACTAAACCCAGGGTCTGAACCAAGCATAAGAGTCGTCGATGCAATCGTGAGCACCGAGAACTTGCTTACTATACTGCAAAACTACGTTGTTTTCACCTGGGACTCCGTGTCTGCTTATTTCGAGAAGACGCGTGATCGATGGTTTCCATCCGGGCAAGCTTACATGGCCTTCGCCTGTCTGAGGGTGCTTGTGTCCCAGGACATACCCGAGAGTCCAGACCCAGATTGGGCGTCAAGATCCTTGTACAAGTATGCGGCATGTGAGTGGGGCAAACATCTCCGCGCGTACTCGCCTAAGCTTGCTTCCGTGGAAGACTTGGCTCTTCAATATCTTACAGACGTCAGACGCCTTAAGATAGGTAACGAAACTGCATTTCTCGAACAGGCCTATGGCTTCGAGGTGTATGGCTCCGACCTTGAACACGGCTTGGGGCTTTGCATGTCTGTTCTATTCTCGGTCTCACAAACAGCATTCGCCGCTTAGTGTTCAACTCGGTCGATTCGAAATCCGAGATCAACACTCGAACGAACAAGCAGAAAACGACGCCGCTTATATACGCCGCGTCAATGGGTCATCTTGACACAGTCGAACTTCTTTGGAGCTTGGAGCGGACCCTCATTTGACCAACTCTGAAGGCCACACCGCCTTGTTTGAGGCGCTCATCCATAAGAGTCACGAGGTGGTCATACATTTCTTGGAGTCTCTTACTATCAGACCTGATACCGTTATTACAAAACATACTAGGCGTACTGCACTTCTGCATTTCGAGAACTTCTCGTCCCTTGCATCCATTCGCGCTCTTCTGCAACGCCAAGATATCGATATCAACGAGTGCGATGAGCACAGCCAAACAATGCTTTCGCATGTTCTTGTGGTCTACGCAAACCACGCACTAGAGCCTAGGGTCGAGGTCGCAAAGCTGGTTCTGGACAAACCTGGCTTTGAAATTGCAGCAATCGATGACACTGGTAGAAGTTATGTTCAGCAGCTTCTCGAGAGTGCCAATTTCGATGAGCAGTTACTTCAGCTCCTGCTGGATAAGAAAATCGACATCGAGCATAGAGATTATGCAGGAGAGACCGCAATCTTTTATGCCATTTGTCACCAGCCATCAACACGAGCAGCTCATATTCTCCTAGAAAACGGTGCGAAGATTGAGACAAAGAATTATTCGGGCGACGGATTGATGCACTGTGTGGTAAAGCACTATTCAGAATCTCGCGCACTCCTTCCTGTCAGGACCTTGTTGAGTCTGGACCGAGATCTCATTGATTCTCAAGACAAGCAAGGTCGGACGGCCTTGCATAAAGCGCTGTGTCTTGGTGCGGTCAAATTGGTGTGGGACATACTTGAGTTCAAGCCGAAGGTTGATATCCTGGATAGTTTTGGTAGAAGCCCACTCGAGGTTGCTTGGCAGTATGGTTGCGTAACATACGATGATCACGCAACCACTTTTCGAACAGCATTCGACAGGTCGGATGACCTTTTGTCGGCTCTTGCAGGAACAAACCCGACGTTTGGAAAGCGTCTGCCTGGTTGGTCGCTGGCATATCTTCGTAAGTCACAATGCTCTACCGGCAACCACGATCATGTACTAAGATTCAACAGGTCGATTCGACGAACTTCATAACAGAACGATAGAAGGCAATCTGGACATGCTCGAGCCGAGTCCAGATGATGGTAAGACAGCACTTCATTGGTTGATGAGGTCGATACCAGGTTCCCTGGACCTGCAGAAACGAATTCTCAAACTCTTCTTCACAACGAGCGGCGAACTCAGCCCAAGAGACTACGACGGTTGGACGCCTTTGCACATAACAGTGTTTGAAAACAGTGTCGAGTTGGCAGAATTGCTGATACAGAACGGCGCCAATCCCCATGCACAGGACCACTCTGGCAAAACACCGCTGCAGCTCGCGAACGATCTAGATCGCACTGAGATCGTTGCTGCTATCGAGATTGCGCTCGTCAAACACACTGGAGATCGGCCACAGATTGTCATCGACCCTATGAACCATGAATCGCAGTCTCACGAGTCGATGTCGCCTATCTCTCTGCAGAGCCCGGATATTCATGTTCAAGTATCCAGTACCAACGGAGAATTGCTCAGAGATGAGATTGTCGACTGGCTTGATGGGTATGCCTATCTGGAGGCACCAAACGTGTCTTCGACTCTATTGAATACCGGAGAGCACCAAAGGCTCCTGGGCTGCACAAACTACACATCATGGTGCACCGGCTCTTCTCCTCGACGCATAGTATGCTGTGGGCTCCATCATACTCGATTGGTAAGTTGTGATTCTGTCAACGTCAAAAGATGCGGCGGAGATTAACTTTACTGGGCCAGACCTCATTCATCTCTGCCATCTACCACAATCTCGTTCAGAACTTGTCAGGTGTCCCTATCCTGTCGTGTTTTGTTTCTAGAAAGACCCTCAACATTAGCAGACATGAAGAAGCTGGGAACATTCTTGCCAATCTGCTTGGTCAACTGGTGACTTACGGATCCGCGGAAACAATTCCTGCTGAGCTAATCGAGCTTTACAACAGTCACAAAGCCTCTGGAACCAGACTACCCGATTCAGCGATTGTTCGCCTACTGCGCGACCTAATGCAGTCATACCCAAAGATCTTTCTGGTCATGGATGCACACTGGTGGAACGATGAGATGATAAAGTGTGGCGCAGTGTTACCGATCAATGTCCGGAAAATCTCAGCATCTTGGTCTCGACAACAGATTATCAGCAACCAACACCCGGAGTCCATTGCGATCACTGTGGAAATCTTACCACCAAACACTGGCACTGCGTTGTCTGTAACGATGGAGGCTTTGACATATGCTCCGTTTGCAAGTCTCGTGGTCTGACCTGCCTAGACGCTTTGCATAATCTGGCTCACTTTGATGCATCCAAGGATCAAGTCATAGTTGATGTCGTTAGTCGGCGCCTTATCTGAACTCACTCTACTTGATCAACACCTGGAAGCAAACAGTTGGATCCTATCGGGGTCGAGTCATCTGGTGAGTTGATGTATCGATAGAATCTACATACTCGATCTCAATCTAGTGTTTTGGCGACAGAGCAACAGACACTGTCGAATTCGACCCAGCGCCACTTCCACTGCTTCCAGTGCTGCTGCTTCCGCCATTCTTCTTCTGCACCACAGCCTGCACGACTTGGCCAGCCTCGTTGAAGACAATATCCACCAAGGCATTCAACGGCGAGTATTTGTACTCCTTNTGCGTCAATCCCTGTCCAACACTTTTGCTCGTTCCAGTCTGCGTCATGTTTCGTGTGAAATCGCCAACAATGCTGCTCACACCTCCCACTTCCTGCACAATGTTTCCAAGATTGTCGACGACAAAGTTGAGAGTCTTGCCGCCTTGGGTGATGGAACCGAGGAGTCCATCTACTGCGCCGACGACGTCGGAAACCACGTTACCGACGAGTTGGGTTGCATTGCCGATCGTGGAGATGAGGAGGGGATTGAGGTCCAGGGAGTCGAAGACACGGCCTACGATATCGACGAGGTGACCNTGGAAATTAGTAAGCAAGATAGTTTCCACAAGGGGCAAAGAAAATAACTCACCCAATCGAATGACCAATTCAACCTCTGCATCCACCTCTGCAATAGTGATATTCACCTTCTCCACGGCAACCTGTACGCCCGCATTCAATTGCACCAGGTTTGCGACTTTGGCATTGAGATTCAGGTCTGCGGATAGTTTTTCGACGGTGAGTTCGATGCGGCCGACGTGGAGTTCGGGGACGTTGAGGTAGACGTCTGGGGGTGCGTTTGAGGTAAAGGCACTGGAGCGAGAAGTGCTTGTGCGTGTGCTGGAAGTGCTGTTGGAGAGGGTTCGGGGTGCTGTTGTGGCTGTTTGTGCTGAGATGGGAGTGGCGCAGAAGATGGTGATGGCGAGGCAAAGTAGCAGTTTCGACATCATGTTGAACGCCATGACCGCGGATGATACAACAGCAGTACTGCAAAGGTCGCGAGCGATGAGATGAGTGTGAGAGAAGAACAATCAGAGAAGGAAACCTAAGCTACCCAGTCATCTTTACAATTCCTTCTCCACAGCCAACTCTGCGAAAGCTCATCAAGGTAGCGGGTCGCATGCCGTCCACCTCATCTCGGTTCCTGGGGATGAAATTCAAAAGTCGGCCGAGATCGAAGCTGTCAAACACATGTTCCTGCTCTCTAGCGTGGAATGACGCAGCCATAGACCAATTGAAAGTCACAGTGTTGCGGGAAGGATTAGAAGGCTTGGATGGTGAAACAACCAATCCTTCATATACAATCCGCTTACTTCTTAAACTTTTGCAACATCAAGATTTTTTGAGCAGCTGTCAATTGCCGTGGCGCAATCTTGCTGGGCCGTACAAGGATTGTCAGATATTGCACATCGAGGATCGAAGCCAGAGATATGGAAACGATGGCAGTGGAGTGAATGTACAAGTGCCGTGTATCCTGGTCTTCTTCTCATTGTGTTGTCTTCCTTCTCGTTGACCTTCACGTCTGCAACTCAACCACAGATTTCGACGTCTACATTCAGCACACCTAACAATGCTGTCGCTCGCTCGCAACTGCGTCCTGGCTTTTGCCCTGAGCTGCACAGTCTCTGCCGCTTCCTCTTCCTCGTCCTCCTCAGATGCCGGCTACGTAGGTTACAACCTCACCCTCAGCGGCGACGATGACTCGGCCATCTACTCGACCGCAAACACACGTCAAAATGCCTCCTCTCAATACCCCGACCCGGACGTCTTTCTCAACGCCAGCGTTAGCGTCAAGGAAATCGACATTGAAGTCGACAATCTGACCGCCAAAGTGAACCTGGACCTCCAAGTGCTGGAACTGCTGCAATTCAACGCTGGCGTAGATCTGAACATCGAGTCGGTGCATCTGCTCATTCAAGACGTCAAAGCAAGAGTGCTGCTAGAAGCTCGACTTGAGAACCTAGTGGCCATGGTGGACGATGTGTTGGGATCGCTGGACTTGAACCCAGTGATTGCGACACTGGGCAACGGTGTTGGCAATATCCTCAACCAGACAGGCGATGCGGTGGACGGATTGCTCTCCGACGACGGTTCCAGCTCTGGCTCGGCAGCAGTCAAGCGCTCTTTCACCATCGACGACAATATCCTCTACTCCATCAACGACTTTTCCGGGAATTCTCATACAAACCGCATCCTTGAGCAGAACGGCGACATTGTCGAGCAAGATCTTGACAACGACGGTCGCGTTTCTGGCACCAGAGTTGTTGGGTCGTACGCCAAAGACATGACTTTGACTGGACATGAGGACAAGGTGGCAAGGAATGGCAAGGAGGTGGGGAGAAAGCAGTACAAGTATGAGCCGATCCATGGCGTGCAAGCCATTGCTGCCATCTTCTTGGATGCGTCTGGCAAGGTGGTCGGCACGCAGATCCTGAGCGAGATAGAGGTCGGCGGACATGCGACCGTGGAGGCAGACGAGTAGGCTGAAGTCGTTGAACAAGGACAATTTGTGATTTCAGAAAATCGTACCTACATGTCGTGTCAATTTGGTCATACAAATACAGGTTGCCCAACACCGGTCCCACCCAAAGCGCCGGTCCCAAAAGACAAGATGATCAATTTGTAGAAGGAACAACGTCGTACTCGACGTCGGTGCGGATGATGTACTTGGCACCCTTTGTCACGCCGGTTCCCTCGTGAAGGAGAGCGCCTTGTGCCTCGCCGTGTGGAAAGACGGCGACGCTTCCCATGATGGGCTTGACTGGGTACGCGTTCATGACGCCCTCACGAACGCTGGGGATGAAGAAGGAAGTCTCGCCACCCTCAAACTCGTCGTTGAGGTAGATGAGGAAGGTGTAGAGCGAAGACTGACGAGCATCGGCAGGCGACGAGTCGTACTGGTACTTGTCCGTCACGGGGTCGATGCCCGAAGGAGGCCAAGCGCCGTCAATGTGACAGCGGTACTCTGCGCCCGGCACATAGCGGTACACTCTGAATCTGCGGTTGATGCCGCGGACCTTACGTCCCTGCGACTCTTCTGGGACGTAGGGGCGGACTCGCTCCCAGAGCTTGTCGTGGAAGGCCTGGTCGGCGACCCAATAGAAGTTGTGTGCCAAAATGCTCGTCTCTTGTCCGTCGTCGCGGATTGGGGCGTCGGGGATGAAGTCGATCGTCTCGGCGGCGGCGATGATGCTGGTGCACTCGGCGGGAGTGAGGACGTCCTTGATCAGGCGGAGGTTGGGCACGACAGGGTGCTTGAAGACGGTCGTCTTGGGTGCATCGCCAAGCGGGATGGCATCGTCTTGCGAGGCGTAGAGGACGGCGGGGTGGAGGTTCGGAGGCTTGCGGTTGGGGCCGGTCGTCGTCTCGATGATGCGGAAGCGGCTGCGGAGGTCTTGCGGGCAGTTGGCGAAGATGGTCTTGTCCTCGACGCTCTGGCGCGTCTGGAGGGGTGTCTTGTCTCGGAGGTTCCAGACTTGCTGGAGAGCAATTGGGTCGGCCGAGTCGAGGGCGTCTCTGGTGTTTGTGTCGGTGGGGCCTGTGACTCGGAGGACGGCGTCGAGAACACGCAGCAACTCCTTGTCTTTTGGTGAGCGAGGCACGACGACCTTGCTGACGCCCTCGGGCTGCATCGAGAGGCCACTGACGACGTCGAGGTCGCGCACCCAGCGGCAGAGGGCGCCGAGCTTTGGCGTCTCGCCGCGGATGCGCATCTCGGCGAGGAGGATGAGCGCGTCGGTGTATTTGGCATCGGTGAGGGCGCCCGAGATGCGGGCGGTCAGGTTAGTGCCTTCGGCGGCCGAGTTGACGCCCGTATTGCACGCCTGGCGGAAGTCGTAGACGGCGGCGCGCAGGTCCTTGCACGCCTTGGACTTGATCAGCGCCGGGTAGTGGGCGAGGGTGCGCAGCGTGTCGACGGTCAGTTCAAGCTCTTCGGTCGACGTGACGGCGCTGATGTGCGACACGTGCTCAATTGCGCCCTCGTCGCTGTCGTTGGGTGTCGGCAGGTCGGACGCCTTTTGCAGCTTCTGCGGGACTGCCGCCTGCGTGTTGCGCTTTCTCTTGCCCATCTTGTCGATATTCGGTGATTTGTTGCTTTGGGGAAGGAGCAACTGGCGGCGACGATAATCTTTGGCCGCCCAAAATGTGGAGCGTTCAAGCTTTTTTCGCCTGCGGGGTCTCGCACATCAAGGTTCTGTCACAAACAACTTCATCTCTTGCTCAGACATCAATCTGAACAACATCAGCGCTGTCTACCCGAGCCATGGCCACTCAAAACACGTACTCACTCTCTACACTCTTGAGCATCCATCTTGTTAGAAATCCTTCACAGCTTTTCGCGAGGGATTGTGTATAACACATGGCAAGCGATTTCTTCATTGGATTCGTTGCGGTCCTGAGCTTTATTGCAACTTTTGGGACATCTCATCGAACCACGTCCAGAACAACATGTCTGATTGGAGTCTGGATAGCTTGATCCGTCTTGTATGTTTTGGGCACTGTCAGAACTCCGACTGTACCGAGTATCATGGCACAAAAACAACAAGATCAGGGTGTCACCATCACCGACAGACTCACCGGCTCGTCCTCGGCACGATCAGATCCATGCCAAGTCGCGGAGTAACTTTGTATCTCAACGGCTACGGCGCCTGTACCAAGTCCTTCTTTCGAGTCTACCCTTCCGCGCCTGCTTGTTCTTCAACACAACATGACGAATCTTGTAAACACAAGCATTTGCTATCGTTGTGTATCAAGAATAGTTTGATCAATTTCCACTTACCCGTCAAGGCGTGCTTTCCGCTGCATCTAGAGCAAGCACATGTCTGCAAAGGCGTCATGGCGAACGGTATGCAGGAGCATCAACAACACTTCGGACCTCCTCGGTCGTGGCACAAAGTCGACTCACTCATGGACTAAGGATCCTTCCCGTCGCAAGACCCGCTGCAAGAGATCCCTCTCCTCCCTATGTACTGTATGCAGGAGGGACGACAAACACCCCGGACATGCTCGTGGATTGCGCCGCTCAGACTTGCAGCCCGCCAAGCACCAAACATCTTGCTTATCGCACAGCAACCCTAAACTCCCTCTACTTGTGCTTCAACGGCCTCTGCGAACGTACAGTCTGGCTCCATTCAATCCACTCTCCGTCATGCACTTCTCTGTTCCCCTTGGAGGGGCAACACTGGACGGTGCTGCCGCAAACACACAACGACTGCCTTGATCCTCGGATATCTCTGGAGATTGCATAGTCGTTGCTGAACAGGTGAGTCGCAACAGATTCTGAGCCTCCTTTGCTCATGCCCGCTCGTTGCCCGTGGTCAAAATCTGTGATTGATTTGGATATGTGATCTGGATATAGGACATCTCTCTGCTAGGAGAATGGTATAAGTATTCTTCCATCAGCGCACTTCTATCTTGTTCATCATCAGCCAGTCATTCATTCATTCATTCATTCATTCTACCACTCCCTACTCAACTGGGACTCGACACTCTTTTAGCTATTCCTTCAATCATCAATCATGGTTTCCTACAGATTGGTCGCTCTCGGAGCTGCCGGTGTGCACTTCATGGGCGCAAATGCTGCACTCACTGTCCCTGTCCCTGTCCCTGCCGTCAGCAGTATCGTTAATGGACTCACCACCACTTCCGGCGTTCTCGCAGGTGCAACCAGTGTGGCTGGGGGTGTTGTTGGTGATGCGAGCAGTATCGTGTCCTCCCTCGTCTCCCAGGTCACCTCTCTCGTCGGGACTGGGTTGCCAAGCAGCGATGTAAGCCAGCTCACCTCTGCTATCGACAGTGCTGTGAGCAACCTGCCTGCAACCAGCGCTGCGGCTGCCATCACCTCTATTCTTTCGAGTGTTGCTAGCGAGTTGCCCTCCAACGCTGCGTCCGACATCTCCGTCATCGCCTCGGCCGCTACGAGTGCGCTTGGTGGTGCTGCTACTTCGCTCGCCGGTGGTGTCGTCTCGGACGCCACTTCAATCGCTGGTGCCGCCACTTCGCTCGCCGGTGGTGTCGTCTCAGACGCCACTTCAATCGCTGGTGCCGCCACTTCGCTCGTCGGCGGTGTTGTTTCAGACGCCACTTCAATCGCTGGTGCCGCCACTTCGCTCGCCGGTGGTGTCGTCTCAGACGCCACTTCAATCGCTGGTGCCGCCACTTCGCTCGTCGGCGGTGTTGTTTCAGACGCCACTTCAATCGCTGGCGCTGCCACTTCGCTCGTCGGCGGTGTTGTTTCAGACGCCACTTCAATCGCTGGTGCTGCCACTTCGCTCGTCGGCGGTGTCGTCTCGGAGGCTACCTCTCTTGCTGGAGAGGCCACCTCGATCGTTGGTGGTATCACCTCAGCTCTCCCTACAGGTCTTCCCCTGACCTCCGATTTGCCTTCCAGTGTTTTGTCAGGTGTTCTCGGCGCTGGCAGCACCACCAGAATCCCTGGTATTCCTTTCTCGACTGTACCGCTCCCCACCGGTATCTTGACCGAGCTTCCTTCAGGTGTCGTTTCCAGCATCTTGAGTGGCCTTCCTTCTAGCGACCTGCCTTCAGGTTTTTCGACCATGAACCCTACCTCTATCCTCACTGGTCTTCCCTCGGGTGTCATCTCGAGTATTCTCAGCAACCTTCCTTCCAGCGTCTTGACCGGCCTGCCTACCCCTACTGCCACCACTCTCCCTACTGGCATTCTGACCGAGCTCCCTCGGGTGTCATCTCCAGCATCTTGAGCGGCCTTCCTTCTAGCGACCTGCCTTCGGGTGCTTCCACTCTCAACCCCACCTCTGTCCTCACTGGCCTTCCCTCTGGTGTCATCTCCAGCATTCTCGGCAACCTTCCTTCCAGCGTCCTGAGCGGTCTTACTACCCCTTCTGGTAGTGCTACTGGCTCCGCTTCGAGATCGGCTTCTGCAACAAACTCCGCATCATCTGCTCTCCCAACCCAGCTGACAATTAACGGTGTCACTTTCGGCCTCGAGTACAACAAGACATACCTTGGAGTCACCCTTGACATTGGAGCCACCTTGGCCAAGAGACAAGGCCAGACTTTCGAGGGCTGTGTAGCCGATTGTGCTGCAGATGTCACTTGCAAGGGCACCGCATTTGATACCGCTACCGGTCTCTGCACATTCTACCGCTGCGTTGACCTTGCTTCGGGTCAAGCTGCTCCCGGTATTGACTTTGCCCTCTTTGAATCCAGTGTTGTTGATTCGAGATCGGGTGTCGCTTGTGGTCCCGATGTTGTCGCAACTTCTGGCGCTCCTGCCTCTACCGGCAACGCAATTGGCGCATCTCCAGTCGTTGGTGGTGGTGCGGTCGTCACTGGAGCTCCTGGCTCAGGCTCAGGCTCGGGCGTTGGTGGACAACCCTTCACCACTGTCTTCACCGTTACTGCCTGCCCTTCCACAGTCACCGACTGCCCTGCTTCTGAGAAAACTACCTACCTCAGCACCGCTACTCTCGATGGAGCCGCTGCATCTGGCCTTGTGACCGCCACCCTCTACAGCACCTCTGTTCAGACCATCTACTCTTGCGCTCCCACCGTCACCAACTGCCCTCTCAGAAACGGAGCTTCCACTACTACCGATGTCATTGTCGCTTACACCACTGTTTGCCCTGCTGCCCAGGCTTCTGCTCTCATTGCTGCAAACGGCTCTGGCTCCAACTCTGGCTCCAACTCTGGTTCCGGCTCAGGTTACGTCTCGAACGGATCTGGATCCAACTCCAACTCCAACATCGCTGTCATTGGTCAGAATGGCAATGCTGCCAACTCTGGCTCCAACGGATCTTCTGGCTCAAACCTTCCCGTCGTCTCGGTCATCATCTACACTAGCGGCGGTACTGTCTACACAACCACTACGAGCTGCCCTACCGTCAGCACAATGGCACCTACTGTCAACGGCAATGTTGTTGTCGGCACTCAAGTACCTGGCTCCAACGCTCCTGGCTCCAACACCCCTGCTGCCAACGCACCCGGCTCTTCGCCCAACGGTGTTCCTCAGAACGCCGCCCCTGGCACAAACGCCTACGTCGCCGTCTCCTGCAGCAACGGTGTTTGCCAGAACTCGACCAAGACCGCTTCCACTGTCACCGGCACCAGCTCTCCCAGCATGGCCATCTTCACTGGCGCTGCTTCGCTCGTGACCCCTGGCATGATTCTTGGAGGCGCTGCTGCTCTGTTTGGTGCTTTGATGATGTAAGAGTTTGTGCCACAAGGGTGATGATGGAATGCGATGAGTTGATGGTCTGTGTGTATCTCGAGATGGGATCGGTCAAACGGTGATTTTGACTGTAATGGTAGGTCATTTCGTATATTCTCTATGGGTCGGCGGGATTGAGGTTTTGTGATCGTATGGAGTTTGCTTTTGTTCTCGTTCTTGTTCTTGTTTCTGTAATTTGTCAATCTTAATCCCTCTTGACCTTTCGAACTGTTTTTCTCCATGTCGCATGTCTGCAATTGTTCGTGTATGGGGATGGAAAGAGCGCGCCCATTTCTGCATTCGGACTAGTCTGTGTAATCATTGCGTGTCAGAATCCTTCAGCCCCTCTTATCATCCTGTCCTTTCTCAACAACAGCTCCTTGACTTTCGCCATGTGAGCATTACGCGACATTTGATCGCGTTGGAGGCTTGGACCAAGCACCGCGGGCTATCAATATTGCCTTTTGCAAAATGGTTTACCGTGGAACACCCTCGTTAGGCTGTCGCGAGTGTCGTGTGCGGCACGAAAAGGTTCATCTGGTTTCTATCTCACAGAGAAATGTGAACCGCTGACCAGAAAAACGCGATCTTCGTCCTGGAGGCTGTAGTCGATGCCAGAATGCGAAACGTGTTTGTCCTGGATATTCCACACAAACTGAGTCAAGAATCTGCGACCAGAGTTCTGAGATCATACTCAAAGCTCGTGCCTGCCGTGGACGTCCACAACAATCCGGCATCGAGACCCCATCATCCTCTCTGATGTCGCAAACCCCACTTGTATACTATGTATCATCACAATCGGGCAGCTTGAGCGGGTCAGTCGTTATACACAGCTCATTATTTGCCGGCAACGAAGATCAGTGTTTGGCTTTCTTCTTTTACAACTGCGTTGCCAATAACGCCAAGTATCACTCGTGTCTTNTTAAACCTGGCAACAAGCATCTTTTCGCAAGTGTCCAGGCTCTCAGCACTGCTGGTCTTTCCAAGTAGCATTCGGATGCACGGTTGTTGCACTCTGCACGACATCATGACGTGCAAGCATTGGGGCTTGTCAACGCTGCTTTGAGTGACACAAAACAGNCGAACCGGGACGAGACTCCACTTGCGATACTTGTGCTGACGAGTTATGCAACCTTGACGGGTGGTGTGCATCGCAGTCTCGAGNCGTGAGTGCAGCACATCAATGGTGCTTCCACCCNNTTGCACAAGAAGCGGGTTAAGTGTGGCGTCTTGAATTTTAAGATTCAGTATGCAGATCAATGCTCAAGCTATATCTAGGCTTCCTTTTTATCGTCAAGAATTCTCCTCCGGGAGATGATACTCAAGGCAGTGCACTACAACGAAACCAAAGACAGAGACTCATCGCTGTATGCAGAACTTGAGGATCGCTGCCACAGCATAATCTCTGGATCTCAACTGCTCGTTCTGGTCAGTATACCGCCATTCTTGCGATCACAAGCCTATGGTCGCGACTCACCTGCCAGACAGGGGACGGAAAAGTTGCACACGCCGATGCCAAAGCCCACACTCATTNCGTGGACGCATGCGTCGCTTGCAGATCGCCACCTTGTTCTTGAAGTGTTTGCAAGCAACTTGCCCGTCATGCGCACCCTGGGCGGATATGGAGTCTTGTCGTCATTGTTCGTGGCTGGTCCTTGCTCGACAACCACGCCCGAAATCCTGGAACATGTCAAGGGCATGCATCAAGTGTTTGACGAGAACATGAAGATTGAGCAGGCATTGGTGCTGAAGGACATACTATGCTTGGCCTTGCCCATGGTATGAGGACGAACGACGGTTTGCGATCGTGCTATGTTACTTGATTAACGCAAATCCTAAGAAACATCTAGCGAAGAACCTTCTGGCTGCGACATGGAACGACTCTGCGAATGGTTTTCGAGTCAGAATGTGTCCATGGGATAGCCACAAGGATGTTGGTCTTTCGATGGAGATCGCGCATCCTTACAAGATTGATTTTCGCATGGAACTTGGGTGTCTTCCAGCCGCTTGCAGATAGCATAGCTACGCAGCCGTACAAACATCTAATCTTGCTGTCGGTGTGTGTTAGTTCGAATGGGAGCGTGACGTAACAGGTCTGGCCCTGAGACCGAAGGCAATCTCGCAATGGCGCCAGATCCACGTTTTACGACCCTGTATCACCATTTAGACCCATGTAAGCCGGCAGCAGCGTTGTTCAATGATGGTTCGTAGCTTGAACATAACCGATAGAAGCATGGATCTTGTCATTGAAAGACTTGAGTCCATCTCTAGCTGGGACTTCCGGGGCAACGTGCTGTGACTGTACGGGGGCCTACATTGAGATATGCCATCAAACAAAGATTTGCCACAAGCAAGACGGGGTTTGTTTAGCTTCTTCTAAGAGCTTTACCAGTTCTCTAAGAGCTTGTGTGTAGGATGGCAGAGCAATAAACTTGATATCAAGACCATTAGTCGGTCACATTTGTAGTCTGCAACAGTCATTAAAGCTGCACGATGACTGTTTTCTAAGGCCACGAGACATCTTAATGCTTCACACTTGTTATTAGAAGGCCCATAGGAGCGGTCTGTGTCAATAAAACACACGAATATGCTCTACGTAAAGTCTATTAGGCGTACGAAGAAGTGGTTTGTCAACACAACATCTGGCCACTTAGGTGACTATGGCATTGATCTTATGGTCCATGGGTATTCTGCATTCATTAAAAAGACCCTCTGGAATTTTCGTATCCAAGATCATTAGATGATTGCAGATAGGTATCCAGAAAGGAACCTCTCAAGATTAGTGAAGAAAAAGGTAAAGTAGATGGAAACTGCTACAGCAAGCCTGATAAGAACCTAGCCTACTAATAGCAAGATATCTCTAGGCTTATAAAAAGGATTTGAGTCAACTGCTAGTAGCCTTCCAATTTATCTGGTCGGGCGATACTGTAGAACAAGATGATTTAGAACGCCATGTTCAATGACATCCTCATTGGCAATTTGGCTTTGCACTTCAATTGCTCTGTCAAGTCGAAGATCAACCTGTATACTGCCATCCTCGTTGGTATGCCACGAGACAATGGCCAGATTGTCGTTGCCCAGCGCAACATTGGCTTTGATACTTTTGCTAAGCGTCAATCGGGGTGCAAAGAGAAGTTTGGAGCACCCAGCTCCAATCGGCTGCACGCCTGCCACCTCGGTACAGAATTCATAGATTGGCACGCTACCCCAGGCGTGACAATCAGATCGTTGTCTCACGTCGTCCTCTTCCCAGGTGGTCAAGTTGTTGCGTAACATGCGTCGCCACGGGTTCCAGACTTGGGACCACATCTCCTCGTACACGCCATCTCCGGCCATTGCGAAGGCGCGCAAGGCGTAAAACTGCATAACGTACGAGCACTTGGAGAAGCCGGAATCCTGTGCAAAGGCTCGTCGAAGGACGGTTGCCTGCTTGAGAGGTTCGATCGTTCCGGTAAGCACGCCAAATACTTGGCAGTGCTGCGAGTATGCCAATTCGTCGGCAATATCTGCTGTGGAATCCGTGACAAACTGTCCATCCTGGCAGTGCTTCCGGACAGCTTGGATGACAGCATTGGCGCGCTGTTCGTATTCTTGTGCGTGCCCAGGACGTCCAACGGCCTGGACAAGGCTTGCTGCCTTCTGCAATACCCAAGCGTAGATTAGACTGAAGAAGGTATGACGATTGGACTTTCTGCCCGAAGTAGGTACACCCTTGTCGGGATGCTCGTCCGTAGCTCCCCAAGTGGTAACCCAGTCAACGTATTGCCACACATCGGAGGGCAGATTCCCAACAAGACCAAGCTCATCGATATGTGTCTCGAAGAACTCGAGCACACCATCTATTCGTGGAAGGAAAGACCTGGTGTAGGTACGGTCGCCAAAATAAAGATAGTGGTCGCTGACTTGCAAAATCCAATACAGAGGGAAAGAGGCGATGATCTGAGGCACATGCGAAGGGTATCGAGATTGTGTCAAGCCCTCGGCAGTGACCGAAGCGGCAAACATAGAGATGGTTTGACGCATAAGACAATCGTCACCAGAAAGCAAGTAGTGGAAAAGGCCAACGGATCGAGAATCGCCCGAATATCTGTCGGAGGTCAGTAAGGATGGAACAGCAGTCGATGGAAGTTCTCACTGAAGCTGTTCGTAGAAGGGACAATCTGAGTAGCCATCGAACATGCAATTACGCATTGTTCGCACAGAGACGTCCCAGATTTCGGCACCGTCCTCATCACTCGTGTCATCCCAGCTTGCCTTGACAGCCAAAGGGTAGTTCGTCTGTGTAGCTGTAAAAGATTGCAGAGACAGCGAAACTGCGCCGACGGAGAGTTCTATGCGCATGATGCGGAACGTGCGGAACCAGAATGGCTCATATGTTACGACCTGATTGGCAGGAAGGTCCAGCACTACCTTGTCGTATGGTCCAATCAGATGACCACTCTTCCAGTCGAGCCTGTCGTTCTTAGTTCTGAAGAATGGATACGATCGTGGCTCTGATTCATAGCCCTCCGAGAAGGTCATTTTCATCTCGAGGCTGGTTACAGAATCGGCTTTGAAACACCATTTGAGGAACGCCGTGGAATGAACATCTGCTTGAAGGTCAAGGTTGTGGGTCGTGCCAGCGGCGAGCTCGAGAGCCGTGCCGTTGAGGAAGAAAGCAGTCCAATCGATAGCAGATATTGTGCTTTCCCGAACGACGAGTGGTCTGCAAATGGCGTTAGTCATCTCTTGCATCGGGAAATGTCGCGGACGCAATCGCCAGGGCAGGAGATCTCCGTTGAGAGTTTTCAGTCCATATAGCTGGGGTTCCACAATGTCACTGGGTGGCCTTGGATGAACCCTTTCGCTGATCTGCACACATTTATTAGCGCGAATGCAACAAACGTGGATTCCATTCTTACATGAAGAAAAACANTCATCGATCAATCCAAGCGGGAACTGAATATCGTTCAGGACTTGTGCTTTCCATCCTTGACGTGAAGTAATGTTGAGGGTATCTTGAGTGGTCTGGATATGTCCGGAGACCGTGAGACCAGGGAAAGATGTCCTTCCAAATGGCATTGCACCTCTCACAGCGGCAAAGTACCTGACGACCATGAATCGTATTTCGTTTGGTCCCTGCGTGAGATAGGGCGTGAGGTCCAACGTGTCATAGTGCCACAGTCGTGTGCTACCACGCGAAGGCCCGACCGCTACGTGCACGCCATTGATATATAGCTTGTACCGCGTGTCGGCAGAGCAATGGATGACAGCAGCAGTGATTTTTGATTGTATGTCTATGTCTTGCCAAAATTTGACGACGCGGCCTGCTGTGTTCTCATTGGAAGAGTCGACCCATCTAGGCACCCAGACCCAGCTCGCTTGAAGCGCGTCAATGGTCTTGTCAAAAGGTCAGGTACGTTTCTAGGGATTTGCAGGATTTTGGTACACACCTGCTGCTCAGAGAACGTGACCCGATCCATTTCTGCTGTGACGGCGGTCTGTTTTGGTGGGAGCATCAGACAGCTCTTGTGTCAGCAACATTAGCTTTTGTAGAGCTTAAGTGGCGCAAGTTCGGCACATCGTGCCCCGAGTACAGATGAGGGGCGTCAGGGTCCAGCAACATTTCCCCGGAGGGTGAATACCCGGCCCGTCTGGAGCCGCTCGTACAAAGGGGTACACGAACGGATCGCCCCTCCCCATCAAAGAAAAGCCAAAATCTTCATGGCGTCCAGGCCACCCCGCCATAGGAATTTAAGCTATAGTTCGTGTACCCCGCTTGTAGGTCAGAATAAGACTTCGCCAACGTTGACCAAGCCCCGCGTGACATGCTTGACGTACGCACCGGACTATCTGAGATGTGAACAGAAGAGTCAAGCGAAAAGATCCCGAGCCACGTGGACGACGCAGTCAGTAGTATCGATCTCAGCCGGGGATTCTTTTCAAGGCGCGTTCGCTTCTGTTTTAGTTGCAGTTCCAGCTGAGATTGGCTTGCACGACATGTGAGCACGAGGAACCGGAAATGAAGCTGACGTTCTCAGTTCCAGAGCACTCGAGTCATAGGGAACTTGGTCAATCGGAGCGTCAGGACCAGAAGTTTCTGAAATGCAGCTGGGGGCACTACTTAGATGAACTGAGGGACCCAGGCGCAACTCGATTCGAGTCTCTTGGCCGACACCAATCGCAGAACTGTACGGTACTGAACTGGCAAGCGAACGCGTCCTTAGTGAATTGTCTCATCCTGAGGCCCCCACTCCTTAATCGGGTGGGACTGTCTCATCTGGGCGCGTCGCGGATCATAAATGCTTTGCTTTGCTTTGCTTTGAACGGTCAGTCGGTTAGCCATGCCTGGCCGGGAGCGATTATCAAACATGCTGCTCAACAGTAGATCTCGCCAAGGTTCGGCTTTTGACATTGGGATCGTGATCACGAAAACCGACTTGTGTTTTGATTTGGCTGCTGAAGGCACGAACATGTTCCTGCTCAGACTGTGCAGAAGCTATCTTGGGAAGTTGGTATATGACGCGGACTAAGAGAATCCCTGTGTGCTGGCACAAGCCGGCGGGAAAGTATCAGATCCGCTTTATCGACCTTCCATCGCAGATCTCAGCACGTCTCCCGTTCGCGACGCGAGTGGGTGTTGAATCAAAGATAGACCAGGAGAGCCTCAGAGGCGTAAAGAGTAAAGCTCACAGAACCTGCCGACACCACTTTAGTCTCGAAAACCTCCGTCCCAGAAACAGCACATGTTCCATTCTGGAATGTTAATCCGCCGACTGAGGGGTTCTGGCCTTGATCAACCCTTGAGGTGCTGTAAGGGGCTGTAAGTCGANNGATGCGTTCACCGAAGAACCAGAGATTGGATAGTTCGAAGACCTGAGAAGGTCTTGTGCCACTGGTATAGTAATCCGAATTATAGAGGAGGACTTTGACTGGAGCATCACCTTTGTAGATGGCATATGCTGCATAGGTAGTGGAAGCATCGTCCAGAGGAGCGATGTAATCTGCACCTGCGAGGGCCTTTGTAGCAAAGTAGGCGCCGTAGTACGGTGCACCCATGCTGTAGCGACCCCACCAACAGTATTGACCTATCCACGAATTAGCACGTACCCATATTTTGATCCATCAAGTTTATTCACAGTTTCCGATCGTTCCTTGATGGAAGTACAAGGCCTAATACCAGTCAATTTACCACGGCTCTTGCGGGAGNCAGACGCTACTCACATTGGTTCCCATAATCAATGCCTGCATGATGTAGTCCAGAGTCCAGAGACCGGCACCATAGGTCGGACTGATACCACCGCCACCTTGTGTTGCTGAACAGATTTAGTCTCAGAGCTTGCAACGCAGCTTTCATGGAGCGACCTTACCCGACTGAGTTTCCCCAAAGATATGCGGGATGCCTTGAGCTTTAGCGGCCGAAACCTCAGCAGCAAATGGTTTGATCTGAGAAGCAATACTGCTGTGGTTCATGAGACTGGCAAGGTTCGCATTGGTTCCCGATTGAGGGTAGTTGTGAGAACAGTAATCTTTGACATACTGAGATGCCGAGTGTTCTTGTTCTTGAGGAGTGAGACCGGCGATATTCATGGGCGTGGTGCCAAAGAAAACACCAGCAGAGATCAGATTGTCAGTGGAAAGGTTGCCGCAGACAGCGCCCTGCCACTGAATTTCCGAGGTGTAGTCTGCCTGGGGGTCCATGCCATGCCTTGCGCGATTGGATCGGATGACGTAAAGACTGTGATGAGATAAATTAGCGTCCTGAGGAACCCCTTCAGGAGAGCTTGACTCACAATTGGGTTCGTTACCAAGCTCGAGAGCATACAGGTTCGACATGTGTGCCTTTGCGAGCTTGGCAGCACTAACGGTGTTTGCGAGATCGTTGAGGCGACGGTTCAGGCCAAGTATGACGGAACCTCCATACTTTGCCGCCAGAGAGATGAAAGAANNGGCCCATAGGTCAGAGAAGAGGGTGCAGCCCCGCAGAGGCTACTGTGTAACTGACTGGAGTGGTTTGAGACGGATCATATCTCGCACGATCACTGTACCTCAAGTCTTAGTGCCATTCAACAACTTGTAATAGGACTTTGTTTCAACCCACCCGGTTGTTCCGCCGATACGGATGGCAGGCCATGTACCCGAGAGGTCTTTCAAATTTTGCAGACAGGTGGTGGTCGAGTCAACAGTAGTGACATAGTCGGGATACGCAAAAACTCAAAACTTCTCGGGTAAGCTTCGACTCAAATCGATGGATACCTAGATTCTTACGATAAGGCCACGGGAGCACTACTCAGCTGCTTGCTTGCAGTAGCCGGTTTCTGAGCAGGCACACTGTACGTCAAGCCACTAACAAGCACGAAGTGAGCAGCCCAGAGGGCAGGACAATGGTGGAAAGCATTCTGTCGAATCGGGAGGCAATCAGAGAAGAGTTTTCGTTGCTGATAACATGGGAACCTTTGCAACACCATTGACAGGTATTTATATTCTGACAATTGATGGTGCACACGGCAGCGAGGGGGCAAAAGAACATGAGCTACGTAACAGCCCGCAGTCGGTGTTGATTAGGCTCATGTTTGCTTGCAGCCACTACTTGCAGGTTTACAGTTGATCCCTCTCCAGGTTCTCCACTGTGTCGAGTATGGAGATGCGGGGATTACAAATGAGCAGACAAGAGCAACGCTTGGGGGGAAGGCGGAAATAAAATGGCGCTTTGAGAGTCTATTACCAGACGACATCGTACGTGTTCAGAGTCGTCGGCATATGGAAACGAAACCAGTCGGAGTGAGATTCTAAAATCCCGATGATGACCTCCAAATGCAAAATTCAGCTTCAGGCTTTCGGTTTTATTAGAGCCCAGATCAAACATATTTGTTGGTTGAGGTGTCCAACGTTCCCAAGCCTCAACTCGTATTCGCGAGAGTGTAGCCCGAGTCAGAGCGCATCTGGGGCGGGGTAGGCATTTATGCTACGTGGGGAAGCCGGGGGTTTTAGGGATCAGTCCTGTATAGTCTCATCTCACTGGACGACTACTGGCTTTCCGGCCACCCTACGTACGCGTGATCGTGGAAGCGGGGGATTGCAACCGCCATTGCATCGATTGCCGATGGCTTGACAGGCGAGTCGAGACGTGCCGACTGTCAGCCGCCCTGCAAGCGAACACATCTTCAGTTGTCCATAAAGCTACCACGTTCACGTTGTGATTTCACTCATCTCCATCCTCGAAACATCTGCCATCCAGAGGTTCATCTTATACACAATGTCGGACATCAAGCAAGAACTGGCTGTCCACGACGAAGTCGAAAACCTCAAGTCTGAGGATGCTCAAGTTACCCACTCTCACGCTGATAGGCTCTCCATCTGGCAAGCAGTGCGAGCAAACAAGTTGATCGGTCTTATTGCCATGGGTGCAGCATTCAGTGCCTCCCTTGATGGCTATCGTACGATCCTTTAGTCATGATAAAGGGCGAACATCTGCTGACCATGCTCTANNGAAATCAACCTTAACGGTGGTATTGTGTCCAACAAAGGTTTCATCAAACAGATGGCCAGTCCTGGTACTAAGATCATTAACGGAAAGTATATCTCTGCCTGGGGTGGTATTCAGTCCGCTGGACAGTTTTTGGTCAAGTCGTATGGCGTTTCAAGAAACAACAGGCATAAGCACATCACTCACTAATAACAGGGCCTGCAATACATCACGGATAGATTCGGCAGAAAGGTCGCGCTCTACATCATCTGGCTTATGTTCGTGGCTGTAAGCTGGAATTCCAAGAATTGATGTCCTAAGAAATCCACTAATAAATCGCAGAGCGTAATGACCGAATCTTTCGCAACCAGATGGGATCATTGGTTAGTTGCTAAACTTCTGTCCGGCATGGGCGTAGGTATGCTCCAGTCAACAATGCCCATGTACATTGGCGAGATTTCTCCCACACAACTGCGTGGTCTCTTCATCAACGCCTACACTTTGTGAGTCCAGACCGAATTTTGGTACGTTGTGTTGCCAGCGCTAACGCGAGAGTAGCNNTGGTTCGTGGTCGGACAATTGTTCGCTTCAGTCGCCCTCAATAGATTGCACTTGACCCAACCCCTTGACTTCCGCACTCCTATCTACACACAGGTAAGTGACTGAAGGCTTTACCAACTCACCTCGCTAACAGGCAGCNAGTGGGCAATGGTTGGTGTAGCAGGTATCATCTTTGTATTCCTCCCGGAGTCTCCATGGTGGCTTGTTAGCCAAGACAGAACAGAGGATGCCGAGCGTATGTTGCAAAGATATCACCAACAGAAGGAAGATTTCGATACGCAGGAACAAGTCGTAAGGCAATCGCTGGCTTTGTGTGAACAAACACTTGCTAACCGATACAGANACGTCATGACTTCAACCGTTGAGCACGAACGTGTCATGGCTGAACAGAATCGCGAAACTGGACCAAGGGCTGTCTTTCAGGGCAAGAACCTGCTTCGTCTCGTCATCGCCGCTTGGCCCAAGGTCACCCAACAGTTCGTTGGATTGAGTGTATTCAACACTTATGCCACTTACTTCTGTGAGATACTTTACAACATTCATTCATTGAGCGACTGCTGATATTGATCAGTCCAATATGCCGGCAACAAANACCCCTTCTTAGTCACTGTCATCCTGTCTAGCGTCCAGCTTCTGTCTGTCTTGGTCACGGCCGTCACCACGGACAAAGTTGGTCGTCGCCCTCTCACTGTATATCCCTACGCCGTCACGGTTGTATCTGTATTGTGTTTGGGGATCGTTGGATGCTTTGACTACAAAGACCAAGCTCTGAGTTCGCTACTGGTTCGTACCCACAGAAGCCCTCTTCCAACTGCTGTATATCTAACCCGTGATTCCACAGNNATCTTCTTTGCATGTCTGGCAACTTTCTCTACGACCGGTGCGTCCGGTATAGGCTACGCTTACGCAGCAGAGATTCCACAACAGCGTCTTCGCGCCCGCACCAACGCCTTCGGCCTTGCCTTCTCAAACCTTATTGCAATCATGTTCAGTTTCTGCACTCCTCTTATGATCAACGGTACTACAACACACTGGGGAGTCAAGACCGGTTTCTTGTATGTTGAGACGATCGAGGTGGTTTTCATCACTCTTGCTGATATTAGTCAAAGCTTTGCCGGTACCGGTTCTGTAGCTGTGGTTATCGCTTGGCTCATTCTGCCTGAAGTTGCTCGTCGCACTCCCGCTGAGATTGATCGGATGTACGTACAGATTATCTCGAGTTCCTGATTATTCGACTAATTGTTATGTATAGGTTTGAACAAAATGTTCCCCTTAGAAAGTTTAACGCTTGGGTTAGCAGTTAATAGATTAGCTTATAATGCCTCTTAGAGTTAGTACAAATCCCAAGGAACATCTAGCAAAGAACCTTCTGGCTGCGACTCGAAACGACTAGTTGTTAATTTCAATCATTCGACCTTTCGATCTGCATCAGTTTCCGTCGCATGTCTGTGATTGCTTATACATGTACATGAGATAGTGTGTCGCAACTGCTGATGCATCATAGTGGCCGAGAGGCCCATTATACATTGTATCATTGCTATAGGGTAGGGTGCTTGTCTGTCATAATGTCGTTCAAACGGTCTTGGCCAACTGCTTCTCATCCTCCCAGTTCTCAATTCCCATCTTGCCAGCAACAATCCTCATTGCATTCCTCACCTTAACGAGACCGTCCTTGCCCAGATGCTTGCCATCCCTCATCTACTTTAACCGTTCGTTCAGCATCGACTCGCCGACTCCCTGCAAGTACCAGACTTTGCAGGCACGAAGATAGCGTGCAAAGCCGAAATGGTAGAGGATAGTGCGCCAGATCAAGTGCTAACCACCCATACTACTTGCGGCGCTAATCGACTAGAGAAACTCGTCGGAATAGGATGCAAGGCTCATCCAGATGAAAAGAGCCTTGTCTTGTTCTGACGAGGGACGGACGGGTTCTCTAAATTGCCCTTCTAGGCGGTAATGATACTATTAATAATGCGGTACGGTTGCTCGACACTAACCTTAAGCTCTTACTTAGTCTTAATTAACAGTGTCTAGTCGTTAATTGCTTTGTATAGAAGCTTAACCGGCTTGTCCTAGTTGAACATCTTATCCTCCTTTTGCTTTCTATAGATAATAGGGTTAGCAGCATTTCGATACGCTTCTATATAAGCTATTCTTGCTCGTCTAACTACTTTTCTATATAAAAACAAAGAAAAAGGGTACGATAAAAAGGAAGAGGGAAACAAAAGAAAAAGGAAAAGAAAAAGAAATTTATCTAGTCTATACCATATCCTAGCCAGTTCCTAGCCCGGAGTCTTACTAGAGTGGTAGAGATATACTTATCTAGCCACTCCGAGGTGCTAGGACCAAGGGACTTTGGAATTCTTTGTAGGTTTGTGAGGTCTCCTTTCCTAGAAGGCCTCCTTGGCTAAGGATAAACGGCTTAAAAGCTCGGCCTAGGGTTTGGTATTTGAGCTTCTTAGCCCTTTCCGCGGCCGATAGGGTGCTATTAGGGTCCTTCCTAGCGGTTTCCTTACCTAGGGAAATGATGGACACATCTAGGTAGGTGGTTCCCTTAGGGTTGTCGATTCTAATGTCTGTCCGGATTCCTCGGTAGTCTCCTTGTGGCTCTAGGGTGACTTTGTTTTGTGGGTCGGTCTGTAGGGCCGTAGTTAACGCCTGGCACACCTTATTATGTTTGACAATTGTCTGTCTAGTCCTAGCACGGCAGGCGTCTTCGTGGGCGAAGGTATAGGCCCTATCACAGTGTCTACAGATGTCCTGGCCTTCTTTAGGGGATGTAAGAAGCCGAATAGAAAGTGCTGCGGCTACGTCCATGTCCGAGAGTAGAAGGGGCTGTGAGGTAGGCATTGCGGATAGCCATCTCCGGCCTAGGAAGGCTGAGTTCTCGATCCGTACGTTCTCTTGCTGTAAAGAGAGCTTCTGCTGTACTCTAGCCAGTCGAGCTCTGTTGAGCTTGTCTATTGCAGCTCGGTAGATGGTTCTAGCAGGGCCAGTACTAGTAGGGTCTAGTTGTTGGTGTTCTAGGGAAAGCTAGGCTGTTGTTGGGTGTCCTGGGCTAGGAGGTAGGATAGGCTTGGTTGTGGTTGTTGGTTTGCTCTATTCCTGCTTCTACCGCGGTCCTGGGAGTGATCCTGTTCCTGTTCTTGTACCTGTTCTTGCTCCTGGCTTCCTAGAGTGGTTTGTTCGTCTAGACCTTGTGTGTCCTCTTCTGTGGCCTTGTCTATGTCCCCTTCTAGGCCGTCCTCTTGTAGGTTGCCTTCTTGGCCTTATGTAGGCCTATAGCTAGTCTGGGGGTGGCCTTCCATACTAGTGTTGCTAGGGGCTGGCGAGGGTGCTCGGGGTAGGCGCCAGAAGAGTTTTGGCGGTAGGATCCTCTGTAGGGTGATGTCTGCTATAGCCTGTAAGTTTTAGAAGGCTAGCTCGGCCACTTCCGCGTAGAGAGGTATTCCTAGGCCTCCTAGCCTAGTAGGGAGGGCTACTAGGTCCTGGTCTAGTGGTCTTCTATCCTCTAAGCCTTAAAGGTGTTTTATGGTTTCTAGGAGTCTTGTGTCAATGTCTTGGAATCTTGCTAGGAGTCCTTGTGATCCTATGGTCCTAGGAAGGTGTCGGAGTAGTGTAGAGGTGCTAGCCCTAAGTAGGAGGAGTGCGTGTTGTTTTGGTAGGTCTTTTAGCCTATCTAGCACCGTCTGGAGTTCTTCTGTCCTTGTAGCTAGGAATTCGGCCTTCCGTGGCTCTAGCCCTATAAAGGAGCCAAGTATCTTCATTCCCGTGGTCTGTATTGCCGATAGGGGTGTGTCTTTGTCTTATCTATGTTTAGGGCGATAGGGGCGTCTTCTAGGTAGCCTTCTAGTTGTTGTAGGGTGATCTGTTGCCCTGAGATGATGTAGACGTCGTCTAGGTATGCTAGGACGATAGGAGGGGGTCTGTTATAGCCGGTTGACCTCTGTAGCTGTTGTTGTAGCTGTTGGAGGGTGGTCCGAATGGCTAGGGAGAAGAAGAGGGGGCCGAGGGGGTCTCCTTGTCTAACCCCTTCCGAGGAGGTAATTACCGTGCCGTCATACATCACTAGGGCTGCTGGCTCGTTGTAGGCCCATCTAGCTGCCTTGTAGAACTCTGGGGCATAGCTTAGGATCCCGTGGGCTACCGCTGCTCGGGAGACTAAGTTGAAGGCGTTTTTAAAGTCCATAGAGCAGACGTGGGTGTATCCTCTAAGGTTTCCATCTACCGCGTGTCCTAGTAGGTGTATGATTGGCTCTACCCCGCCGGGGCTCTGTACCCCTAGCTGGAAGGGGGCTAGTTGGTCCTTAGAGAACTGTTTTTGGAGGAGGACCTTAGCTACCAGCCTATAGATGAGCTCTCCTACTGCAATTGGCCGGACCCCGCTATCTTCCTTATCTAGGGCTACAAGCCTCGATGCGGTAAGTAGCTGGTTCCCTGGTGCTAGGCCGTTCTGTACCTGCTTGCAGAGGTGGGTAAGAAAGTCTACCACCTGTTTATGCTTACAGGCTTCCCTTAGTAAGGGGACTGACCAGCCGGATAGGCCAGGGCTGTATCCGGGGCAAATGAGGCCAGGGCTTGTAAGATGTCTTCCGGGAGTGGCCTAGGGCCTGGTCTAGGGCTCGCGGAGGAGGCAAAGGGGTAGGGCTGCCCTTCCGGGTGTTTTTCTCTTAGTTTGGCTAGTATATCCGCCGAGTTCCTAGCTAGGGTTGAGGGGTCTACTAGTGCCCTTGCAGCTCTGCCTAGATAGCCCTTTTCTACCAGTCTTTGGGCTCTAGAGCGGGGGTATCCCGGCGGTTGTCTGGCTGGCCTAGAAATTCCTGGGCCCTATCGGTTTCTACGCGGCTTGGCGGGGGTAGCATTAGGTCCGGGTAGTGCTATAGGACGTATTGGGTGCTAAACTCCTCCGATTGGATGCCTAGGGTAAGGCCAGCCTTCGGTAGTAGTAGGAAGTCTAGCAGGTGTTTCTCGGTAGGTTGGCGTGTGTATCTAGAGGCACACCTGGCCGCGGCGGCCACAAAGCTAGCGGCTTGGCTGCCACGGAAGGTGTGGTCCTTTGCCTGTACGTGGTTGTATCCAAATAGCTGTTGTAGATACTTGTTTCGGGGCTGGTAGGTGTTATACCGGTCTTGGCCTAGGCCTATAGGTATGTCTGCAACATCTGGTGGCGGTGGTGTATGTTCGTCTCCGTAGATAGGGCTAGTAGGCCCCTGGGTCCCTAGTGAGTAAGAGGGAGGTGCCGGTGTACTAGGGGAGGAGGGTGTAGGAGAGGAGGGTGTAGGAGAGGAGGGTGTAGGAGAGGAGGGTGTAGGAGAGGAGGGTGTAGGAGAGGAGGGTGTAGGAGAGGAGGGTGTAGGAGAGTAGGCACTACTAGTGTTTCGGGGGCCGTCTCGGACGTGGATCTCGCTTTGGGCCGGTGAGCTATGGCCGCTAGGTAGGTTTGAGGCTAGGTCCTCGAGGAGGCCGATGGTGGACTCGTTAGGAGAGCCATAGGAGGTGCCGTTTGGCGAGGGGTAGGAGAGCGGTCTAGTAGGAGGGTAGGTAAAGGGGCTGGTTGGTATGTAGGTCGGCTGTCGGATTGGTTGCCGAGGATTTCCCGTTGTAGGCTACTAAGAGGGGTACTCGGCTGGCTGCCAGATAGAAGGTCTAGTAGCCTGGCGGGTGGGCTATCTAGACGAGGTGGTGTGTTATGGTAGGTATGTGTATTCCTCGCTCTTGGCCTTGCTCTGTTTCTTGCTAGCGATGGTGATCGGGAGGCGCGGCGGCGTTTGTTGGTGTTTATAAGGGCGGTAGCGGTAGATGGGGCTATAGAGGTATTTATAGCGGTAGGGGTCGAAGAGGTGGTAGGCGTCCGGCGGGTAGAGCGAGTAGGAAGGGTCTTTTTAAGCAGCCGGATTTGGACTGGTGGGATTTGATGCCATGTGAGGTTTGGCAGGGCTGGTAGCAGGTAGGGCAGGCGGTGAAGCCCATATGGGCGAGGGTAGAGAGGGGGACATGGAGGTGTAGGTGGTTTTTCTTGACGTGGTCCCATAGGTAGGCGTAGTGGCGGAAGCAGATGCGGCAGGTACCTGGTTTATCTTTTGCCATGGTGAGTAGTGAGTAGCGAGTAGTAACTATTGCGAAGCAACAGTAGGTATTGCGAAGCAACAGTAGGTATTGCGAAGCAACAGTAGGTATTGCGAAGCAACAGTAGGTATTGCGAAGCAACAGTAGGTATTGCGAAGCAA